GTATTTGGCGAGTATCTGTACAGGATCCGCAAGGCTGACTCTCCTACATGCTGGTATTGCGAGGCGGCAAACTCGGCTAGCCATACACTATTTGAGTGTCACGCGCACGAAGATATACGGGAAAACGAAGAAACAGTATGGGGTACGAAGATTACTAGAGTAAACGTCGGAAACTTCTAACATCATCGAACGAAAATATCGAAGCGATTTGCGGCATGTAAAGGAACATTCTGAAGAAATAAGCGAATGACGAAAAAGACAAGATCTGGGTACAAACAAGACCAACATAAAAGGGAAATTAAAACAACTTTGGTTGCACGTCATCAATGACACCATACGTCGTCTTATGGAGTTTGCTGGTGGTCGTATTATGATGTGCAACCAAAGTTATTTTAATTTCCCCATAAAAGAATGATAATAATTCTCTAATCTTGACGAAATGCCTTCGGCAGTACCGAAATTGGCGAGCTTAGATTAGATTAGATTAGATTCTTAGAGGTGGCTTTCGGCCTGATCCACTGCGACCTTCTCAGATCTATTGTGGTCCTCTTCTGATCCTTAGATTACATTCTCCAGTCCTATCCTTTTCACAAAGTTTAGCAACTTATCAGTCTCTAAGTTGCTAAACTTTGTGAAAACCCTTCCATGTAGCTCCTTGGCAGTGGCCTATCATTGCCTATTACCGGGAACCGCACATTTGCAAGGCTGTCACACCGACATAAAATGTGCTCTGACGTTTCTTCTGTAATAGAATAATATCAAGCTTGGTAAAATTTTATCTTTTGGTTTGTTATTCTAAGATGGGACCATTTCAGTTTACGAAGTTATCAGTCGACATAGTCAAACGAATTTTAAAAGGCCTAAGCAAATAATCTAATGATATTCAAGACACATAAACTCTCTAAAAGTATGCATATATCCTGAGAAACTAACTAAGTAAATAATACAATCTTCTAAATGTTTAAAAATCACACAAACGAGGGTAAAGTAGAATAAACATTCATCCCTTATTATCAAAACTCTATTTGACGAAGTAGGACCAGTTGTGTACCATCCGGATATCAGAAAATAAACAACACAGAAAAAGCACGTAAACATGCTTAAGTAAACAAGTAAACTTAAAACATCCCCTCGCTAGAGGTTTTGCATTTAAAATTAAAAGTATTAAATATATGTTTTAAAATCAGAATCCGAATGTTCACGAGATGAATGTCTGAAAATGATAGAAATAGGATTATCTTTTTTTCCGTTCCTAGAGTTAAATAGAAATGAGTTAAACGAATGAAGAAATAAAGATTTCATTTCTAGGCGGTTTTTTTTAAGGTAATCCTATGTCACGATATCATTTGTATTAGTTAAGGTAGATTATGAATGTATTCAGCAAATTGGTAAAAGAGTAAGATTTACACGGAAGGGTTTAAAAATTACATTTAATTAATAAATAGGACATGCTGATGCCCTCTCGGGATAAGAACCAGAAACAAGGGTGAAAGAAGTCTAGGGATCTTTCGGGGAAGGAACCCTTCGGCCAATTAAAAAGGTGCAAAATATGCATTTGGATGGGTATTCGAAGGTTCCTCAAACAGGGGCGTGCGGAAGATGTAGTAACGCCTTTCCGAGATAGTACCAGCATCAGTATTTTCATCTTCAACGTTAGTTCGGTACTGATTTTAAATTATCCAGTGGTCTTTTTAATTGTTTTAGTAAGTTCTCTATCTAAAGATTTTTTCAAATAAATTCTCAAATTAGGAAATTCTAAACTATTCATGCTTACAGTATTTTAATTGTTGTTTTTGGATTTTCTCTAATATTTTTCTTTATTAATGATTTAAGACTTTCTGTTTGTTCTAAAGGCTTTAGTAAATTTTAGATGTCATTGCATAAGTGATTATTTTGCAATTGTACTTTTTATTAAATTCTAATTTAAATTTAATTGTTCAGTGAATACTTTTTTAATATATTAATTTTCTGCCAATGATAATTCTAAGAGAGATTTGAAAGTGTATGCTAATTGTTGATAATTTAAATTGGACTAATAAGAAGAATATTTTGTATTTTTTTTTTTAACTTTATTATCTCTGAGTTTTAATTTCAATTCTCTAATTGTCATTAATTATTTTTGATTCAATTTCTTTCTTTTTCATTAATTGTAAATGTTTTGTTGTTAAATCTTTTTCTTTATTTTTTTATTTATTTATTTCTTTATATTAAATATAGTTAGGTGTTGTGAAAAATCGGCATTTTATTTCTTTATTTCACCTAATCACTAAAATATTAAGTTATTTAAAAGAACACTGTGATAACCGGTCGAGTGGTTCAATCTTAAGAATGAGTCCAAGATCGAAGGGGTAGATCTACAAGGGGATCAACGAAGTCTTCGACAGGTTCTTGTTGTTGATGTATTGCTGATGGATGTTGACGTAATAAGGTAAGTGGCAATAGAGTTTATAGTAACTGAATTTAGAAAGAGCCCTTACCATAAAAGTGCGATGCCTTAATTTCGAACTTTAGCTGGTTATATTTTGTTTTTATATGTAAACGATAAACTATATTTACGCTCTGAAAAGTCGGTGTTCTCATTATCCAAGTTCTGCCTACCGCTCAATAAATTATTTTAATTATAATTATATAAAGGCCACACTACCATGTTAACGGACAAATCTGGAAAGTTTTGTCACACTTCTTCAGATTGGCAGAACCTACACATAGCTTCGTCTGTCAATTCCATCAGCTTTAGATGCCTATTTAGCTTGGCGAGCTTAGAGCACAGATGCGTTTTTAGTAGGTAGGCCATTTTTTCCATAAGATGCTTTTTCTAAAAAATTTGCAATGCAGTTACTGACCTACCGTAAACAGAAAGACAAAAATTCGTATTACAGTAACAGAATAATTGCCCTCCATGTCACAGTAACGTGTCCACCGTGTTCAACGTCCACATATACGAGGCGTCCGACACAAGGGCGTGTACAATTTCTACAAATTTCGTGTAGGTTTGAAGTGTATCGTATCGCGTCGCTTCAGAGCGGCTCGCCGATCGAAATTTAAAAATGCCCGGCTTAGATTTACGGCCTTTTTCGTGTTTAAATATATGCAACTGTGCATTTAGTCGGTGCGTGGGCTGCGCCCCGCATACCGTTCGACGTCTGACAGAAGGAGTTGACGGACATCGTACCTCTTATCAGATCGAACTGGTTCAAATGGACCGCCCCTGGCTCCGAGAAACAGAACCTAGTAAAATGAATGAATGAAAATTATTTACCGATTTGCATTCAACAATTTAGATACTTTAGATAGTTGGTAATTTGCATACATACCGTGTTAAACAATCTTTACTTTCCAAGAAAATATTCCATAGATAATGTTTGAGAAATCTACGATCTACCATTTTTTCCATAAGTTGTTTTGTTCTGAGATTTCTTAAAATTAAAAAACTTACGAGCTTCCAAAATCAAAGGGCCTAAAATGTATTTTTTCTATAGCAACTTTTAAAATTGCCTTATATCTATCAAAAATAGTAGATAAAATAGTACTTGAACCGAAAGTGTAGATTAAATGATCATTAGCGTAACTAGCAATTCATCCTAGGGGGGGCCTGGTGATGAGCCAGGGGGGACCTATGTCTTTTGGTGTTTAAAAAATGAAGAATAATTTAAAAAATACGTTTTTTAATAGAACGTTTAAATGAATTTCTCAGTAAATTCCATAGACTTGGTTGTCAAACCGCGTTCTCGTAGATTACCTAAATACCTACAAATTTTCTAAAAAAAATAAAAATTAACACATTTTTTGAACTCAACAAAATAATATTAGCTAAACAAAACTAGAAAACGTCATTTTTAGTACATCGCAAGCAAATAACAATAGTAGGCCAGGAGTCATAATTCAAGATATCTCTGGGGGTGCCCAGCAGTACCTAGGGCGGGCCCGGCACCCCTGGGCACCACTGTATTTACGCCAATGTAAATGATACTTTAATAGCGAGGATATGTTAAAAACTGTATTTCTTCACGCACGTTTTTTAATTGCTTCCATTTTTGAAAATTTTTGTATTTCTTTTCATAAGTTATTCGGGATTTAAATAGAAGTAGTTTGGAAATGGCGTTTGTCGCTTCAGCCTGAATATCTGTTGGTAATTTACTTATTTCGTTTTGAGCTACCGTATGATCGAATAAAAACGGCGTCAGCGATGGCTATGAAATGAAGATCGCTGTCATTTTATATGTAAAATTATATGGGAAATGTCATCGATAGTCATTTCATAGCCATCGCTGACGCCGTTTTTATTCGATCATACGGTATTGCTGGTTCCAATTCAATCAGCAATCGACACGAATGAGAATTAAAAAATATCGACTCAATTCTGACAACTAAAGAGACAGCTTTATTTAATTGTCAAATTACATAAAAACCAACGCCAACTCAGCACAATATTTTTTCTACTAGTAATAAATTCCTTGAAATAATAATTTCTGAATATTTTTTAAAACGTAACTCGCTATGGAAAAAAAATATTGTTTTATACACGACGATAAAATTGCATTATCGTCTTGTATAAAAAATAACTATTTTTCAAAGTTTTTTTTAATCACCCATGGGCAAATTAGTATAGCAATCTAGTAAAATTTCGCTAATAAGCTATGCTTGGACTAAAGTTTCTTGAAAATAAAGACATAATTTAAAATTCCGTTACTATACAGAAATAGATTGAAGTTTTGGGATTATACTCATTTATATGGTTTGCTGAATTTCTGCAAACCTTAATCAAACCTTAATCAAAGCACGTGTGTTTGGAATTTTGGGCGTGGCTTGACAGTAACAGTACGCATTGACAGTAATATGGCCGAGGACCGCGGTTCAAATTCGGCGTAAACAAAGCCCCGTCCAGATTAGCGGCAAAAAACTTTAACTTTCCATAAGATATTCTTTTCTTTCTAAAATATTTAATTTATGTATATAACGGGTTTAGACGTGTAGACTTAAAAAATAACTCATTTTATTTTCAAGATATATATTTCGTGCAGGTGTAACAGGTGTCAACTTTCTAGAACTACTGCCTTTCATTTGAAGTTAAGTTCAAGATCTACTAAAAGGAATTTCTTGTAACCTTCAAATTCAAAAACTTATGTATTTATAATATTGTTTACAAAAGAAGTAAGTAAACCTACCACATCCAGTACTTGCCAAGAAGAGATCTGCAACACTTTTCTTCCTAAATAAAGGTTGAACTATATAAGTACCTCTGTCAAGTGCATGGTTTTCATTTCTAGGCGGTTTTTTTTAAGGTAATCCTATGTCACGATATCATTTGTATTAGTTAAGGTAGATTATGAATGTTTTTCAGCAAATTGTTAAAAGAGTAAGATTTACACGGAAGGGTTTAAAAATTACATTTAATTAATAAATAGGACATGCTGTTGCCCTCTCGGGATAAGAACCAGAAACAAGGGTGAAAGAAGTCTAGTGATCTTTCGGGGAAGGAACCCTTCGGCCAATTAAAAAGGTGCAAAATATGCATTTGGATGGGTATTCGAAGGTTCCTCAAACAGGGGCGTGCCGAAGATGTAGTAACGCCTTTCCGAGATAGTACCAGCATCAGTATTTTCATCTTCAAAATTAGTTCGGTACTGACTTTTAAATTAGACGGTCGAATTTACTCCAAGTGCATGGTTTTCATAGAACTATTATATTTTTTACTATGTTGTGCATATCATACTATATATTTTTTTCTCTCTTTCATTTTAAGCTTTAAATTTCAAAAGTAACGTAAAAAACGAGTAAGCTGTACTAAGAACCTACAAATAATATAAAATTACATTTTATTTTATTATAGATACTATATTCAAATGCCGTCGTATCAGTTTGGAGTTTCTCATTTCCGGAAGGAAAAGCACTTCTCTATGTTTACTTATTTCTCTGAAGCAATAACCTTTTACATTAATCATCTAAATGTTTTTGTTTAATTTTAAGTTATATTGTTATTTGCATCTGTAAATTTCCCATTAACTTATAATGATTTCTTTCTAATACATAAATTTAGTCCAAACTAGTACGGAAGCATCTTTATTTCTGTAAAGCCCCGCCTACAGGTAACGTTTTACCTTACGTTTTTTTTCTGTTCAGTCGAAACCTGCCAAATAAAATATTGTGTGTAAACAAAAAAAAAGGAAGTTTGATGAAACTTCAACTGAATTAAGACGGAAGATTGCCTAGAGAACAGAGAACTGTGACGGGATCAATCAGTTTTACAACAAAAGTGTCGTTTTGTTGTCAAACTTAAAAAAATATTATAAAAATAAAATAGTAAAACATAAAAAGTTAATTACTAAAAATAATATGGATATATCACAGGATCATTAATAAGCGAATTTTAAAAATCTAATTTTTTTCCATAGTTTTATAAAGCAATGCAATTTTACAAAATTGTTAATAAATATTTAATGATTAAAAAACAATGCCAAACGAAACTATTTTCACAATTAGTTTAGCGTGTCTAGAAATATAATTTAAACCATAGATACAATTTTGTAGTCAAATTGCATGTTTTTTTTCTTTTCGACTTAAAAAAATACAACGCTATAATTGATAAAAGTAGTGTTTCCTTTAGGGTATTTACCAAAATCTTATCTAAAACCACAGGTAAAATTTTCAGTCTTTTTTCATGTTCAACAAACGTACCTACGTTACTACACAAAGACATTAAAAAGATATTTCTATACCTGTGCCCGTACACGATGCGTCCAACGTTGTAACTTGTAACCAACGTTCGGCATAGTAATCGACAATACTGCAATTTTTAATAAGCGTCTCCCATACGATGGGGTGGACGTTTGTTCCAACATTGAATTTAAATCAGTGCTGTAGATACTCCTCGACTTGGACAAATGGATAATATAATAAAAACTGGGATTACCGCTGTTATCGATACATCCCTAATCTAAATAAAAAAATTGGCAACCCCGTAAGCGACAAGAAAGAAAGAACAAAATATTGAACCGCCAACCGAATTTTCGAGGTTGAAAAATGCCATAAGCACACGACTGAATTAATAAAGTAAAATTTAAATAACTGAGGCCGATAATATGGCGCCCAACGTGGGGCGCTATATTGTCGGTCTCGTTTTTAGATTATGAGGTCTCGTTAGAGCTAGCCGGTGAAAAAAGTAAAATTAAAATTAAAATAACTGAGACCGATAATACCGCTGCACAGTGGTTCCCAGATAGGTCATTACTTAGAAATATTAATTTCAAAATGTTTGCATGAAACTGTTGCTAATACTTTTCTTATATTCCCCTGTAAACGATACATAATAAATAACAAAATCAAGTAAGCCTAGTGTAGCGCTTTCTTTTATTAGAAATGTCACATTTTTGCTACTGGTATCAAGCTGACATAAACAGTTTTCAGATAACGCCAATTAATTACTTATTTTATTAAAATTGATAAAAGCTGTTGCCTTTTCTGTAATGGACGTTCGAAAAGAAGGTAAAAAGGACTGTTTTTTTTTGCACTTAATTAAACCCAAGTAGGTGCCCGGTGGCGTAGAGGTACAGGCTCTCGTCTACCAATCTCAAGGTAGTGGGTTCGATTCCCACACCCGGCATTGCATCAGCCGACTATTTCTATTAAAATAAAAATAGTTTGGATACCTAGGTCGACTCAGCCTTAAATGAGTACTTGGAATTCACAATCCTGAGGTAATAATAGGCGGTTGAAGCGTAGCGCTAGCCACATTACCTTCCTTGTATAACGAACGGCTCTAGTATGGCAAGCTGTACCTTGCTACTCCCAAGGCGTTAAACGCTATATACGGGAGCTATTATTATTATTATTAAACCCAAGGAATATTAGTTTATGGCAATTTATTTGAAGGTAACAAAAATAGTATTTTTACATTTTTGCTTGTCACTCTTTAAGACTTTTAACTACTTTCCCTCTTAACCTCTTAAACGGCATGAGAATACTTGTTGCTTAAAGTATATTGCATATAAATTAATTGCCACTGGCTGCCGCGAATTGCCGCCGGATCTTATACCGGGAGGTTAAAGATTGACTTTTTGTCTTAAAATAAAAGTAACTTATTTTTTCCTCTTCGTGTCAACTTATTTCGTGGACACACTGTATATCAATTGACAATAAAATTGTATTTATAAAATGAAACAACTGTCTCTTTTATTTTTTCAACATTTAAAATAAATTTGACCTCTTCAATATGAAAAAACATGTACATATGTGCAAACATAATCTGTATACCTTTCCGAATAGTTAGAACTTAAAAATGCAAATCACACGAATTAGGCCCAATTTTTTTAATACATATTACATTAAGTTTTTTATATACATTTATTTAGCATTTGTTATCAATTTCTATTAAAAAAGATGCAGTCAAGCTATATTTAGATATATATGTATAACAGTTATGACCGCGCAGCTAATTAAGGGGAACCTCTGTGCGCTGGTATCATTTTTAGATTTTTCAGACTTTAAGTTTCAGACTTTCTTATTCGTTTTTTTCTCTCTTAGTTTTCTTTAGACTTTAGTTTAGTTTAATATTGATTAAAATTGTTGCAACAGAAAGAAAAAAGGACGTACTTACTAGGAGGAGGTGGATTGTAGATTGTATGGGAAGCGAGAAGTTATACAGTACGTCTGTCCGGTCTATAGCTACGGGGTATCCGTGAGAGGGGAAACGATATTCTCTCGATGTTTTTCGTAAAAAATTAGACGAGGCGTCTCATCAATAAAAATTCGACAAATTTGCAAGTAGCCAATAAAATGAGTGGGCGGAGCGATTTGCGGTGACGTACTCGTCAAGTCGACAAATAAAATATATTGTTGTTTATTTAAATGTTTTTTGTCCGCATTCCTTTCATAGACACAGATCCAGCAGACGCACTTTACAATACAAACTTATAGATCGATTGTGTCTCCTTTTCTTGAGAGCTTTGACCAAACCAGTATCTGAGATGGTTTTACAGAGATTAGTTAGTAGGTGTTCTGGTGTTTTCCCATTTTCACCACAGTGTCTCCGTTATTCGCCCTTATTTCCTAGATTCAATCTATTGATTCATCTATTGATAGTTCATTGAAGAGACTGCGTCCTGTTAAAAACCCCGTGACAATCCGAAGATTGTTCTTACTTAAATCAACGAAAATCTTAGATTTTTCTCGATAGTCAAGAGAAGGTGGATGCTATCTTAAAATAAAAGCAGAGGAATGTATATGTAGAGTAAGAATCTGCGATTAAAAGCAAGATAGCTACTGATCCCTAACGACCACTGCTTCGAACGTTGGAAGCTCCTTTGACGTGAGTGAAATTTACACTGTTTAGAGTATAGTCTAGAGACGTCTAGAGGCAGTTCTTCAGGTAGTCACTAGACCTGATGAAAATGTAGACGGTCTAGAAATATACTAGTTATAGATATACTACTGATATGTTCTAACTGATGGGCAAAACGCAAGATAAAACGTTATGTGTAGACGGGGCTTTAGAATTGATCACTTTGTGCTTTTGTTACTTTTAAGAAAGCTTGCAGAGACACTATGCCCATTCCAGCGGCCGACATACTTAAAGCCTTCTGCGAGCGCAAAATGATCATTTGCACTTTTTGTTGCATCTCGACTGGAAACTCGAACCAGGGAATCGAATAAATATCGTTTGCCACTTCCCAACTCTACAAAATGTAATAATTTAAACTCGATATACACTGTGAAAATAAATAATAAATGCTGTGAATTTCATATAAAATAGTTTCTGTATATTTGTAATTATAAAAATTGCATGCATAAGACCATATTGGAACTACACAATACAAAAGTTGACTCTTCGAAAACATCGATATTACTTATCGATATTTTTATTTATCGATAGTTCTAAACATCCCTACCTCGTATATTATTTTCTCCGGATTATTTTTTTAAACTAAGTACAGGAAAGACATTCTTAATATTGCACTTTTAAAATATGGAACATTAGATATTACAAATAATTATTGCTAACCTCGTCTATCAATAGCTGTCCATTATAACAAACTGATAACAATATAACCAGCCATCCCACAAGATGCAAAGAAAATCTGACAGAATCTTCAAAAGCTTCCACCATTATTATTTCAAAACATAACACGCTTAAAACCAAAGACGTTAAAGTTATGTAAAACAACAACATTGTACTGAAAGCTTCACCAATTTCTTTGGAATACCTAAAAAATATTTTTTTGCAAACTTCACGAAAGTATTCTAAAAGTACCTAATTTTAACGTCTAGGCATAAAAGTAAAGCACTTTTACGCCTAGGCATAAAAGTACGAAAATCAACGAAAATATATTATTAAACTTACATATAAAATGTCAAATTCTACAAGCAAAACCATAGTTTCTCCATATAGAATAATTACATACAAGGTATGACTTTGAAATTATTTGGAACGTTTGAAATTGTTTAAAAAATTATTTGTGGCGTTTGAAAAAAAAATAGCATGTTCTATTCGAAGTAAAAATGACTTTTTGTGCCTCGGCTGTATTCCAAGTCAAACGTACAGCCTAGCCGCAAAAAGTGTCATTTGTAGTCCTAATAAAACAATATACTATTTTTTGAAATATTTTACCAATCTGTCATTGCTATAGCAAGGCTATAGCTATTGTCTGTTCAACGCACAGTCCAACGAGGGAATATATGACAGTGACGCTATCAGTCAGTCACTGTCATATACGTTGTTCTTTGTCAAGGATACTATAGAGCCTTTTAGACTCCATACTATAGATATAAGGATAGTTCGATTCCTATCTTCCTGTACTGTCAGTTTTTTTACGTTTTCTAGGGACCGAGTTGAAGTACGCGCTAAAAGTTTTAGACAGTGACAGTTATTTTTGCGTTTGACGGACGAGCGCACAGTGCGGCGGAAGATAAATCTAGCGGGACAAAACCGTTTGGTTAAAAATAAGTCAAAAATGTGTACTGATAAGAATAAATAGCAGACATTCCAATTGATATAAAAATGCATGAATTATTTTTTGGTCGTATATGTTCTTTGTATTTCGATACATTTTTATCAACCAACCATATAATATCACTCCTAAGATTTTATCCTCCTAGAATAACCATCCGCCGCACTGTGGAGCGCTGGTCCCTGCGTGACGTAAGCATCCACGGTGACTACGATACCGGCGATTTGACGCGATCGAACAGTCCTTTAGAATATATACTGTCCTTGGTTCTGTGTAATGTTAATTCACTGAAAATTTTCTGTCATTTTATGCTATACAGGGTGTCCCAGAAATAAGTGCAAGTATTTTAACTGGTAGTATCTTTGAATAAGAAGATTAAGGAAGGAGCATAATGCTATCCATGTATTCATGCATGGTGGGCGGAAAAAGCTCTCTAGGGTGGGGATCCTTGACAGTTCTGTTTGACGATTCATTTGACACATTTGAATTTGATTTGAAATTTTGTGGATTTGTCAGTCTTTACTGAGCTTATTTTATGTTATTTATTATTTATTCTACTACTAATAGTTGTATAAAGGTAGTAAATCTAGATGGAAATTGTGGCAGAACTTAAATTAACAGTGACATTATCGCGATTTATCGAAAAAGACTCTAAAATAGTTGGTTGTGTAGCGTGCGGTAGATCTCAGCAAAAATTAAGTGAAATAATGGAACAACTTTTCGCTAGTAAGTGACTATATAATATACATACGTGTAGTAAACCGATCATTTATGAAATTCACTTAAATTAACTAAATTATATATTTTCTTGCATTTTAGCTTTTATTTACTACTTGTCAAAGATCAGATGTCAAAGAATTTTGATACGTTAATTTGACGTATCGGATGTTTGTGTTAATTATATACTTATTATAACTTATCTATTTTTATAACAATTTTAATAACTACCAACATTTATTCACAACGTAAAATAAAATAACAAATTATTGAGTCTACCCCACGTCTACCCTACATCATAGTTTTCCATTTTTTAAATAAAATTAGAACGGCACTGATAAACCGGAATTTAAGTCGGCCATATTTGAGGCCCATCGCGGTGTACCTAAGATTTTTGATATGCTCCTTCCTTAGTCTTCTTATTCAAAGGGTAGTATAGTTCAACCCCTGAAACGCGCCTATATGAGGTTCTTTTCGCGAAAAAAACATTTTGAAACCACCCCTTAAAATACTTACACTTATTTCTGGGACATCCTGCTTAAGTAAAGGATTAAATAAAAATATACTACAAACTATTTCTTAAACTCACTCTATAATGTCGATATGGTATCGAATAATATAGACCAGCCTTTCGTATAGTTTATCTACCGGACAATCTCTCAATTTTTTCACATAAATTCTTAAATGATTCAGCTGATTAACCGTATGCATTAACAAGCCACATAACAGCATGGTAAGACTCAATACAACGATAGACACCATAGTGCAAGTGTATATCTGATGAATAAATATCATTTCATACACCGGGGTATGTCCAAAGTTGAATGGGAAATGACTTCTGACAACCTACGACAAAAGAAACAACAAAACAAGTGTGAATATTTTTACAGTGTACAGTATGTCCCATTTAGGTTACCAATTCTTGACAAATATTTACAGGGTGTTGCATTTGAAAAACTTTAACATTAGTTAATATCTCCAAAAATGGAAATATTAAAAAACTACTCCACTGGATTCCTCATACAAAGTTCTATAAGAGCCTCCACATACGTTCAGTTATTCTTTAGCGCAGGCTGACTGTGCAGACCAGTTGCGCAGTTTAACTTCCCAAGTAGCAAAAAGAAATGCTAAAAGGATTGAATTATTTTATAACAGTCGAATAGCGTTGTCTTAAGGACTGCTTGATTTTATTACGCGTTTGGTTTCGACCATTCTGTTTTTTAACAAAAGTTGTCATATTAAACTATTTTCTAGTGGTTTTTACAACGTATCCTATAACGCATTAGACGATAATTTCTTTTAGTATGATATAACACTTAATAAGACAATGCTATATGATAACAAACATATTATTTTATTAGACTCTTATACCCACCAACACCATGTAAGAGTTCTATAATATTCATATAACTAGTAGTCACAAGATCATATAATAGTTACTTAAACTTGTCTTATTAAAGTTGTATTACGTTGTATGATAGAATGTTTTATTGCGTTAAATATCTATCATTATAAAACTGGTAATGTATAATATAACCTCATTTTATATTAAATGGTATACCTAGTTATTTATTTTGTTATTGTTGTTGTTGCAAAAGTAATATCTACGTACGAATATAATCAATCGCAGCTATTATGAATTCTGGACAAAGTTGGAAAAAAGTTATCAAACGCAACGGTAGTTACAAAGACCATGTAAAAAAAAACTCTTCGAAATTACGGCGAATAATCCCGAGAATTCTCTGGGTTCTCAATAGCCATAATCATAGACAAACTAACAAAAGCAAGACGCGTCAACGCTGTACTGCAAAACGGTAACAAGTTTGATAAGAGTTTATTACCGCGCTTGCGTCAACTGGCCTTTTAGACGAGGACGGTTTACTTATGGATTGTGTATTTTGTAGTAGCCTTTTAGGCAAGGATGTTTAATTAAAAAGCGTTTATTAAAATCAAATAAATTTATTTCCATCGGTAAAATAAACAATAATTTCTGGACATAACGGATATAAAAACAAAAGTTAAATAAACGAAAACGTATTCCTCTTATTAAAATAACAAAAAAGATGATAAAAAACAACAGTTATGGTAAACTTCATGGCATACTTCAAAAGGTACAAAAAAATAATTATGTATATTATAATATTAATAATAGGAACAACAAGAAACATCTTAAAAATATACAACTTTTTCAAATATAAAACAAAAACATAAACTTCACATTTTCACAAGAATTTGCAAAAATATTAACATTTCGAGTCTATTATAAAATATAAAGCACGAAAATTCAAATCATAAAAAGATTATTAAAAAGATAAAGATTCTTATAACTTACAGTCAATTTGTAGGACCTTCGTTTTGTCTACGTTAGCGATGTAATCACAATAATATGTATAATCACAGTAATTATTACGTTCTTCATAAATGTAAAATGTATTAAATTATTTGTTTTCGTTTTGTACGCTAATAAAATAATAGTAATAACCAAACAAAACGCAAAATCAGGAATTCAACAGTTCGTTCAAGGATGCACAAAACGTTTTCAAGGCAAAAACATTTTTCGTTTTATTTAGGTTAGGTTTGACGAGTGCGACTGCGCGATGATTTCTGACTCAACTGGCCAGCGCAAAAACAATAATTCGACTTCCTCAATCCTTTGAAAAGTCTTGCTTTTGTTAGTTTGTCTATGGCCAAAATCTATCGGGTTGTCTGGCTTCTTCAAAGCATTGTTGCCACGTTGATGTAAAAGTTTTACTGTAGTAATGTTTGTATTGTTGTTTTTCCAAGCCCTTCGGTTGCCGCTCACTCGTCGGGCACGCATGAAATGCATTGCGCACATGAATCCATGAAAATCTGATCATGTTTGTTAGTGTAAACACTAATCAAATGAGATTTGGCAACATCTATATGTCACAAATCTCAATATGTCCATAATAGTTCTATAGTGCCGGGAAATTCTGCGTAATGATAGATATTTATTCTATACCGTTTTATTTTACAACAAAGACTTATTTAAGGGATTCATTTATAATAAAATGGTTGCATTATAATTCGCCATGTTTAAGGCAGAATTTTTGTATGGCCTGTGGCCGCCATTATATGAAGCAAAATTAAAAACATCAAAATAAATTGTAAAATGTTATTTTTGATAACTATTTTGTGATAAGATTCCCACATACAGTAATAAAGTGTTTAATTAAGAGAATTTTTGAAAATTAACAAGAATTTGAAAATTAACAAGAATTTTTGAAAATTTTATTTTATTTTATTGTTTAAATTTATATGTAAACCTTAATCGAAATTAAAGCGCTTTAATTTTTTGACAAATACATACCTATAACCTATGAGTAAAATTTTCGGCGCAACAAAAATTATCCCTACTTTTCAAACCCTATTAATGATTTTTTATATTACATATTTGTTGTATCTTCTGGCTCTACCCGCCATTTTCATTGTCGAGTAAAGTCTCCTTTTTAACAATCCACATCCTCTAGATTCATTTTACGACACGCTTAAAATATAATTTGCTCCTAATATTCTACGGTAAAAAATAAAATACTGTTGTACCTCGCTAAATGATCAAATGTTTTTATTGTTCTGTTTCTTAGATGTGACCACGTAATACACAAAAAAACTAGTTTTATAATAGTCATATAACGCTGTGTAAAATAGTTGCATAAGAGTTGTATACTCTTTTTATAGAACTTCTATACCACAAAACGGTTGTATAAAAATGGGCCTTTTTTGGTTGTAAAGCTATCATATTACGGTCATATAGCACGTTATATGAATTGAGGTATCCTATAAAAATTATCACATAGCTGTTTATACAGCCTTTATAAAATAAAATTTGCTGCTTGGGTTGTACTACTTTCTATAGCACATATACGCATCAGTTTTATCGCAGAGTTTTGTCTACAGTGTACTGAGTGACACACATACTAATATTGTCTGCGTGTACCTTAAGAATAATTCGTTTTTACCTTTTTGATCAATTTTTGTCAGGCAACTGAGTTACGAGAGGTGTATGAATCTAAAATTACGGTATCATGTAATCTAAAGAAGCTATTTTAAATACTAAAACCGCAACCTTCTTTCTTTACGTATAAGCTAGATAACCGTCATTTGCAAAGCAATAAATGGGACACTCCGACTTTATTTTATTTTTTAATTAACAAAATGCACAATGGATACTTACAAGACCACAAGGCATTCGATCTTCAATGATACTTCTTCGACACTTCTCAACGCTCAATTGAGGCATCAACATGTAGACGAAATTGCCCAAGATACCGTAGAACATAAAAACTTTACAAAATAGGTTTGCCCTGTCGTCCACTTCGATTATTTTATCCCAAGAAGAGTACTTTTCAAAATGGCGAATGGATATCTCAAATAAACATTTTTTATTATAGTCATAGGTACTACTTCAAATCACACCGGAAAAATCTAGGGATATCATTTTATTAAAGTTAAAAATAAATGTTTTGAATAAACAACCACATATTTGTAGGCCGATTCTTTCTACTTCGATTGAAACGAAGTAGTCACACTAGTTATTTCTAAATTTGGAATATTTGCAGAAGTGTTTGTGCATTTTTTGTCAAATGTATAAAAAGCACCGAGCATCAATTGTTCGAATTTAACCTGTACTGGCTATGTTTTTATGATAACTGGCCAGAATTCATTCAAATAACTCTGTTTAGTATCAAACGACATTATGGAGCGTAGACATCTTAACAGAGACGAAATGCTAACGGCCATGGGTATGCTCGAAGCTGGAATGCGCCAAATCGACGTAGCTAGAGCATTAAATACAACGCAAAGTATTTTTTGGTGTAATATCGCGATTAAGTGCACGCTACCGTGAAATTGGTGATGTTGCTGAAAGGCACACAGGGCGACATCGCATTACTACCCCTCAGCAAGATCATTTTTTACAATTAAATGCTCGACGCCGACCGACTCTTACAGCACCAGAGCTTACTTTAATTCTCCAGGAAACACATAATATAACCGTTAGTCCTGACACTGTTCGCAATAGATTAAGAGAGGTCAACTTAAGAAGCAGACGCCCCTGGAGAGCTCAACCCTTAACGAGAGGAAATCGAGAGGTACGATATTTGTGGGCTCAAGATCATGTTCAGTGGTCGAATGAACAATGGGCCAATGTTCTCTTCACGGATGAGTCACGCTTTGGAATTCATCCGGATTCGAGAAGGCTTAGGGTATGGAGAGAACCGGGAAATCTTATTCGGTTGGATCATGTTCAGGAAGTGCACCCTTATCAAGATGGAAGAGTTATGGTCTGGGGAGGAGTCCAGTTAGGCCGAAAAACCATTCTCGTTTTTCTTGAAAGGTTTCTAACAGGAATCACATATCGTGATTTAATTCTTGAGCCTGTCGTGTTACCATATGCCAATGATTTTGGGAGAAACTTCATTCTCATGCATGAGAATGCACGGTCTCATACAGCCAGAGTGGTAAGTGAGTTTATCAATGCTCATCAATTAAACATCTTACCCTGGCCGGCACAATCTCCTGACCTCAACCCCATCGAGCACGTATGGGACGCGGTCGAAAGAAGAATTTTGAGAATGGGTATACCTCGTGAAACTCGTAGGGATCTGGTTCGGGCCGTGAATGCAGCGTGGCAGGCTGTACCTCAAGAAGAGATCGACAACCTGATCAGGAGCATGGAGAGACGATGTAGGGCTGTAATAAACAGTAGAGGAGGCCATACCCTTTATTAAGTAAAAATGGTTTTATCTTTTTTTTTAATTCACAGTTTAGAATAAAAAAAAATGTGTGTATTTTTTTGAGTTCAATAAAAATCAAGGTAAATTTGAAAAATTCGGTAAATTTCGCATTTTTATTTCCAATACGTCCTGTAAACTATTTGTTTATTTTAATTTTATTATATCAGAAATGCAAATAATAAAATTACTGACGATGGCTGGATAAAATTGTAATATCCCTAGACTTTTCCGGTGTGTGTATTAATTTTTATTTTTACCACAAGTTTTTGTATAGTTCTTCTGTTACTTATAAAGCATATAACCATATAGATCATACCAATAATACAGTTCAAGGCAATCATATCCTCTACCACTTTTGTCAGATTTTTTACACCTTCTGTAAAAAATACACATTAAAAATAAAATCATTGAAAAAAAATGGCGTCCATTGGGCTCAGAAATGAACATCGATGATATTCCCCATAAAATGTTACATGTAAAATGACAACGATCTTCATTTCATAGCCATCGCTGACGCCCTTTTTGTTTTCGACCATATTGTATATGCTTTACATAAAACAAAAGTTAATTTTTTTGACAAATCTTTTCACAGACTTTATTTTTTGAAAATCTAAATGAAATTAAGTTTCCTGTCAGATCTTCTACAAAAGCTTCAAGACATAGCTAATAAATCCGTAATACCGTATGATCAAAAAAAACGGCGTTCAATTGATTTGGAAATGACAATCCTGGTTAACATTCCTCATGATCTTCATTTCATAGCCATCGCTGACATCGTTTTATTTTTCGATCATACGGTACAATTTTATAAATAATTAAATTTTGCATCTGTTGCTTACAAAAAATACGTGTTGTTCCATTTAAATTAAACAAATTACTGCCGTTTAAAGCAGCTAGTAATTGTTTAGAAATTTCTAGAATTATACACCTCTTAAAAAACATCTTCTAGAACTAAAAAAGTAACAATAAGGAGAAAAAAATTATCATTATATCTGTTCAAATAGAAATAAAAAAAATAAAAAGTATTCGATTTTTTTTTTAATTTTATGGTAAACTTTTGATCAGCCATCAAATTGCTCAACTTTGTCTCCCTTTAAAGGACCTTTTTTATCTTCTAGTTTCTGAGTTCATAATGAATGAAGCTCGAATATGTTGAACAACCTGTACAAATAGAAACTTTTTACACTAATTAAAGTAATTCTCTTACCACTCAATTGAAAAACAAAATCGGCTAATATGGGTATAGCGCACGGCATAAGTGACAGAATCATTACAGAATCCTTAAAAAGACGATTTTTGTTATAAACAAAATTCAAATTTTCCGGCCATAACAAGCATGTTTTTAAAACCCAAATGTTAAAATTCAGAAATTGCGTTCTTTGTTCTTGATTGGACAGAATCATTGTGGAATGTTTCTAAATACGAATCAAAATACTGCGGCTTTTAAAAATACCTAAATTGTAGATTAACGGATTTTTTGCTAAAAAATTTAAGAAGGCTGTTTGACAGGACTTGAATTATTCCTCTTGTCTAATTTAAAGTTCAAAAAGTCTCTTATTATAAGCTAGCAGAAGTGTCTCTCAAATGTATTTAATATGCTCTTTTTACCGGTTAAAAGCTCTTATTTTTGATGGATTAAATATTTATTCAAATTTATGGCGAATGCACTGGTGTATAAAATATTTTTTTTTTAAGTTTAACTATTATTTATACTGTATTTATCTCTCATATAAATTATTATGAAATAATTAAACAGCACTCTATTAACAAACGTATATAAAAATATCTTAAAAACCTATGGAAAATTATTCAAATAAATTAAAAACATTTTTTCGTTTCAAATTTGCCGCCATTTCTTCAGCTGAACTGTGAGAAATTTGACAGATAAACAGAGTTTGTCAGCGTGATAAATCTCTTCGATGCCGACCAAATTCATCTTTTTTCAGTGATATTTAATCGTTTCGGTGTTAAAAACCTTCTGAATCATCCAGTAAGTACTTTTTTTAAGTTCCAATCGGCTTTCTCGATTTGAAACCGATCGATTTTCAAAGTGATCACTTCCGTCCTGTACAGGAACAGGAAACCCTCCAAAATGGAGATCGTTTCGTTTTCCTGTCGGCGACAATTTTGAAAAAAGAAAAGTCAAAATATAACCAAACATATCTTTATTATTAGAAAAATGGTTGTTTTTATTTTAGGATATGATAAAAATATCCCTGGACAACAGTGTAGCCCCCATCAAGTACGTTTTGGCACCTAACAAAATACAGCCACTCTCAGATATTGCTGTATGTAAAAATTCGAATAGGATTTCAAAAGGTTCTGTTGATTTCTAATAAACATTTCTTCTTTTAGGTTGATCATTCATCACTGGTAAGTTCATCATTAACTTCGATAAATGAGTTGGGGAAACAGCTTCTTAAGGCTGCTGCCGATGGAGATGCACGAGAAATTAAAAGACTTCTTACTAAAGGTTCACCGTTCACATCTGACTGGGTACACAAGTGTAAAGCTTTGTAAAAACTTGAAATTAATTAAATGCATTCTAGTTAGGGACAAGCCCGCTTCATCTAGCTGCTCAGAACAATAATGTAGATGTATGCGATTTGTTGTTAAAAGCTGGAATATCAAAAGATGCTAGAAATAAAGTAGATCGAACTCCTCTACATTTAGGAGCCTATGAGGGGCATCTTCATGTTGTTGAATCGCTCGTTAAGCATGGAGCGGATATTAATTGTAGAGATATGGTATATTCATATTTTTTATGTATCTTTAAGTCAAATAATGTTATTTTTAATTTCAGTTAAACATGACACCCTTACATTGGGCTGTTCAAAACGGACATACTCCAGTAGTAGAGTTTCTATTAAAGAATGGATCTTTAATCGATATAATTAATAAGTTTTCACTGACTCCCAAAGATATAGCGTTACAGATAAATAACAGTGATATTATAGAATTATTACAATGTAAGTTTAAAACAGTATTAAATTCTAGGTATACATATATTCATAAACATATACATATGTATTTTGTAGCATATGAAAGTGATCCACAAACAGCGACTGACAATCTTGTAATGCAATTGCAAGCTGAAGATGGAGATGAATCTGCAATAGATAATGATTTAACTGAAATAAACAATGAAATAGGTAAGTATTGTGTTTCAAAAGTTCATACTAGGCTTACATTCAATATTTTCCATGAAATTCCTGTTCAAAGAATTTAAATTACTAACAGTTTATTTTTTTGTAGATCCAGTAATAATTAATTTGGACAATAATAATGAAATAGCAAACATAACATCCCTGGATCAAAAACAAAATTACTCTCAAAGTAAGTACATCGTGCTTTATTTATATTTTGTGTATATTTAATATACAAATTTATACAGGTCATGTCATTATCAACTTAGATCAGGAACAGGAAGATGAGGATAATCCTGAATCTGTGAATATAACTCAAATTCAAAATGGTACAAAAATTAAACATAGAAGCAATTCACATCATTTTTAATAATATTAACACATTGTAGATATGGAAGTATCGCAAGAACCTCCAGTAGCAACCTTTAAAATTATAGATAGCGTACTGCAAAGTAACGATGAAATTGAGAATGACTTTTCTGCAGTGAAGTTATTGCAGGATCATGGGATTACTATGTTGCCTAATGATTCAGAGGAGACAAATTTACTAAATACTGTCATGGAAAGTGGGCATCAAGTTGTATTAACGGGTAGGTGTTACTGGGTGTGCCAAAAGAAATGGAGAAATTGATTTTTATTATTGAGTCATTGAAAAAGAAAATTATATTGAGAAACCAATTACCAATGGCTTGCATGTCATCAAAGATGCTAAAACTGTTACTAAAAATTGACATAAAATTTGTCAAAAATTAACACTAATTATAGAAAGATTAGGAAAAGATAGAATGGTTCCAGACACAAATCAATTTTCAACAATTTTTTTTTTTTTTGAATTTTAAACTACCCCATTTAAAAATCATGTTTACTCAACATAAAAATAAATTACAACCTTCAAAGGCCAGCTGGCAGTAAGCGCCATTAAAAAATAAAGAGTGCGGACGAAGTAAATGGCGTCTAGGGCTTGACCTCGCCAAAATTATCATCGTCGTTTCCAAGCCGTCTTTGACATCTTTTTTTCGATCATGTATTAGTTTATATATAAATATCCTTTTCTAAGCTTTCATTTTTTATTAAAACATATTTTCATATAATTTTCTTTTGGTTTTTAATTCCTATGTTATGTGTTTATTTTGTTAGATGCAGGAAAAGAAGTGTTGAACAGTATCAAAGAAGAGGAACAAGAAAAAATAGCCGTAAAGTCTCAAAAAATCATTACCGTAACGCCAGAACAGTTAATTCAAATGACCAATGGAAATATATTTGAAAAAGCTCATGTTTTCAATAAATTGAAAGTTGCGCCTGCCAAACAAGCCCCAAAGAGGATTGTGATGAAGAAAAACAGACCAATGCCGTTTGGAAATGTAATTAAAGTAAGTAAAAAATAATCGGTTATTTAATCCAGGGATAGGCACCAGTTTTTAGAAATATATGATCTTATTTTTAAATTTACCGCCAGTAAATCGAGTCAAATTACGGTACTCAATGTGTGTCAAATTTTTAGTGTCTTTATTTGTCATATTTTACGACTATAATTTAATGCTTTGAATAAGAAGAGTAAGGAAGGAGCATAATGCTATCCATGTATTCATGCATGGTGGGCGGAAAAAGCACCATAAAAGCTCTCTAGGGTGGGGATCCTTGACAGTTCTGTTTGACGATTCATTTGACACATTTGAATTTGATTTGAAATTTTGTGGATTTGTCAGTCTTTACGGAGCTTATTTTATGTTATTTATTATTTATTCTACTACTGATAGTTGTATAAAGGTAGTAAATCTAGATGGAAATTGTGGCAGCACTTAAATTAACAGTGACACTATCGCGATTTATCGAAAAAGACTCTAAAATAGTTGGTTGTGTAGCGTGCGGTAGATCTCGGCAAAAATTGAGTGAAATAATGGAACAACTTTTCGCTATAAGTGACTATATAATATACATACGTGGTAAACCGATCATTTATGAAATTCACTTAAATTAACTAAATTATATATTTTTCTTGCATTTTAGCTTTTATTTATTACTTGTCAAAGATTAGATGTCAAAGAATTTAGATACGTTAATTTGACTTACCTGCTTCAGTAGCGTATCGGATGTTTGAGGTAATAAATACTTATTATAACTTATCTATTTTTATTAGAATTATATATTTTTATAACAATTTTAATAACTACCAACATTTATTCACAACGTAAAATAAAACAACAAATTGTTGAGTACCCCACGTCTACCCTACATCATAGTTTTACATTTTTTAAATAAAATTAGAACGACACTGATAAACCGGAATTTAAGTCGGCCATATTTGAGGCCCATCGCGGTGTACCTAAGATTTTTGATATGCTCCTTCCTTAGTCTTCTTATTCAAAGATTTAATGACGCCGGTTGTCAAATTTGGATTGGTTGGAGTCATAATGTAAAAAATGAGTTTATTACACATAAAAAACGTTTTATGAAAAGCAAATAAAATCTACTTTTTTCGCATTAGTAAAGGTCTTTTATAAACGTTGTTTTCTATTAATGACTATTGTAATAATCTATACTAATATATAAAATCCTTAAGGGTGCATCCAGACTATCCTAACAACGGCGTATCGGCGTAACGGCGTAACGACCTGGAATCGATTTCCAGTAATTCTATTTGCTGAAATTTTTGACAGATGAATTTGACAGATAAAATTTCTGAGAGATGAATTTTTCAGCCAATAGAATACAGGTTGATTCTAGGGTGTAGAGGTTCGATAAGAAGGGATTTTTGGAAATTCCAGTTCTAAGGGGGTGAAACCACCCCTCAAATATTACAATATTTTTTTATGTAAAAAACGGTCAAGTTTCCGAAAAAACGCTTAAACACGTATATTTTATTTTGTTTTTTTACATATTTTAAGATTTTTTAAAAATGTATACAGGGTGTTTCGAAAAAGCTGGTCACGATCCACTGGAAAAAGCTTAATCACGATCCTGCTTAAAGCGCTTGACGTAAAAAGCTGATTTTTGGAAAACAGATTGACTTTGGGGTGTAGAGGTCCGATAAGAAGGGATTTTTCGAAACTCGAATTCTAAGGGGGTGAAACTATCCCTCAAATATTAAAATATTTTTTATTTAAAAACCGCTGAGTTTTTCGGAAAAACTCTTAAACAAGTATATTTTATTTTGTTGTTTTACATATTTTAAGATTTTTTATAAATTTATATAGGGTGTTTCATAAATATGACCATTGAGTAATCACGATTCTGCTTAAACTGCTTGACGTTTAAAGTTGATTTTTGGCAAACAGATTGACTGTGGGGTGTAGAGATTCGATAAGGAGGGGTTTCTCGAATCTCAAATTCCAAGAGGGTGAAAACGCCCCTCAAATATTACAATATTTGTTATTTGAAAAACGGTTAGTCTTTCGGGAAAACGCTTGGACACGTATATTTTATTTTGTTTTTTTACATATTTTAAGATTTTTTAAAAATGTATACAGGGTGTTTCGAAAAAGCTGGTCATTGATTAATCACGATCCTGCTTAAAGCGCTTGACGTAAAAAGCTGATTTTTGGAAAACAGATTGACTTTGGGGTGTAGAGGTTCGATAAGAAGAGATTTTTCGAAACTCGAATTCTAAGGGGGTGAAACTATCCCTCAAATATTAAAATATTTTTATTTAAAAACCGGTGAGTTTTTCGGAAGTAATCACAAGTTTTCCATTGAGTAATCACGATTCTGCTTAAACTGCTTGACGTTTAAAGCTGATTTTTGGCAAACAGATTGACTGTGGGGTGTAGAGATTCGATAAGGAGGGGTTTCTCGAATCTCAAATTCCAAGAGGGTGAAAACGCCCCTCAAATATTATAATATTTTTTATTTAAAAACCGGTGAGTTTTTCGGAAAAACTCTTAAACACGTATATTTTATTATGTTTTACATATTTTAAGATTTTTTAAAAATTTATACAGGGTGTTTCATAAAATATGGCCATTGAGTAATCACATTCTGCTTAAACTGCTTGACGTTTAAAGCTGATTTTTGGCAAACGGATTGACTGTGTGGTGTAGAGGTTCGATAAGAAGAGGTTTCTCGAATCTCAAATTCCAAGAGGGTGAAAACGCCCCTCAAATATTACAATATTTGTTATTTGAAAAACGGTTAGTCTTTCGGGAAAACGCTTGGACAAGCATAATTTATTTGGTTTTTTTACATATTTTGAATTTTTTTAACTGTTCGCACGGTTTTAACTGCACAGTTAAAACATTTATTTTTAACTCTATGGTTAAAACGAATAAAATAACTGAAGTGTGTGGGGACCTGAAAGCAACTAAGCATCGAAAATGAATGCTGAAATGCTAGTGGGCGTCTTTCGAAATCTGTGCAAAGAAAATTTCGCTAATTTTATTGCATGCACTTTTCAGAGCGCCCTGGTAAAAGTTAATTTCAATCCTTGCATTTTATGTTTTAGGTAAAAAGTAATATGAGCAAATCGACGAGTAGGAGTGACTTAGAATATCTAATGAGACAGTTGATTGAAGCGAGGAAGACAATTGAAGAGTACAAAATAAAGCTGCAAAAAAAGGAAATGGAAGCAGAGAGGTACAAAAAACAGCTTAAGTTATTCATGGAATGGAATTAAAAAAACTTTAAAGTATGTAAATTTGGTTAACTGTTTCCTTTTTGTGTGCAAGGCCTTGCGTCACAGAAACTGCTGTTTTATTTTGTGATCAAAATGACTTAAGGTTTGTTCCCAGAAGAATCCCTGACTAGTCAGCACGTTTCTCATTGGTTAAAATGCGTAGAAACCTGATTGTTTTTAGAATTTTTAGAATTTAGAATGAGTGGGAGGGGGTTAATCACTTTGACCTTACAGATCCATTGTGTCCCCCTTTCTTGAATCATAACTCATCATACAGTCCCAGGGCTTTGACAAAAGCCAGTATCTGGGACGGTTTTATAGAGGGTAGTTCTCCATCTCCAATATCAGTCGTACCAAAATTCATGGCACGAATGGTTGTCGTCTCGGCGCACTCAGTGATGAGGTGTACTGGTGTTTCACCATCTAACCTGATTGTTAGTCAGGTTTCTACGCATTTTAACCAATAAGAAACGCGCTGACTAGTCAGAGATTCTTCTGGGAACAGACCTTTAATGATTTTGTATTTGGCGATTTTTGAAATGTTTTTGGACCAGTTGGTTCGCTGTTTTTTGTTTGTTGATTTTTTAGACGCATAATTTTTTATACTCGCAGAATTATCCTTTTAAATGAACTTTCATATATATTCTTTGCTAATTAAGTTCTAAGTTTTTTCATAGTGGAATGTCAGATTTTGAAGAAAATAATTTTTAATTTAAATTAAAAAAAATATATCAAACAACCACTTGCGGTTTGATTTAACAGTTAAGTGATGAAGATATTGTATTTTTGTGGAAAGATATGTTATTTTTAAATGTTGCCATTGTAAATAATGTTATAATTAACTGTTAGAAGTTATTTTTGTACCTTTTGTATATAGAGAAAGACAATAAATTATTATAACAAGTATTGTTTTATTGCTACTCTGTAAAGGTCTGTTATGAATTAAATATCAAAAAATTATTAACAATATTTTATTAAAAAATATAAATACATGTCTTGTTGAAGTAAAAAAATATACAAAATAAAAATACAATATTAAAAATATACTAATGAAATTAAAACTATGATATAGAGTAATTCCGTTTTTTAAAACAATATCTATAGTTTTTTCTCGCGTCAACTATTCTCAATATGGCGAAACAATTTATAGGGAAATCAATAAAAGTTGACGTGCATGTCAAAGACATCGACACTATTATCACAGATTAGGTATCCTATAAGTATACAGATAAAAATCTTGTCTCTAATTCGTGGTACGAAAATTGTTTTTTACGACGATGTGCAAACAAGTAAAATTTCCTGTGCGCAAACATAAACTCGCGTAAAATAACAATAAACAGCGTAATCGAGAGATATCGCTAAACCGAATAGCGTGCATGGACGTTAATAAGGCCAGGTGTTATTTCCTTTACGTGAGGTGGTATTAACTCTCTTCATTTATAGTTATCGGATCGGAAAGAATTCTGTTCGCGTCGCGTCCGCTCAGTTTAAACTTAACCTAACTTTGAAATTGTTTTGTTTACTAGGTATTTTGAAAACTAAAGGACTAAAGTGCTTATTTCCAGTGCTTTATTCTTGTCTGCCAGTGGGTTTAGGGCAACAAGCAACAAATTCCCTTAGAAGGGCTAAGTCCTCATAACTGTGCCGGTCAGGCGCTGTGCACAATTGCCATAAGTGGGCGTAAGGCCATAAGTGGGCGTGCTATGTGCGCAAACTAGTAACCTAACTAGTGCCCGATTCCGAAAATTTGAACCACGAAAAACAATAAAGAAAAAACAAAGTTTATAATCTGTATAATCTGTGCTATTACCAACGTAAATTTCTAATATATAAAAATTCGTTTCAAACTTAGAGCGCACTTTTTCATTTTTCTTATAATCTCATATCTTGGTTAAAAAATACAGCTCGCTGTCGCATGAAGTAATCGAAGTGGCCGATAAAAAAGGCTTTGTTGGTAGTCATGGGAAATGTTGCCGGTTGTCGTGGAAAATCCGTGACAAAATTACGAGTTTTAATTGACTTTTTAAAATTCAAAGTAAAAAAAGTAGTCGTGGCAACATTGCGACGTGCATTCGTCAAATATATTTTGATCTTTTCATCAACACGCAAACTTTTATTGCTTTTCCCTTTCCTTTTTTTAACTATACAAAATCTTTAATATATAAATAGGAAACTTAAAAAAGCTTTAATACTTAGATAAATATGTGTAAATAAATTGTATTATATACAATTTAACAAATAACAATTATTAATTTTATTTATTTTTATACAATGTGTATCTAATCTCAAAAGTCTTTCAAAACTATTTTAAGCGCTTTTTTAACATATTTATTCAATATATATTATTTTAAGAAAAAACGATATAAGGTACATTATTTATTATTATTTCACTGGACCACGTGAAATTGGAATGTGGAATTTCGCGAGACCACCCTTTGTAATAATTTGTCCCCTAAATTTTTTGACACCTCGTGCCATACGTACTTTCCTATGATAGGTACTTCTTCTAAAGGTGCTCTAAAGGAAACCAGAAGTGTCAAACAGGCGCCATCTTTGTTTTCTCTTGGATCATGTTCCACCTGTAACAAAAGAAAAAGGTGCCATAAGATCGAAAAAGAAACGGCGTCAAAGACGGCTGGGGAATGACAATCGATAATAATTTTGGCGAGGTCAAGCCATACACATTATTTAAATTATTATCGAAGTAAAACTTCTTTACGCGCGTTGGGAATAAAAATTCGAGGCCGTGACGCGTGAGCTAGCCGGACCCAAGTAGCATTTTCACGACTTGCGACCACATGTTTACTAAACACAACATTGGATTAGTTACAAAAAATAGTTAGCAGCGTACCTTGGATATTAAAATAAATGTAAACGGTGTTGTAACGTTGTGCCGACGTTGAACTAGTACTACAACAAAGTAAAAGCTTCTGCGACGTCGAATAAACGTTGTCTTCTAACCTTTTTTGGTTAAGTGATCTTTAGGTGATTCGGACAACGTAGTTACAATGTTGGGCAATAAAAAGTTTTCCGACGTCACTTTCAGGACCTATTCCAACGTTATGCAAACGTCGTCTGTTTTACTAATTCCAAAGTTGTTTAAATTTCCTTATTCTTACGTTGATAGGACGTCGAGCCACTACCTTTTTGCAACTGTATTGAACCATAACCTTAAATCTTAAATTTTCACTTCATTGTTCTGTTCAGTCAGACAGTTCAGTGCTGTTTTTGTTTTTATAAAAAAAAACTTAATTAAAATGGGACGTAAGAAAGACACATATAAAACTAAATTTAAATATACATCGACATATTACCTATACTTTATCCGCTCCCTCGTTTATTTAGAATACCTATAGGGGGCGGCACAAGCTAGACTCTAGGATGACTAAATTAGGCAATCTTGCGACTAGTATACTACCTGTTAAGGCTGAACTGCGACTTTATTAGTCCAGTATGCGACTACTCGAACTACTCCATCTTAATCTCCAAAACAACAAAGTGAAAGCCGCCATGTTGTTGAATAAGAAAATGTTTCGTTCCTAAAATAGCAATTCCTGCTCTTTGAGTACATTAACTAGAAATATTTGACCCTAAACAACACGCGGAAACAATTTTTTCGACTGCGAATAAATTAATCTCATTTTATTAAAAAAAAATCAAGACATTTTTTAAAACTTCTTTAATTTTAAGGCTTATTAGTATTTTTCAAAGTAGAAACAATACATTTATCAATAAAGTTGTTTGCGTTTAACTTTTTTGTCTTGGGTAACGAGTTACAGAGTTGGTTAAAGTGTTTCAATAATTATGATCTTCAAACATCCTCCACACTTAAATACTTTTGTTTTGTTTTCGTTTACTGCCATCTGGCATATGCCTCTAACTAAATCATAAAAATAATATTTTTACTATAATTATCCCAATTTAGGATAAAACGCGACTTGTATTTCTGTCAATTAGGATTTTAAACAACGTTGCAGTTTGTACTAAATTAGGCTGCTAGCCAACGTAGGTATCCAACGTCGTTTCGACCCAAAAATTATTCTCCAAACTAGTGCAGACTAGGGTTGGCACGAGGTTGTGTCGACGTTGCGCCCCGACGTTTGGTCGCGTGACACAACGTTGTCCCGACGTCCAAATGCTGCTTGGGGAGGAAAAGTGGTAGCGGCAGTGCTGCCACAGTTACACTATTCGCTATCTCGTGATAATCTACCCCGATGAAAAATAAGCTTGTGGCTACACTTGGTAATGATCTGTGCCATACGCGGCTAAAAAATCACTATAATAAACTTGATACTGTACCAACCTTGATTTCATGTATATTTTCATTGATAGGTCGATGGAGATAAACAATTGTGATTGATTAAAATTTTATTTTAAGATGAATCTTTTGTTAACAACATTCTGAGAATTCGAATAATGAATCATAGACAAAGAAATAAAAACTTTTTATTTCTTTGTCTGTTATGAATTGAATAATGACAAGACAAGTGTAAAAAAGACAGCGATTTAGAGTGATAATTTGATTATGTAATATTCAGAGTGACAATTTTTATTATGCAAAAGAAATACAGATTTTATGAGTTTACTGATTGCCTAACGATTAACGTTAATTTAAAAATAAACCCCCAACATGAATAACGAACAAAACATTTAAACAAAAACAGACCACACAAAACAAATTGTTGGTTAGTAGCAGCACAGATTAGGTATACTATATGTATACAAATAAAATTTTTGTCCCTAATTCGTGGTACGGAAATTGTTTTTTATGACGATGAGGAAACGAGTAAAATGTCATGTGCGCAAAAATAAACTCGCATTTACACAGCGTAATAACTGGGCCGGTCAGGCGCTGTGCACAATTTTAGAGGCCATAAATGAGCGTGCTATGTGCGCAAACTAGTAACCTAACTAGTGCGCGACTCCGAAAATTGGAACCACGAAAAACAATGCTTTTGACGATAAGTTTATAATTTGTATAATCTGTGGTAGCAGTCAGTAGTATTCAGAGATACAGATGTTGTAGTATTTTGGTTTAATGGCCACAGCTAAAATAAAAAAAAATAAATAAATTCCAGTCAGTGTGTGGAACTATCGCAAAACTTTTAAAAACAAAGCACGGCTAGAAAGTGAAGCCTGGACAACCACAAAAGTTAAAGAACAAAGACTCAGAATAACGGAGATGGCGTTCTTAAGAAAAATAAAAGAGGAATAAGTAGAGAAGATAGAATAAGAAATGACACAATAAGAAATGAACTAAAAATACTATATATAAATAGATCGGAAATTTTTTGCACATCATTGTTTTACAACGAGATCTATCGATTAAAAATACTTTCAATATGGCGGCACTTCCGGATATACCAGAAGTTGACAGCAACTTTCTTATTTTAAATGGGTACCCCCATTTTTTATTACATATTTAAATTATCTGTAAAATTTTATGAATTTTCATATTAAACACTCTATACCTAACATTAACCGTTTTTGAGAAAAAAAATATTAAAAATTTTTGGACGAAAAAAACTACCTGTCAAAAAAAGTTGTATAGCATAAAAGTCAAATTTAGTGATTACCACAGCCACTGTGACATAAAGAGAAGACATGTGGCTATCTATTTCAAAAATTTAATTGTTCAAATGTCATATAATAATGGCGGTAGCTGTCATGGAGTTGAGCGATTAAAAAATTATCATAAATCATTTTTTTCAAATGGAAACCCGCTTTTTTTATTTCACTATATTGCAAAGGTTTTCCAATTCGTTACTTTTTGAGTATACATGTTCCTATACCTAAAATAAATCGTTTTTTAGTTATTTAAGATTTAGTTTCAAAACATGTATTTATCTTGATTTTATCAAGCTTCCTTTGACATTAAGTGTCAAACAGTCAGACAATTTATTTCCATCTGTCAGAAAACGATTATTTGAATTTCCTATATTATAAATACTGACTGCCTTAAGAGTTTAAAAAGTGTATTTACAAAAATATATCTTGTATTTTGACCTCATAATTATTGTATCTCGTAACTATTAATAGTTGATATTATTAATTATATACCGTATGATCGAAAAAAAAAATGTAATGTAATAAAAAATTGGGGTACCCATTTAAAATTAGAAAGTTGCTGCCAACTTCCGGTATTTCCGGAAGTGCCGCCGTATTGAAAATATTTTTAATCGATAGATCTCGTTGTGAAACAATGATATGCAAAAAATCTCCGATCTAGATATTGTAGTTCTCTAGAAACTTCTAATGCACGCTCAGCCTGGGACACCCTGTATATCCTTCAATATAATAGCTGTAAAAAGTTTCAAACATGCGCACATAGTGCACACACATTTTTTTTTAATTGCAAATCACCCAACATGATTTTGGGTGATTTGCAATTTAAATAATTAAAAAAATTAAAACAGCATTCCTTAACATTCTCCCTTTTCTATTACATCAACTAACCAATAGAAATCCGTGTGGCTTATGCGATGGTACTTCAGCCCCGAAAATGTCCATCATAAACTTCCTCAGCGTCCAGTGTAGACTTTTCCCGGGGTTGACCTGCGCAGTGGGTAAATGCCACGTATTTCGCTCGCTTAAAAGTATATGCACCCTGTTTGTTGCCTTCTTTTTCGTAACGACAACCAACCTGAGGAGCAGCATTTCGTGAGGTCTCAAAGCTGGAAGCTTGTCTTGATGCCAGGAAGGGTCGCTCTTAGCCCTGGCTTCCACATAAGCCCTACAAAAAGTAACAAGTTGTTAGGCCATAGAGGGTGTTTCAAAAAGCATGTGCCATCTCTCGTGGGGAAATGCTAAAATTTAAGAATAAACAAATTTCAAGTTGCCTAAAGAATGTTTTTTGGATTTATTTTTTTGCAAATGTTATGGGTTGCGCAGTAGCGAAATACCCCCAACCCCCCAGCCAGACTTAGGATTCTGGGTTCACAAATTATTAAACTGTAACTTGCCTAAAATATGTTCTCTAAATATGTCGCCAGCTCTCCGGCTATATCGACATTAACCGGACATCGAACTTTAACCGTAAAATATAATATTAATTATTTTGCTTCTTTTTTAATAAAATAAAAAAAAGTCAAAATAAATAAAATCAGTGGTTCCCGAGATCATTGGTGAACAATAAAATATAAAATGGTTATCACCAATGTCACCAATGCTCGATAGTTTTAGGACTCATTGCTTAGAATTCATAACGAAGAGTGTAATTAATTAAAAAATAAAATTTTTAAAGAAATTAAGTATGAAGAATAATTACAAAAATACCAGTCGAATTTTTCTTAATTTTTTCGAATATATGTATCTTTCAAGTAGACCTTGCAAAAAAAATAAATTGATAAGAATCGTCCAAAAAAACACAAATTCCTCCAGTTTAACATAGCAATAAACAGAAATGTTTTTTTTTTCGTGTTGATTGTCGACCAATACACAATAATATAAAAAAATAAACATAATTCTAATCTCCAAAATGATACCAAAATACGAAAAATACATTCAGTCGTTCTTGGTAATTCCTAAAACATAAATTTTAAGTGAAATAACTCAAATATGAACCGCCTGATGAACAGAGAATCGCCATTTTATGTAAGTGAATACGACGGGTTTTCGAAAAAAAGTCTTTATTGATTTGTATTTTGATCTGCAGCTACATGGCGAAATACAAGATCACATGAGCGACTACAGAGACTGTTTCAAACAAGTCATCAAGCAAAGAGAGGTTCTCCAAATGCCATTTTTCCACGCATCAACACAAGTAAATATATCTACTATATCCACATAATATGAAAAAAAGTATACAGGGTGTCCGAATATTCCGTAAATATACGTATTTTTCGAATCAAAATAAGTTCATAGGACACAATTTATCTCTACAGGGTGGCCCATCGAAAACGTTCCGCAAGGCATAACGGCCAGGGTAATTTTTTTTTCAGAAAATCCAAAAACAAGTCAATTTTATTTGTGAGGGGGACAACTTTTGTCCCAAAAATGATTGCAAAATTTTCAACCCTCTAAGCGGGGGTGTCAACCCCCAACTTTTTTCAATTGGGAAGGGGGGTCAAGTGGCACCGCAATGAAAAGAGCTTTCTATTCTCTATATTTCCCCGCTTCGTTTTTGAAAATCGGTCGAGTCATTGAGAAAATATGAAGGATTGAAATTTTAAAAGTTTATTTAAACATTTATCAGAGTAAATCTTTGAATAAGAAGACTAAGGAAGGAGCATAATGCTATCCATGTATTCATGCATGGTGGGCGGAAAAGCCACCATAAAAGCTCTCTAGGGTGGGGATCCTTGACAGTTCTGTTTGACGATTCATTTGACACATTTGAATTTGATTTGAAATTTTGTGGATTTGTCAGTCTTTACGGAGCTTATTTTATGTTATTTATTATTTATTCTACTACTGATAGTTGTATAAAGGTAGTAAATCTAGATGGAAATTGTGGCAGAACTTAAATTAACAGTGACCCTATCGCGATTTATCGAAAAAGACTAAAATAGTTGGTTGTGTAGCGTGCGGTAGATCTCGACAAAAATTGAGTGAAATAATGGAACAACTTTTCGCTAGTAAGTGACTATATAATATACATACGTGTAGTAAACCGATCATTTATGAAATTCACTTAAATTAACTAAATTATATATTTTTCTTGCATTTTAGCTTTTATTTATTACTTGTCAAAGATTAGATGTCAAAGAATTTAGATACGTTAATTTGACTTACCTGCTTCAGTAGCGTATCGGATGTTTGTGTTAATAAATACTTATTATAACTTATCTATTTTTATTAGAATTATATATTTTTATAACAATTTTAATAACTACCAACATTTATTCATAACGTAAAATAAAACAACAAATTACTGAGTGTACCCCACGTCTACCCTACATCATAGTTTTACATTTTTTAAATAAAATTAGATCGACACTGATAAACCGGAATTTAAGTCGGCCATATTTGAGGCCCATCGCGGTGTACCTAAGATTTTTGATATGCTCCTTCCTTAGTCTTCTTATTCAAAGGAGTAAATGATAAGGATAAATTCCTTCGACTAATTTGCTGTTTTTTCTTATTATTTCTAGATGTTTACGCATTTTTTCACAATAGCCGTTACATCAAAACTAGTCTTCGGGGTGTGTTTTAGACATTTTTCTAAACATAAAAACACAAAAAAGTGTCTGCGGATTTTTTTTAATTTTTATTTTACGTAAAAAAATGCTTTGACTTTAGAATAGCCGAAATTAGTTACATGAAAAATGAACTTATATTTGTTTTATACGAGCCTTTACGAGCAAAGAAATACAAAAAAATCCGTCGGAAATGTGTCAATGTCATTTTGTGCACTTTGTTTTTCATACATTTTTCAGTTTAGAAGCTTACGGGACCCGGGAGCGAATAGGGGTGCTGGGTGGGGTAAAACATTTTTCGGAGGAATAACAATTCTTGTAGAATAGATAATATAGGTTCTTGTAAACTATAAATACCTCGGAATGTTGCACTTATTCTTGTTTTTATTAAAGCTTTACGTAAATAGGGCTGATTCAAAACAAAAAATCTGCAAAAATATTAAATTGGTTAGCTTTTCTTTGTGGAGGGTGTTAAGCTGTGTTTTTTATATAACTAATTTCAGCTATTCTAAAGTCTAATAAATTTCCTTAGAAAATGAAAACAGCTTATTTCCGCAGGAAAATTTTTGTGTTTATATGTTCAGATTTCAATTATTCTAAAGTGCGAAATTTGGAAATTACGCATTTCCGCAGGAAAATTTGTGTTTTCCTTGGTTCACAGTAGCTTTTTAAAGACAAAAATTTATTTTTTTTCCAAATAACTAATTTCAACTAAACGAAAGTTGACCCTAATGGTATACTTTTTTTAATCAACTAATGATTAAATGTTTTATCGTCATGACCGAAATAGCCCCAATCATAGACTTAAAATAAAATATAGACTGAGCATCTCATTCATAAATAGCTGGAACATGCGGTCAGACAATATCTTGTTATTGTTGTGTTATTGTTTTAGGTTATAACGAGTGCGACACGAGCGATAGATAGGTTGTCTCGGTCGTAACGGTCGTTCCCTGACGACTCTGCCGAGAAACACAACACTGTCTTTCGTTTCTCAAGTACACCTGAACTCTCCGTATCATAGCCGGGTAATTTTTTTATTTTAATGAAGCTATAATTAAATTAAAAATATATCGTATTTAAACTTTTTTATATTTTATTAAGATTTAGGACAGGTTTTTTAAATAAAACTTTAGAAAAAACAATTTTGAGTCCAAAAAGGATAAAAATAATAAAATACACGTTATAGAAGAAATTTTATAATCGAAATTAGGTAATTTTTGAAATTAATAATAAATTATTAATTTTAGTCAAACATTTACAACCCCTAATATTAATCAAAACAGGATCTATTCCACAGATATAATAGAATCGGCGACAGGAGAGAAAAAAAAAATGATCGTTGTAATTTTTTTTCTGGTTAAGTGATGTCTTATTATGTAAATTAGAGAAAACATAAATCTGTTCCATTAAAGCAAGGAAGGTGATAGGAAGTGGATAAAATAAAAACTACATTTATTTAACTCTGTACTGTCTTTATTATACCGGGTGCGTCTCAAAAGTGGCTCATCCCCATAATTTTTTTATATTTTCAAATAAAAAAACAAGATTTAGTATGTTAGTATATGAAATAAATTAGGATTGATTGACGCATTCAATTGTTTTTGGTCACTTCCTGTTTCACCGGAAATGACTATAACTTTTAATTTTTAAACGGCACCCTTGGTATATTTCTACTTTATTCGATAGAAAATGACACTCTGAATAGAATGACATATCATATGTCAACTTTTGACATTTTCGCATATGGTTTAATTGTAATTGTAACACGCGGTTCATAACGACAATTTGACTCGAAATACCAAGTGTGTGGTATCAATATATTCATAAAAAATGCTTTTTCCAAATATGCTAATGAGTCACCCTTGTTCCATTTGAAAAAATTGACATATGTATGATTAAAAATACGATTTGTACATCTTTTAACCGGCCTAGACAAGACACGAAACCTATTAGACGATCAAAACTATTTTTCCAAGGCTCCTTGATTAAAACTTAGTGGATTGAAAAAAACTGGATTGAAATTTAAAATAGAATATGTTTTTAAGCGACAATGTCAAAAGTTGACATATGATATGTCATTCTATTCAGAGTGTCATTTTTTATCGAATAAAGTAGCAATATACCGAGGGTGTCTTTAAAAATCAAAAGATAATCATTTCGGTGAAACAGGAAGAGACCAAAAACAATTGAATACGTCAATAAATCCTAATTTATGTCATATACCTACTAACATACAAACCTGTTTTTTTATCTGAAAAAAATAAAAAAAGTTATGGGGTTGAGCCACTTTTGAGACGACCCGGTATATTAAAAAATATTGTTTCATAATGTAATATCATTTTAAAATTCTTGTAGGTATGTTATTTTAGATTCTGAAGATAATTTTAGAATAAACCGGAATATATTTTTAATAAAAACATTATTAATTATTAACAGGGTTATAATTATGATTTTGTTACAATGTAAGTAAGTAAATAATGTAATGTAAAAGAAAAAATTCAGATTTTGCATTTTACTAAAATATTATCTAAATAAGCGTCTTTCTACAACAACGCCACTGACTGCCAATGGGTAAATTGAGAGTTGCCTACCGGTCAAAAGTCGTTTCAAGACTTAAATGGATTATTTAAGTCAAATTTCTTGCAAATTTGGCACTGGCGAACCATATTTTATAGTTTTTGAACAGAAAAAGTCAATAAAATAAACACTTAAGGACTACAAGCTAAGAAAATGCGTTAATACAGCCGGGGAGATAGCGGCAACAAAGCTTTACCGCACACGTGCGACACGTACTACAAGGTAATAAATGAATGAATGGGCTCCCTCGCCTCTAATCGGTGTTGTCATATTGTAAAGAACTTATCCTTATTAAACAGTATCCGACTTATAATTTAGTAGTATAAGGACTATTTAATACATCTATGGAATATTAAAACCTACTTTATTAAACTGTAGTATTAATATCTCAATATATGTGTATAACAAGAAAAAAAATATTGATAATATTAAAGACGTGACAACATAGGCTGGATGAGGAAGGCTCGGTCGACTGTACCCAGAAGTAAACATGTGTACAAAAAAGGTTGTTTGTCCGCGTTGAGATGTAAATAGTGTAGTCTATATTTTATTTTAAGTCTATGGCCCCAATTATACCCCACTAGCAAAACCGGTGATTAAAACTATGCTCGCTACCCGTAGTTGAACTCATCTAAAAAGAACTTTTTCTCACTCTCATTTTTTTAACTCGAATAATAAATTATGATGCAAGTTAAACCTTCTGAAGATATCAAAATATTTACTTTTTTATTTTTAGAATTTGCACAAATTATACTTCCTAACACTTTTGGAACAATTAAATAATATTTTTTTCGTATTCTGGCTATTTAAACCCGTGTATTTGTAAGTACTAGTTGTATACGATATTATCCGATCGTGGCAACAGCATTATTTTGATTCATAAAATACGTAGTTGTTCTATGTCCACGGAATATTGAATCTCCCTTTATATTTTGTAAGTCCTCTTTAAAAAAAATCCAAAATTCTTGTCTCAAAAACTATGCCATGTTAAGTTTTTTTTCAACAAACAAAAAATATAGTTAATATAATAGAAGGACTCTTCGTTACCTTATGTAATTACGATTAATGTGTTTGAGAAACTCTTTGTTTTCAGCTTTCATACAGGAACAGTTTAGTGAATCACATGCGACAAATTTGTATTAACAAAAAACTGACTCATTGCACCCTACATTTAGCTGTGTATTTGATGGACTCATTCATGGATTGTCATAATATAATTCCCGAGAAAACATTACTGTTGGCCAACGTATGTTTACTTATAGCTGGTTAGTGTTACATTTCTAGCATCCCTCGTATATCATAAGAAAAATTTTTGAACAAACAATATTAAATAAATTCAAGAATAAGAACGAATAAAAAGCATATAACAATAATTGTTATGATAAATATAACTATTCCGTTATGATGTCTAGTGTCACAGATAAATTACGCCTCATATGTAATTTTGTTATTAATACACTTATGCGAAATACAACCGTCCTAATTTTTGAAAAAAATAACTGTTAAATATACATTTTTTATATTTAACAAAAAATTGTAAAATTTTTAATGTTTACTTTGGGGTCTATAAATGTATATTTTTTATTATTTCATTATAATAAATATGGCGTTAAACAATTAACTTAGCAAGAGGTTTACATTTAAAAAAACCTCTAATAATGTATTTATAATTTTAAATAATATAGATGTCAAATAATATGAATAATTAACATAAAATTTAAAAAAATAAAAAATTTTATGTTATTATTAATTGTACCTATAATATGAGGGAAATTTAATATATTTTATTAAATAAAATACCAAAAGGTATGTTTTAAATATTTTGTTAAAAACAAATGTTTTAAGAATGTCATTCCATTCTTTTTTTAAAATTGTTTTAAACATTCCTTTAAAACTATTAAAACATGTTTATTACCTTGTGTTAAACACGTTTAGTGTGTAAATCGGTGTTAAAACTATGCTTCGTTTAAAAATAAAAAAACATTTTTTTTTTCAACCACTTTCCAGGGTTGAAAAGATCGTTAAGAAATTGTATTATTTAATAGAGTATAATATTGATATACAGTATATCCCCGGATTGTCTTTACAAGAGGAAAAACTTTTTTATTGACATTTTGAGAAAAATGATTTCTTCATAAAAATTTTTTCTTGTTCTAAAATGCTTAATCCCGTTTAGGGAATGCAATCCCGCAAATGCTGGATCCCGCTGAGATTCCGCGGGATCAAAGTTTCGGGATTTACCGTGCGGGATCCGCGGGATCGACACATTACTACTGGGTAACCGAATCGATATCGATCAAGGTCAAACCGCTTCGTGAATATCTCTTGAACTAAAAAAGATTTTGGGATGCGGTTTGGACCAGGTTTTAGATGCATCAATTGTGATTAAGATGCTATGTGGTTTTCGAAAATATATATTTAGCGAATTCTCGTATACAGGGTATTTTATAAGACTGTGAAAATTTGGTCAAGAATCTTTTTTTACCGCAAATTTACAATTTTTAAAAAATTGAAATTTTTACCAAGTACGACTAATCTGTATTGAAATTAGAAAAAACAATTTGTTCGTTTTTTTTTTGTTTTAAGGAAAATATGATGTTTTTTCGAAAAATATGCATTTTCAGTCCTATACGTATGGTCCTAAATGGTACAAAAAGCCCTGTACATTCTGCATATGCCAAAAAGTCATTGATATAGAGTGTATCCAAAAGCAGATAACTAACACAAGTTCTTCCTCCGATGCGCAGTAGTGAACGCAACGGGTATCGGCAGCCAGACGGGCCGCATGCTGTTCCAGAGAGCAGTAAATAGTAAAAGATATATCAAAGAGCCAGACATCTTAAAATACTTTCTCGAAAACGTTGCTAGCTCTTAGACGATACAGGGTGGTCCGAACTGTATTCCGGAAACTTCGACAGCATATTCTACAGATTAAAATAAGTAAAAATGTTCGTATAAATATATGTCCTAAAATGCTTAGTTTCGCAGATACAGGGTGTAGAAGTTTCATTTTTATTTCGATTTTTTCCAAATAATTTCTGAAGTAACGTCAATATTTAGATGAAAATAGGTGTATGGGAGTTTTTTGACATGGGAAATTTGATTTTGGTGTCAATATGCCTCCTGTTTGTTTGGGGCGCCACCTACATGTGTTTTAACTGGTTTGAAGAGTAATAACTTTTCGCCCATACTTGTATAAAACTACTGAGTAAAAAAATATACATTTACGACGTTTTTTTTTAAGTTTCATAAAAAATGCCTCTTAGTAAAAATCAATACTAGTAGTGGTTCTCCAGATATTTGGAATCGAAATTATCAATACCTGTCCTCCTTGACATAAATTAAAGATGTTGACTAAATAATTATTAGACTGAAATCATAAATTTGAAGTCTTTTTGTGCAAAAAGTTCAACAGAAACTGTTTAATCGTTTTTTCGCAGAAAAATTTATGATTAATTTAAAAAAATAAAAATGTATTATTTCAGTCAAATAACTATACTCTCAACGTGCTTATTTTTTTGTCACTAATGACATGTATTGACTATTTCCATTCTAAATATCTTAACGGTTACTCGTAGCGATTTTTACCAAGAGACATTTTTTACGTAGTCATGGAAATGTATTTTTTTTAGTCAATAGTTTTATACAGGTACGGTCGAAAAATTATTACTCTTTAAAACAGTCAGAACGCATGTAGGTGGCGCCCCCTGCAAATAGGAGTCATTTTGACATCAAAATCAAATTTCTCGTGTCACAAAACTTGAAAACAATTTTCGTCCAAATATTGACGTTACTTATATCACAGATTATACAGATTATAATCTTTGTTTTTTCTTTATTGTTTTTCGTGGTTCCAATTTTCGGAATTGGGCACTAGTTAGGTGACTAGTTTGCGCACATAGCACGCCCACTTATGGCCTGTAAAATTGTGCACAGCGCCTGACCGGCACAGTTATTAGAGAGATATCGGAAAACCGAATAGCGTCATCCAGTATTTACGCGTACCTTTTCATGGTTACGATATGCGCGAGTCAACGCAACACCCGCTAATAACGTTTCCGCCTGACGTAATTTGCGGATCAATTACACCAAGCGCTCTTTCTAAATAACCTCTGATAACGTTTAAAAGTTGCTTAAATGGGCATGTGCGGGTATTTGACAACCGGAGCCGGCCGGCGAGATCTTTTATTTTAGGTTATGTTTGAATTGTTTTGAATTATTGCTTTCGTTTTATTAGGTAATTTGATATTTAAGTAGCCGGGATTAGTTTTAATTAAATAAATATGGCCCAAAATATGGATTCCACCTCTTCCAATACTAAAGAACCTATAAAGAGTCTTAGGTTTACAGCAGATGACGACTTAGCCCTTCTAAGAGAATTTGTGGCTTGTTGTCCTAAACCTATTGGCAGACGTTGAACAATAAAGCACTGGAAATAAGCACTTTAGCCCTTTAGTTTTAAAGTACCTAGTAAACAAAACAATTTCAAAGTTTTAAATTCAAAGTTAGGTTAAGGTTAAATAGCGGACGCGACGCGATCAGAATTCTTCCGATCCGGATAACTATAATGAAGAGAGTTAATACTACTCACGTAAAGGAAATAACACCTGGCCTTATTAACGTCCATGCACGCTATTCGGTTTAGCGGTATCTCTCTATTACGCTGTTTATTGTTATTTTACGCGAGTTTATTTTTGCGCACAGGAAATTTGACTCGTTTGCACATCGTCATAAAAAACAATTTTCGTACCACGAATTAGGGACAAGGTTTTTATCTGTATACTTATAGGATACTTAATCTGTGCTTATATGAACTTTTTTACTTATTTTTATCTGCAGAATATGCTACCGAAGTTTCCGGAATACAGTTCGGACCACCCTGTATATCAAAGAATGAAAACGAAATTATGTTACCATAGAAACGCGTTTCGATTTTTGGGAATTTAGAAAAAAATTCAACCATATTTTCATGTTTATTTTTTTTTAATTTTCTCTAAAACGGTATGGAAATTTGGAAAAGTATAAACGGGATTATGCAAATTTTTTTATGAAGAATGCATTTTTCTCAAAATGTCAATAATAAAAAAGTTTTTCCTCTCGTAAAGACAATCCGGGCACATACTGTATAAAACACTTGTAATTTTTTAATTTTTGTTTTTGTCGCAGCAAAATTCGAAGAAAATTCGAAAAACATCCCGAAAATAGCCGAACTAAATTTCACCGTACATAATCGTTACAATATAAAAGAGTATGGCAGGTTTGAAGTTATGATACTGGACTACTTTTCATGGTACGTCATGTTCCCGACCCCAGCCCATTACACCCATTATTACGTTCAAGCGGCCATCAGCAAAGAAGACTTGTTATTAACCGAAGAGAGAATGAGGACCTTAATATACAAACTACACGACTCGATTGTAGAGTATTTAAATCAAATTATTGACAGTAAATACCTGATATTTATCATACACAAATTATTTTAAAACGACTTAGCTTTTTTTTCGTAGATATACACTATATGCAAGACTTCAAACCATCACTTTTAGCAGCTACGGTGATAGCAGCTAGTAGAATGGACTGTAACTTGCCGGTGTGGACACAACAATTGGAAGAACTAACTGAATATACTAGCACAGACATATCCAGACCGCTATGCACCTTGTTAATGAATAAGTAAGTAAATTTAAAAGCAAGGAAAATATTAATTATTAGGGCTGTTCACCACACACGACACGGAGTATTGTAGCTAAACGATTAGGTTTTTACGACTTTTAAATTTTAGGTTCGTTGAAGGGTTATTAGAGCTACAATTTAAAAATATTTTTACAAAATACAGAGTGTCCCAAATAAGTAAAAAATGTTATAGTTCTATTTTTTTAAATGAAACACCCTGTATATTATTCTATTTTTGGATTCTACTATTGAAATAAAGGTAAATTTGATGGAAGGTTTATCACACTTAAACCTTACCGTTTTTGAAATATTTTCAATTTTATGAAATACCAGTAAAAATTTTAAGGCTTGATTTATCCAACGGTATCGAAGATTTTAATACTAAATATTTAGTGAAGTTTAGTGTGTTAAAAGTTTAAGTGTTTAAAAATTTATTTTAAATAATTACTAGGTTTAAACGGCAATAACTTGTTTATTTTAAATGGAACACCTTGTATATTTTACGAGAATAAGATGCACAATTTAATTCACTATCAAATTGTATTATACCATTTTTTACCTATCTCTTCAAGTTTTCTTAGAAAATGCATTTTCTTATAATTTAGACCTCATTTATTACTATACCCGTAGAATAATGACATTTTCGATTTTTTTTAATGATGTAACTTTTCAAGTGCAGATAGGAATATTGTCTATATAGTTCGCTTATTTAATTAAAAGATAAAAAGCAGTTTAAATATTTTTTGTTAAAGAGAACTAATTAATGTGATCCCAGTATTTCAAACTACATTAATTGACTGTTTGCAAATACTAAAAAACTGAATTTTGTATGTGTATTAGACCTTAGTATTAGACAGTGTGGTAAAAAGTAACACCTTATAAATTTTATTTAATTTTTTGACGAATGCTTATTTTTAACGACAGAGACGTTCATTTTCATAACTTATTATGGTATTGATTTCTGAGTCAAATCCACATTTATTTAGAAGAATTTATTAATTAAAACAATTAAGTATGTAATTAACTAATTTTTGGGCGAAAATAATGGTGGTATATTAATAATTAGTAATAATTGGTATACTCTTTTACAAAGATTTAAATAGTTTTCTTTTTGTAAACAAATGGGCTTGCAGAATTATTATTTTTACTACCAGTACATTTTCTACATATGTTGCTTTAAAAAAAAAACTAAAATGTCAATATTCCATGGGTATAGTGATAAACGAGGTCTAAATTATAAGAAAATGCATTTTCTACGAAAACTTGAAGACAATTAAATTGATAGACAATTAAATTGTGCATCTGATTCTCCTAAAAAATATAGAGTGTTCCATTTAAATTAAACAAGTTGCCGTTTAAAGCTAGAAATTATTTAAAATCAATTTTTAGACACTCTGTATGAGGTAATATAATTTTCATTATAGCAACACAATATCTGATCAATAAATAATCTTCAGTAAATAGTTAGTATTAAAGACTTTAAAACCCCTTGAGAAATGAAGCCTTTAATTTTTTACTGCAATTTCACAAAATTGAAAATATTTCGAAAACGGTAAGGTTTAAGTGTGATAAACCTTAATCAAATTTACCTTTATTTCACTCGTAGAATCTAAAAATAGAATAATATATAGGGTGTTCCATTTAAAAAAATACAACTATAATATTTTTTACTTATTTGGGACACTCTGTATCATGCAAAATTATTTTTAAATTGTAGCTCTAATAGTCCTTCAACGAACCCAAAACTTACAATTTGTAAAAATCTAATCGTTTAGCTACAATACTCCGTGTCGTATGTGGTGCACAACCCTGTATAAGACTTAAAAAAATTGTTTCAGGCTTAATAGAGACATGACGTACCCCGTTAACCTCATGTGTACAAATAATATAAATTATTGTACCAGCTGCAATATAACTTATTGCCCTCATTGCCAGTTCCTTCAAAAATTTTAATCAAACGTTTGTATTGTAATTATTGTACATTAGAGACAATGTAAAAAATGTATTGTGAGTTATACCACCATAAGAATACCAAAAAATATAATACCTAGATAGTTATCTTTATTTTTATAAACCAATTCAACAATATAGGAAAATCAATATCAGATGGCTTATGCGTCCAAGGGGTCCAAGGCTATTTTTTTTGCTTTGACTTTTGACAAGTGTCAAATAAAATTCGCATGTCACCAATGTTTCGCTTCAGGTTCGGCAAAAATACATTTACAAATATTTTCGTATATCTACATTATTACTTTGTCTTTGATAATTACACAAATTCTAATTAAATGAAGTTATTAGAGTAAGATCACGTCAAGTGGACACCCCTTTTTCCACTTGGTTATGGAATTCTATTTAATATATATACTATATTAATGTTTAGTAGTCACGATTAGTAATCAAACCCATAGATAGTTTTTTAAAATTTTCATTTTAACAATTTTTTTTTATAATGAAATTTTAGTTTTTTAATTAACACGTTTATTTAATAAATTTATTAAAAAAGAACCGTTACACATACTATCGTGATGAGATTTTCAGGATATATTGTTTAATCATCGTATTTTGAAAAAATATTCCAAATTTAAAATTATTAATTAATTATCATATTGTTAATTAACTTTTCAATAAACAAATGAAAAGTTTAATGACTTTTCCGTCAAAAAAAGAATTTTTGTTCTTTTAGTTACATGCACTGTTTATTAAAGTTTAATATTCCAACAGAAAATTTGACTGCTCGCTATTAGTTTAAACAATATAAATTTATTTACCACCGCGCGATGACGAGCGGTAGCAATAAAGAGCGCGCTGCCGCGGCCTAGTAGTCTTGCATCAAGGCAAATCAATAAAATTGCATTTACCTCATCAAGGAGGCCGAAATCAACAAAATATCAAGAGACAACTTTTAATCGGCATTAAACTGCTTACGCTATTTCGCTAACAAGAGAAAAACAAGTCAGTGGCGTACATTTCTAGAAAAATATTCCAGTGATAACCCATATGCATGTCACTGGTGAATATGTTGACATTTTTTTAGGTAAAAAATATATCACATTTATAGTAACTTTTATCCTTAAAATTTCATTTGAAACGCTAAAAGTACTGGGAAGAAAATTATAATAAATTGAACAAATAATAAAACTTTAACGCACTGTAACTACAAAACTAAGCAGAATCGGACCTATGTTGATATAAAAAATAAATCTTATTTTTATGTGAGGAATCTCTCCACAAGAGATAAAACATGTTTTTTGAAACACCCTGTATAATAAAACGTACTATGTTATATGCAGTTATAATATTATATATTGTTACCTTGTTTTCTCAACTAATGGCATGATATCTGACGCCCTCAATGCGAGTTCATTTATATTTCCAACCCATTTAGCCTGCAAGGATTCCTTGTCTGCTTGCGCTGGTGTTTTTAGAGTACCCCCTGTTATTGTCCCAGTTAAAACAAACCTTAAAAAACTGTTCAATATCAATTTTTTTAAATATAATAAAACATACCTGAACCAAACCCCCCCAGCACTTTCTACAATTAGCAGAGTGGTACATTCCATTTCTAGACCTGTCTCTTCCAAGACCTCCCTTTTACAGGCATCCACAATAGTTTCACCTTTTTCCATTCTACCAGCTGGTAAGTACCTACAATTCATATGTTGTAAATAATAAGTTATACAATATACTTTATAATAACAACCATTTGCCTGCACACGACTGTTTTGCTTCTTGTATCATAAGAACTTCTTTGCGTTCATTTAAAAGTACACATGCAACAACGTATGTAACTGTGTCCTTTACGATTGGTTTATAGTTTGGATCTATTTGTGGCTGAATTCCCTGAGACTCCAATACTTCTCTCTGCTCCTCCAGTGAAAAATCGCATATCTCTGCTTCATCTGCTTCTAAAGGCAAACCTTTAAGCACTCTCAACAAATTTGATTCGACAGTGTCAGGCATTTTGCAGTTATAAGTTACAGCACTACATTTAATAGTGTAACTTGACTGTGTAATAAATCATCGATGATATCAAAATCATAAACAAGTGGGTGACTTATGCTATTGGAACGTTAAGAATGGCATAAAATATGCGTGATTTAACTAGGGCGATTCTATGGTATTTCAAACGGGTTGGGTAGACATTCCATTCGAAAACTTGTTTCCTTACTAGAATTAACCTGTGAATTTTAATTAAGCACTGACCAAGACAAAGTAAAGTGAAAGTTTAACCAAAGTTAACTGTGTTCTGTGTTTGATTGACTGAAAAATAAAAATACGAACAGAGAAAAGTAGGGTTAATTTCTGTAATCTTCTTCTTCTTCGTTCCATTTAATGGCCTAAGCCGCTAGAACCATATAGGCCCTTAGATTTAAAAGTTCAAAGTGAAGTAACATCTTTGCTGCTAAGCGAAAATAGGATTCTAGCGAAAATAGGTACGGCCCGTAGATAGAAAATTTTTATTTTAGTTTTCTTGTAGATAAACGGGTAAACGTCTGGAAACTCTGTCGTGCTGTTGTCAAGGTAAGAGTGTGCGCGTTCAGGGAACACAGCGGCTGACCAACCTCTGATAATTTTGTTCAGCGGTTGACTGTTTTTTTCTGTAAAAAGAGATCGTTTAGGGAAATCGCTTTTTACTCAGTCACTCAGCCGCTGACAGTCCCTGAACGCGCACATTGTAAAATGTATTGGCATTTAATGACTTCGCGTCGGTTAAAAGGCCGGATGAGATTGATTTCCTCCTTTGATTTCCTCAAAATTCTTAATATTTGAAGACTGATTCGCCGTCATATGACGCGGTTATCTACACTCCATAGACGCGGTGTTAAAATTCCAAGAAGAAGAGAAATTCAGGGATGAGGGTATAAAGAAACCTTCTAAAATTTAAAAATTTTATAAAAGCTGAAAACGTAAAAAACCAACAGAATCAAAGACTACTTTACTTCTACGTCTGGTATATATCTGCTAAAGTCTTTTTGTCAAATCAATTAAAATCTGATTGAAATGGATGAAAACGTCCGTACATAATTTATTTTCTTTTTATTACTTTTTTACGTCTTTACATCTATTTTACGGAGCATACATTTTTAACATCAACATAAAATAAGAAACCGGGCTTAAGGTTTAAGAGCCCATCTCTAATACGAAATTCCACCATAGATTCCAAATTTATTGACAGACGTTTGGCAGATTTGACAGTTTTGAAGTTTTCTAGCGGAGTTGACGGAATTTGCGCCATTTTGTTTAGTGTGTGCTTGTGAGAAGAGCGTCTTTTTCTGCACGCTCTTATCGTTTGTTACCTTAAGTTTTTAAATTATAAACAAAATGGTCGATAAAGTGGATATGAGTCTAGAGGACATAATAAAATCGAACAAACCAGGCGGCCGTGGACGAGGTGGAAGACGCGGGGGTCCCGGTCGTGGGTCCCAAGGTAACAGGGGCCAACGCAGGGGCGGAGGCGGAGGCGGCGGCGGCGGAGGCAATTTCAGGAGAACCGGCGGTGCAGGCGTACAGAGAGGCCGTGGCAGAGGAGGCGGAATCTCGCGCACCTTCACACGGGTAATGTTTACAACCTAATTTTACTAATCCTTTTTTTGAATTTTATGAGGGGAAAAATAGACGAGGCTGCGTCTCGCCGTGGCTTGGCTTGCTGACTACCAACTTTTTCCTTTAGGGAGACGTTAACGGTGCTTGGAAGCACGATCTGTTCGAGGGCTATGGCTCTCGCAAATTGGCGGTCGCGCGCGCGACCGTCCAAGCCACTATGGGGCCCACAAAACTCATGGTGTCCAATTTAGATTTTGGAGTGTCGGATTCCGACATCCAAGAGCTTTTTGCAGAGTTTGGGCCCCTTAAAAGTGCCGCCGTACACTATGATAGAACAGGGCGATCTCTGGGAACAGCAGATGTAATATTTGAAAGAAGAAATGACGCCATCAAAGCTATGAAGCAGTACAATGGAGTTCCTTTGGACGGTCGGGCAATGAATATTCAACTTATCACTAATGAAATACCAGCGCCGCCAAGAAGAACAATAGGTGGAGGAGGAGGAGGTGGACCAACAGGTGGCACCAGAAGATTCAACAGAAGCCCTAGGGGAGGCGGTAAAGGTAGACCTCAAAGAGGTAAGATGTTGTTCAAAGCTGTGTATACAATCAATCACTGATTTTTTGTTTTGTTTTCAGGTAGAGGTAGAGGTGGCAGCCAAAGAAACCAGCAACGCAAACAGCCCACAGCTGAAGAACTAGATGCAGAGTTAGATGCCTACTGCAAAGAAATGAAGTAGATTGAAGTTTTAAGTTAAGCAAAAAAGACTCCTAAGTTTTGTTACTAAGAATTTAGTAATCGACAAGTACACCACTCTAACATGTTTCTTTGTGTGAAAATTACTGTGTGTTGAATTTTTGTGTTTAGTTTATTTCAAACTTATTTCTGACATCAATATGTGATTATAAGATCATGTTAAAATTTTATTGATATATTTGTACATTTCCTTGAATTTCATGATTAAGTTAGTTCACATGCTAATTATACTTTTAAATAAAACTATTTTATTGGCTTCTAATGCTTTATTTCACAAGATTACTGTTAGATTGCATAGGATTACACAAGTTGCTATATATAAAAATAATGATAAAAAGTTCAAAAATCAATAAATTACCTAAAAAATCGATATCAGAACATGTTTAATTAAAACTTTTATAGGATATAATACTATTAGTAGCTATGGCATATTAGCAGCTGTGTTACCTGAACGCACAATAAGAAAACAAAGCAATTCGTTTTACACTTTATTTAACATGATCAGTAACATTTTATTACACATCTTATTACGTACAATCAGTAGCGTAACAATGTTTGTAATGGTATTTATATTAAAAACTAAAAAATATATTTTTTTTCAAAATAACACGAACGGAAGGAACCTAGAAAAAAGAATTGTCTCGAAAGATTTTTATAAAATATTTAAATCTCCAAAAAATACATCTTATCTCGGTAGGCGGGCAAAAGGATCTATATAGTCTTTAAATTCGTTCAAATCCAAAAGTTCTTGTTGTAATTTAAAAACTATTCCTACAGCCTCTTTATACGAGTGTCCTTGAGTGACTCGAAGAAGTATGCTGTACGCTAAAAAATGTTGCTTATTATTCGTACATCCAGTATGCCCTCTTCATTTGCAGCTAATATACAAGGTGTCCCAGAAATAAGTGCTAGTATTTTGAGGGGTGGTAGATCTCGATAAAAGAAACACATTTTCTCTTTAGCGTTTTTCAAATAAGTCCAAAATAACGGAGTTATTTTTGAAAATTTCCAAAAAGAATTATTTTTTTGCTAAAATTTTGACAACTACTGGATCTTTTCTGGATTTTCTTTCTTGTAAATTTAATCTAATACCTATGTTGCCATATTGTCAAGAAATTATGTTTTTTAACTGAAAACTAACAAAATTTCCAAAAAAAAATTCAAAAAATTTCGAATTTTCAAATTCTTTTTTTTTTCGCCAAATAACCTCAAAAACCTCAACCTTTATTGGGGTCGAACCATAGACTTAAAATAAAATATAGACTGAGCATCTCATTCATAAATAGCTGGAACCATAAAATAATTAACTAGAAAGAAGTGTCAACTCTGTGTTAAATCGTGGAAACACGATACGCCACCGAAAGCCTTCGTTGTCGTCTGGAGAACTAATTTTCCAATTGACAGGTTGACATGATAAGGACATGATGGCTTAATTTTCATTTCCGTTTCCGGTTATTCAATGGCGGGTCCTCTTGTTAAAATTTATTATTATCTCAATTATTCTAAACACTAATTCAAAAAGGCCTGTTGTATATTCATAGTCATTCTAGAAAGCTAATACGCCGGGAATAATGATTAGTTTTCATGTGTAAGTTTATACAACATAATCGTGTTTACAGATGATTCAAAACTGTTTATTTTTAACTTTCCTAAAGGCGATTTGTAAAAATCGTGATTGTAATTGGGAATGGTCAAAAATAAGTGTATGATGTGGCCATTTAAAGAGGATGTTTTTATTACGTGTGGAGGAAGAAGATACTTGGAATCAATGTTCGTGGTTCTGTAAAACAGTGCACTCTTATAGTGTCCATGAAAGCACAAGTTCAAGTGACCAGAAATATATCAAATAAGATTGGTCCTTACTTGACAAGAAGATTATTTGGAGGAAAAGAAAACATAAGATAGGGTATTTTAATCGAACAGCGAAAATTTAACATTTTTATTGTAAAGTTTGTTGTAGGTAGTTGTAGTTTTGTGCTAAATATTTCTAACATTAGCAGCGGCTGTGTTCAGAGTGTCAAGAGGAGGAGAATTCAGTTAATTAGATTTATGCACAGTTACAGGTATGAAGGCTTTTTCAAACATAGTATCGAGTTCTATAGTCAACATTTTTAGTATTCCTACAACTGTAAAAACAAGGAACATTGGACTGGAAAAATGGCAAGATTTATATAGAAAGAAAGGGTATTATGCCAATAAGAAAATTAAATCTGTAGGCAGAAGTTTCTTATTTAAAAACTGTTATGGGGCATATATTAATTTGTATCTCTGCCACAAATCACTGAGAAAAATCATATAATATTCATAATTGTTAACGAGATGATATTTAAAGAGTGTTAAAAATGAGATTATTAGTCATGAAGCTTACAATGTTACTTTGTTTCAATATTACACTTTTATTCTTGTAAAATCTATGATGAAGTTCAAAAGCATTTTGCAATGGCTTTAAATTGTGAGCCAGGATTTATAGCAAAGGTATTGATGCAATGAAACTTAATCAGGGATTGTCAATCCCATGTTTTTAAATAGATAAAATACAGGCCAAAGTTGACAATATTACAGTTGAGAAGAAACTATTTTATCTTAAAAAATTTCTTAAAATTCTGAGATCATATAATCTAATTTTTCTTAATAATAAATTAGGTATATGTATGTTGTACATACAGAATTTTGGTATGGACAAATAAGGATCGATTAAGCTTTTTGGTGCAAAAATAAATTATTTTTGTAGTATTAAGACAAACGATAATGTGTTTTACAAACTTACCGGGTAACAGTTTTTTTTATAATAAAATATTTAGGAATAATTTGGGTTGTTTATCAATATATTAATGACTTGAATTTTGACAAATTGAATTTGTATCAAAATAATTTTACTTAAATATAAAATTGATGTTCTATTACAAGATTGAGTTTTTTATTGTCGACCAAAAACCAGGATAAATACTAATAATAATACCCTTAATAAAATCAATGATGTTTATGTATTATGAAAATATTTGTTAGAAGACATGTTATGTAACAGTTTTTGTAACACAATTTGAAGGGACGAATAAAAAAATAAAACAAAAACATATATTTTTCTAGGTTTATATTAAAAATACAAGGTAAGTAATCATCAAAATAATTATGCACCAAATGTTTTTTATGAATATACAACTTGAACAAAAGTTGTTTAGAACAATTTTACCAAATTTGCAAAAATTTTAAATTGAAACGCGTAATCCTGTACAAGTAAACATGAAATAATTTAAATACTTATTTAATGGCATTTCGAGTGTTTAACGACGAAAAGGTCATCTGTCCGTAGCGTTTTGTCAGAATATTCGTATATTTAGTGTATTATATACCAATATTGTAATGCAGTTTTGAAACTGATAATTGTCAAATCATATTAATGTTAACTAACCATAATAAATGATAGAATTTCACTAAATTTAAATTGCCCCCCGTATGGTTGAAAACAGCAAATTGATATTTGATTACTTATAGATTACCACCTATATACAAAATGACACGGAGACCTGGAATATGGCGCCCAACTTGATTAGACCTTCCGCGCATGTTGAAGCTCATTCTCTATCCCTTCTATTTCTATGGGTCAGACACTGTCTTGTTATTGTTTTAGGTTATATCGAGTGCGACACGAGCGATAGATAGGTTGTCTCTGTCGTAACGGTCGTTCCCTGACGACTCTGCCGAGAAACACAACACTGTCTTTCGTTTCTCAAGTACACCTGAACTCTTCGTATCATAGCCGGGTAATTTTTTTATTTTAATGAAGCTATACTTAAATTAAAAATATATCGTATTTAAACTTTTTTATATTTTATTAAGATTTTTTAAATAAAAGTTTAGAAAAAACAATTTAGAGTCCAAAAAGGATAAAAATAATAAAATACACGTTATAGAAGAAATTTTATAATCGAAATTAGGTAATTTTTGAAATTAATAATAAATTATTAATTTTAGTCAAACATTTACAACCCCTAATATTAATCAAAACAGGATCTATTCCACAGATATAATAGAATCGGCAACAGGGAGAGAAAAAAAATATGATTGTTGTAATTTTTTTTCTGGTTAAGTGATGTCTTATTATGTAAATTAGAGAAAACATAAATCTGTTCCATTAAAGCAAGGAAGGTGATAGGAAGTGGATAAAATAAAAACTACATTTATAACTCGGTACTGTCTTTATTATACCGGGTGCGTCCCAAAAGTGGCTCATCCCCATAATTTTTTTATATTTTCAAATAAAAAAAACAAGATTTAGTATGTTAGTACATGACATAAATTAGGATTGATTGACGCATTCAATTGTTTTTGGTCACTTCCTGTTTCACCGGAAATGACTATAACTTTTAATTTTTAAACGGCACCCTTGGTATATTTCTACTTTATTCGATAGAAAATGACACTCTGAATAGAATGACACATCATATGTCGACGAAGACTTTTGACATTCTCGCATATGGTTTAATTGTAACACGCGGTTCATAACGACAATTTGACTCGAAATACCAAGTGTGGGGTATCAATATATTCATAAAAAAATGCTTTTTCCAAATATGCTAATGAGTCACCCTTGTTCTATTTGAAAAAATTGACATATGTATGATTAAAAATACGATTTGTACATCTTTTAACCGGCCTAGAAAAGACACGAAACCTATTAGACGATCAAAACTATTTTTCCCAGGCTCCTTGATTAAAACTTAGTGTTTTTAACAACACCATGGCACCCTGGATTGAAATTTAAAATAGGATTTGTTTTTAAGCGACAATGTCAAAAGTTGACATGTGATATGTCATTCTATGCAGAGTGTCATTTTTTATCGAATAAAGTAGCAATATACCGAGGTTGCCTTTAAAAATAAAAAGATGTAATCATTTCGGTGAAACAGGAAGAGACCAAAAACAACTGAATACATCAATAAATCCTAATTTATGTCATATACCTATAACATACAAATCTGTTTTTTTTATCTGAAAAAATAAAAAAGTTATAGGGGGTGAGCCACTTTTGAGACGACCCGGTATATTAAAAAATATTGTTTCATAATGTAATATCAATTTAAAATTCTTGTATGTTATTTTATATGCTCAAGATAATTTTAGAATAAACCATATTTTTAATAAAATCATTATTAATTATTAACAGGGTTATAATTATGACTTTGTTACAATGTAAGTAAGTAAATAATGTAATGAGAAAAAATTCAGATTTTACATTTTACTAAAATATTATCTAAATAAGCGCCTTTCTACAACAACGCCACTGGCTCCCAATGGGCAAATTGAGAGTTGTCTACCGGTCGAAAGTCGTTTCAAGACTTAAATGGATTATTTAAGTCAAATTTCTTGCAAATTTGGCACTGGCGAACCATATTTTATAGTTCTTGAACAGAAAAAGTCAATAAAATAAACACTTAAGGACTACAAACTAAGAAAATGCGTTAATACAGCCGGGGACATAGCGGCATCAAAGCTTTACCGCACACTTGCCACGCGTACTACAAGGTAATAAATGAATGAATAGGCTCCCTCGCCTCTAATCGGTGTTATCATATTGTAAAGAACTTCCTTTTTAAACAGTATCCGACTTATAATTTAGTAGTATAAGGACTATTTAATACATCTATGGAATACTAAAACCTACTTTATTAAACTGTAGTATTAATATCTCAATATATGTGTATAACAAGAAAAAAAATATTGATAATATTAAAGACGTGACAACATAGGCTGGATGAGGAAGGCTCGGTTGACTGTACCCAGAAGTAAACATGTGTACAAAAAATATTGTCTGTCCGCGTTGAGATGTAAATAGTGTAGTCTATATTTTATTTTAAGTCTATGGGTCGAACTATACTACCAGTTAAAATACTTGCACTTATTTTTGGGACACCTGGTATAGTCCAAGAGAATATAGGCCTTCAAATACGAAGTTTTGGTAAAAACTTGAATTTTTGATAAAAGTTACTTTGAAAGATTTAAAAACGAACTGTGAGAGATTTTTTTAAAATTCATCCTCGAGAAGGGATGAAATAAATAAATAAAATTATTTTTTCGAAATTTCCGAGAAAAAGTAAAGAAAAAAATTGGTCACATAAAAGTTGTGAAGCCTCAAATTTGACATAGAAATGATCTTTATACTTTATGCTCAGATCAAAATTAACCGAGATAGGGTGGCTAGAAGCTAGGGGATGATAGCAGACACTTAAAAAAATTATAAGTTGCTGAAAAAATCACATATTTAACATTTTTATTCAATTTGCTTGGAAAATTATGAATTTCAATTAATATTTTTTTCCGAGAAGGGGTGAAAAATATAAATAAAGTGTTTTTCCCAAATTTCGGACAAACGATAAGGCTACTTTGAAACAAATGTTTCGATATAAAAGCTGTCCCCTAGCTTCTAGTCACCCTATTCGTTAATTTTGATTTGAGCAAAAAAAGTATAGAGACAATTTCTATGCAAAATAGTCTTTGGTAAAATAGTGAGATGAATGTTTCAGCCAATAGAATTACTGGAAATATATTCAAGGTCATTACGCCGTTACGCCGATACGCCGTTTTTAGGATAGTGTGGCTGCACCCTGAGACGCTCCACAACTTTTTTGAAATTTCTTTGCTTTGCCGTTTCTCCGAAATTTCGAAAAAATAATTTTATTTATTCTAGGAGCTGAAGTTAAAAAAAAATCACAATTATTTTTAGATCTCATCATTAAATCAAAGTCAAAAATTCAGCTTTTTACCAAAACATCATATTTGAAGGACCAATAATTTAGACTTGGACTAATAATAAAAGACAATTACCTTGCCAGATATTTAAAACTCTTTTGCCATTTTTATTATCTTTAAAATATTGATTAATTGGTAGTCGTGCAGTTGCTATACCCTCGCTTACCGCTCTGTTGTAACAATCAAGCTAAAAGTAAAAAAGATAATTATACATCTTAATAATAATACATCTATCATATATCATCATTCTATGGGGTGTCGTGTTATAATAGAGAGGGCATTCCCAACATCACATAAACTTTTTACCGGGTGGTGCCATCGGAGTTGGATACATATAAGATATCCCATACAAATTCTCAACTGTCAAAATATTGGTCGGAAATAGTAAATAGTTTTTTTTAAAGGTCCGGGTATGCTGAATACGCAAGTCAAATTTGAACAATTTTGGACAAGCCGATTTCATTGGTCGCGTTCATCAGGACGTAGCGCTACAGCAGCGATCACTAATTTTCTGCTGAACGCGCCGATTAGTTGTGAGCGCTCTGGGATCAGTCGCCATTTTTTCCATCAGATTTAAAATACGCTACGCTACCGATGCATGATGGATTAAACATCACATACTCCAAATGTCACAAAATGTTTTGGAAAACGAAAACAAAGCATTTTGATTATTGTTCTCGGTTGACTAATCCCCTCGATTTGTGCCAAAAATGGGTGAAAACAATTTAATATGCATTACTTATGATTTTGATCTAAAAAGCACGTTCAGCAGGACAACCAATCGATGGTACATCGCTCACTGATCAACTTGTCCTGATGAACGCGACCATTATTGTAAGGAAATAATGAGCAAGGGGGAATAGACGCAACTAAAGTTTTGTCTCCTACCCAGTCACACGAGTCACGACTGTCACGAGCCGCCACTGCGTCAGAGATAGCTGGGGAATAATATTTGATGATAATTTTAGCGAGACCAATCTCTAGACGCCATTTACTACAAATTGACACAAACCTTGTCAAAAATTAACACTAATAATATTATAGAAAGATTAAAAAAGAATAGGACATTTCCAGAGACATAAATCTATTTCCAAAAAATATTTTTTCTCAAATTTTAAAGTACACCATTTAAAAATCATTTTTACTCTAAATAAAAATAAATTACAACATTGTTAAGGCCAACTAGCAGTAAGCGTCATTAAGGAATAAAAAAAGAGTACATGTCAAGTAAATAACGGCTAAAGCTTGATCTCGCCAAAATTATCATCGACTGTCTTTCCCCAGCGTCTTTTTTTAGATTGTATGGTAGCTCTATTATACAAAATATTTTTTGAGTAAGTGTCCAATATTTCATAGAGTCGTTCAAGAGTTTTTAAGGTAAACAGTTCATATAAACATGTATTACAAAAATGCTTTGTTTTCAAGATACAGGGTGTCGAAGTTTAAAGAAAAAAATGTTCTTTTGCAATATGTAGGTAGTGTTGATAGTTACTCCGTACTATAAATATGGCTAGAAAGAAGTGTAACCTGCTCTGAGCATTCTGAGCACATATTTGTTCTCAATTTTTTCTCCTCTTTGTTCTAAATATTTTCAAAATTCTCATTTTTCCCAAGAATAATAATAAAAAACGAGAGAGTTCACCATAAAATTTAAAAGAATTAACTATAAACTGTCAACATTCCTTGTGGATGCTCATTTGTTCCCAGGGAACTTTCTCCAAAAATAAACAACACCAAACACCAATGGGGTTGTTCACTTTTTAAGGGCACTACATTAAAAAATAACTTATGAAGTGGATGGACCACTCTGTTTATATATTTACACAATGTCTATTTCCTTCCAAAACGCCAATAATATAAACTTTGTCCTCCTCGAGTCTACCAAGTACATTTTCGCTATTGCTGCTCAAATATACCAATTTCTCTTTGGGAAAGACATCTAAATAGTGCTCCTCATGATAATGGAAATCCCATCTCGGAGTGGTACCGCGTCTCTGCAATTCTTCTCTAATTGGACCGGAATATTTGGTTAAGTAAACTTGTAAGGGCGATTTAGCATAATTATTTGAACAATAAACCCATCGAATAAGTTTTTGAATTTTACTCAGATCCTAAAAAATGTGCGGTAGGTATAAACTATATGTATATAAAAAATATCAAAATAACGAATATATGTGTGACATGAATTTTCCTCTACTTACAAAACAATTTCTTTACCTTCACATCCATGGATAATATCCAACTCAAATCTAGACACACAGAAATTTTACATTTACTGTCATTCATGAAAATTTCCCTTTTCGAGGGCGTTTCTAGTAGCGGTACTTTGATGACTTTAAGTCTGTTTTGTTGAGCGTACTTTTTTGCCGCTATTTTTTCAGCCTGCATTTTAGCTCTCTTCGCTTTTTTTTCTTCGGTAAGATCATAGAATTTTCTTTTAGTTGATGAAGATGATTCGCCGGAGTCATCACATTTGGGTCTCATAAAATCGGACATGTTTAGGAAAACCTTGCGTTAAGGCTAAAAAAGAAGTAACAGTAATACAAACGTTCCTGTAGTAAAACTAGATACGGATAGAACAGGTACTATTATACATTTTCAACTTCAACAACTGAATTGCAAATTACTGCTGAAACTTTTGTGCTTGAACTTTTCTAATCCAAAGAAAACTGTCCTTCCTTTACTCATAGTAGCACAGAGACAAACGCAAAAACCATAAACATTGCTTGTTTCTGCAGTTAGTACAGGCCACAGGCCAGAGAAAGTAGAGACTTTATACAACTTACTTTTACAACGTACTTTCTTTTTTAGAACTCAACTAGCACATCCAATAGTAAAATGACTAAAATGCACAGAATAACTGAAGAATATGTTAAAAATCATAGATAAATTAATTATATTTCTCCATTGTTCTCCATGTTAAGAATGTAGAATAAAAACATAAAACTTCTGCATAAAATAAAACAGAAAATTCCTTTAAATTCAAACTTCAAACCACGGATCACAAAACACCACAAAACACCCACGGATATTCAAAATTCAAACTTCAAACCATTCCCACCATTCCCTTCAAACCTTCTTCAAACCTTTGCTTCAAACACAAATATACACAAAGTTGAAACTATGGTTGAAACACGGCATATCAATGTTAAAGTTAAATCAATGTTAAAAGTGAAAACTGTCAAATCACAAATGACGCTTGACTAGAGTTGGTAAGGTTGAATCGATATCGATATATTAAAAATGTCGATATAATTTTTAAATATTTTGGTTGAATATCTAAATGCAATTTTTAAAATATTAAAAACCATAATCAGATCTTCTGACATCTGATTTTTAAACCTGCTTTAAACAAAATGACCAGGAATACATAGAATTTAATTTTATCTTGGTCTAGTCTCAGTTTATTTTGTTTTTATATTATTTCTTATTCATAATAAAATTGTTTTTTTTATGCAGTGTCCAAATTTGGAAAGACATAGTCAGTACTCAACTGAGTGATATTATTGTAAATCAGAGGCTTCACATAAATAGTAGGTATTTATACCGCAAATAGTTCCAATCCGTTCCTAGACCAATAAATAATAATGGAACAACTTTTCATCTTGAAATTCATTTGATATTAACTAATTATGTGTTGTTATTCTATTATTTTAGTATTTATTTACTACCTACCTATCCAAAGTAATTCTGACCTGAATTCTGACTAGCAGTTTCAGTAGGGTATCTGTACTTCTGTTTAGTTATTTACCCAATGTAAAATAGAACCAGCAAATTATCAAGTCTGTCTTATAGTTTATATTTATTTTTATAACGACAAATGGAATCTGAGAAGAGCTATTTATTGAATAAACATTAAACCTACTTATTTATAGTAATATAAACAAAAAATATTTTATTTGAGGCCAGTTAGTATACTTCATATACCTCATCTGATAAAACTTTTTTCCCTATGCTGAATACTATTGTGACGGTTTCATTAAAAGATTAACCTCACTCAGTCTGAGAATTCTTCTTCATATGCCCCATCTTCTTCATAATATGCTGCATCTGATAAAATGTTTTGCCGATTGCTGAATACTATTCTAACAGCTTCATTAAATGATTTACCCTCACTCACTTTGAGAAGGATCTGGAACACTAAAAATTGGCAGTATAATACATCTACTTAGTTTTATGCACTATACTTACCTTGATAGATATGTAAAATTCTCGATTTTTTACTTTTTATGTTAAAAGATGACTTAATAGGCAGTTGAGCATGTGCAATACCTTCACTTGTCGCTGTTCTGTAGCAAAGACTCTAAAAATATTAAGTAAAACAAAACTGATACATATAGCTATTATTAGCTTTTTTCGTTTTCCTGTTATTACCGATTCCGAACCATCCTAGAACTGTGACGCGTATGCGCAGAAGGAAATATGAAGACATTATTTCATTTGCGCATACGCTGCGCAGAGTTCTAGGACAGTTCAGAATCGGTAATAACAGGAAAACGAAAAAAGCTATTATTAGTGTATAGTAACCAGACAGAGAACCAGAGAAGGAACAACTTTGACAGACAATATTAAAACAATGACATAAAATAGAATCTACCATTAAATTAAAATGATAAAGGGAATGCTGTCATACCATCTTTGATTATCAGATTTTAAATGTATTTACTTTATGTTTAGTGTGCCCTGACAAGCCACCAATAATATAAACTTTGTTTTCTTCTAGCCTATCAAGTACATTCTTGCTATCGCTGGTCAGATATATTAATCGATCCTTTTCGAATACATCTAAATAATGCCCTTCATGAAAATGTAGATCTGCCTCTTGAGTTACACCACGTTTCCTTAGTCTTTCTTTAGCTAAACCAGTATATCTTGTTAAATGAACATGTAGAGGTGCTTTAGCAGCTCTATTTTCTTCATAAACTTTTCTAATTTGTCTACCAGTTTCACTCTTATACTAAAAAGAAATATATAAATAATATTACCGAAATACATGTAACATTTTTTTTACCCTGTTGGTCATTAGTCCTATAAAACTCAAATCTATACAAATATTAATGTCACAAGTGCTGTCTTGCATTAAAGTTATTACTTCGGGAACTTTTACTACTTTCTTTTTCACAATTCCATGCTGTCTAGCATACTCTTTTCTCGCTTCCCATCTTGCCTTACGTCGAGCTTTTTTCTCTTTTTCAGCTTGAAGCCAGTCAAGATATTTTTTTTGCTTGCACGACAACTGTATTGATGGATCTAATGTTTCTCCTTTGGTAATATTTTTTCTTATTTGACGCCAATCCAAGTATTCTTTTTGCCTGGCAGACAACTGTGTTGATGAATGTGATGCTTCGCCATTATTATGACCGCTTGATTCGGTGTGATAACTCCTGTTAGGTTCCATAAAATGCGACAAGTAGTTTCTGTACCGTGTTTCTGTATGATTTCTGTTGTGTAAAAAAACTAGATACTTGACAGGGACAATATAGATTTACAACCTTTTGAAATAAAAGTTACTCTTCAATCTCCATTGCAGCTTTATATATTTTCGTAATCCAGACGGAAAAAAACCTGTTTTATAAAAACATAATTAAAAAATAACAAATACAAACTTCGGATAAATACCTACCCAAAGCAGCCCAAACCACAGGCCCAAACTGCCCAAAGATAATAGAGCAAGCAATTTACCCAAGGATAACCTGTCCAGGTTTGCCAACTCTGGATGATGGATCCATAATCCATAGCATATTAAAAACCGCTAGAATCTGCTAGGGGCTGTTTAAAATAGAAGATATTAAGAATTTCTTAGAAGAATTTAGTATAGAACCCCGCCACCCACCACTGTAGTACAAAATATTTGTAGTGTGTTAGTGTTCTGTGGTGGGTGGTAGAAAAATTCAGAACTTAGGGTACGAACATAGTGGAGGCAGGTTTCTGTGGGTTTCTGCTTTCCGGCAACCAGCGCCGTCTCTGGGGACCTATTCTTGACCACATATCGCTCACATCTCGCATCTCCGAAAAAGCCATATAACAATACACGTGATGCGTAACTTTGCGTATATGCCGTGTATTGTTATATGGCTTTTTCGGAGATGCGAGCAGGGTTCGGAAGTAGTTAATTAAGAGGAAATTTACCCGATTAACTAACCTAACCATATCCAAACGCCGCTCCCGCCGCGCCGGCCCCGCACATAGGGGTATTTGGTCTATAAACCTGGCCAAAAGTGAAATATTTTTATTTTCATTTTTTATCTTAACCACAGAATAACTACAGAACGATCAGTCAATGTAATAAAAAAGCGAACAAAATTTTTGCTGCCATCTATAGCGGGCCGAGTGCGGCTCAGGGCTTCAAGGTCAAAATAATTATTTATTAAATAAAAAAGTCGTGTCGGCGGCACGACTCGAACCAGCTACCTTCGTGTTGCTAGACGAGAGCCTTGTCCCCATAGATATCACATTGTGCATTTTAACCCGATCAAACAATCGGAGGTTGACTACGTACTGTAAAAACCAACTGAGACAGAGAAGGCGACATTGCCACATCTCAAATTTGCGCCTATCTACTTAGTTTGATTTGCAGAAAAGGTGACTTTAAAACCTTCACCGGATATCAGTAAATCTCAATTTCTTAATTAAATTAATAGTTTATATTTAAAGAAGCATGCGTAATAATTTATTATTAACCAGAGGATATATGCGTTACTATTAAACGACATGTTTACTGTTTAATGTGCTGAAACGTCTAGAACTATTGGCAACGTCGCTGCTAATCTTCCAGAATGAAATGAGCCGTCCGTCCCACCACCCCTCGCGACGGCCCTTGGTCCGTTATAGCGTACTACGTTTAGCTTACGATGTGTTTGAAGTCGGAATCAAGTCCGAAGTGAACTTTTCAGTGTTTTTCAGTAGTTTTTGTTTTTGTTTAACGTACTTTTGAATCTGCGAATTTTCAATATGGTAGGACAGTGTCAAATGTGTGGAAAAATAAGTTCAAATTACCCGAATTTGTCTTTTCACAGGTAGGTATTGTTTCCGCCGTCATCGTACATAGGCGTCCCACAAGGGAGCCTCTCACAATTAAAATAATTTCTAATTATATTTGTTGAATTTTGATCTATTAAAACAAGAACGTAGTAGCCGGTAATTGAATTATAATTCGTCTCAATTACTACCTAACTGTTGTAGATCATAACAAATTTGAATATAAACTTTGCATTTGAAACTTTATTATAAGCCTGAAAGTGACATTTTTTTTTTAAATTGCGTCATATTTTGGTCATTATATACGATATTCTAAAGGAATTTTGCTCAACAAATTAACAAAGGTGTTTACCCGACCTGTTTTACATTTTATTGCTTCATTATATCTTATATCTGCCCCTTCGGTCTTGTTTAGACCAGTTTTAACCACCGTTCAATACAAATACCTCTTTCTAGAGTTATTTGTATGGTGTGTTTACCTTTTTTTAGAATGGGACGAACTGTAAATAATTCTTAGGCTACTAGTTTTATACATACCTATATAACAGAGTGACCCAGGCCTCCAAAAAAGCTTTTTACCTATTACGTTTTTGGTTTGTGATTTTTATTTCAATCTTTACATAAGATCGGGGCCATTGTAACGCACATTTTCAAAATATTTTTGTTAACATACAGGGTGATTCAAACCGCAATACATATGCTTAATACAGTTCATGAAGATTGGGACGTTTAACTAAAATTTGATTGTCTGATTAAGCTACCTGAGTAATGGATTTGTAAATAAACGTAATATTTATTATTATGCGACAGAAATCCCATACTGTAGCACACAGATTTGATACTTTTAATGATAAATGCCCTCTATTGAGAGACTAAAAGGTAATTGCCTCGTATCAGAGCCATCATAATACGAGAAGAAGACCGAAAATCAAATCTTTTCTTATATGTTGTAAAACACAATTTTCTCATTAAAATAAATATTGATTTTAGGTATAGGAAGTTATTAATAATACTAGATTAAACAACTATTACACAGTACTTCACAGGAAGCTATCGATTGCGAACTAACTAAATCGTTACTAATTACTAATTTTGAAAAGTTCTTTTTAAGATCAAAAAAGGTAAAACTAAAACCTAAACTATCATTTGAGATTAAACGGGAAGTTCTAAATAGTGTTGCCTATTCTAAACAAGAAAAATTTATTTATATAAGTTTTATTAGATCTCTAATTAAATTTGGACGAAAATAATATTTCTGTTTGCTGTAGGTAATTTTCTCAGGGAAAATACGTAAATAAAAATGACTTTTTAAGTCAAAAAAAGTCAAAAGGACAAGTTTTTCCAAAAAAAGACTGTCCTTTTCAAAAAAGGACAGGTGGCAAGCCTAGGTATTTCTGGAATGAAAATTTAATGGCAAATCTACAACTTTAGTTTGAAAATATGTTCCGGCCATCTATGATTACAAAAATGTCTAAAATGTGCTTTACCATTGCCTCCATATTCTAAAAAAAAATTGAAAGAAAAATCACCAACCACAAACCTAATATAGAACTGTTTCGGAAGCCTGAGTCACCTTGTAAATATTCAAAAGTAACTGAAAGTTTATATAGAAGTAACTAAAAGTTTAAATTGAATATCGACGTTGGAGCCATTTTCGAAAACTACCTACTAACGTTTTAACATAAGTATATGTGGGATATTAATTATATCATTATATTAGACCTTATAACAAAACTCATCTAAAGAAAAAGTGTTAATGTAGTATATTAATATGGAGTAAAAATATTACTAATTACTTTACATTTACTTTACTAATAAATTCGTTCCAAAAAAACAATACGCCACTGGCCATTAGAACAATCCAAATGCGCCTAGTTGCCGGGGTCGGAAATTTTAGACTTCTCTGTCTCTTCTGTCCTTGTTTGACACATTGGAATGTTTGATACACTACCAACGAGTATTTATGAATGAGATGTTCGGTCTATCTTTATAATGTCTTTGCTTGTCCCCTACACCACCAGATATCTTAACGAGAATTATATCTTTATGGTAATAAATTATGAATTCAGCCTGCCACAACGGATATGTAAAATTTATCCTAGAGGCTGCTTATACTTTGAAAATTCATCTCGTTGCAGTTCATCACAGTTGTATAATTCAAGAAGCACTAAAAAATACATTTCGGAAGTCGGAATACAATAAAAAGCACGAGAAATATATTTTGTATTAAAAACAAAATAAAGGCAGCTTAAATATAGTTTGAAGCATAAATAAAGGAGTATTTGAAGTACTGTGTGGACGGAAGAGGGAAATCAATCGCCGAGCCAATCGTAACGTTTGAAGCAACCATACATACACGAAGAACTGTTCTGCAACCATATATACACGACGTAAATTAGCACCATCTATAGTGGGCCGAATCGTCAATTTGTAATTTAATGCTCCATAAGAGTGACTGGGCCCTGATCTTAACTGAATACAAATCTATAAATACTAAATGTAAGCGCGTTTATTAGCTTTTTTTAAGTCGTAAGTTGACTATCAAATAAATAATATATTTCAATTATAAGTATGAATTATCTTGAGTGTATTCTGAAAATTTCTAAGATTATAAAATAGTGGAATTGTTTGTAGTGCTTTTTTGCAAATTGTTTATAATAACTGTCATGATGGATACAGAGCCAGCTGGCAAGTCCTGTTTTATGCCATATTTTTATTTTGAAACGTTTCCTTCTATTCTATTTCTTTATAATGTTTTATATTTAAAAAATCAGAGGCATTTTTATAAGGTGTAAGACTATTCGGCAATATTCCGCATGGAAATTAGTATCCGTTCAATGCTTAAAGTCTCCAGCTTTGGAATATGTACAAAAATCTTGCCAATATTTGCCACTGCCAAAAAAAACATTGATTTAAATAGATTCTTAAAGGAAATAGTCTTTACCCTATAACACCCATCCTCGCTCAAATATCGTCTATAATATACAAATTACTTTCTTGTTCTAGCATCCTCATCCAATTGCTTGGTTTTGCACAGAATGGCCCTATTTGATCGGTGGAAAGGGTTTCAGAATAGAGGAAAAAATATTGTGTAGGAAAAACAAAATGAGGTTCCATATTAGCACCCTCTCCTCTAATAATTAATATTACTAGCAAAAAAGCAAAAAAATCATAAAACATAATTTTGGCCAACTTTTAGTTCTTAATACCCTCTGTGCGCCGTCGGCGCCTGCAAAAGCAGAAATAAATAAATTTTCGTTCCGGTAAAAGCGAGAACGCCGATGAACGCTGGTTGACGGCTCCTACCTGCTTTCACTGTGAACTAGCCGATTTGATAACACGCTTTAATTTTTCAAGGTTATAAGCGCGAGGCGGCGCGGCGCGGCGCTACTATGTAACCATATACAGGGTGTCCCAGAAATACGTGCAAGTATTTTAACTTAACTGGTAGTATAGTTCAACCCCAGAAACACGCCTATGAGGTTTTTTTCTAAATATTTTTTTTTGAAAATTCGGAATTTTTTGAAAATATTTTTGGAATTTTTTTGCAATTTTTTTTAGTTTTTATTTAAAAAAATAATTTCTTGATAATATGGCAACATAGGTAGTAGATTAAATTTATAAGAAAGAAAATCCAGAAAAGATCCAGTGGTTCTCAAACAAATCTCGAAGTATTGGAAAGAATATGTAAGGACCAAGAACTATTGACTACAATAAAACGATGAAAAGCAGCATATTTTGGTCATATTTTTCGAAATAACAAATATAGTTTCCTACAGCTGATCGTTGAGGGAAAGACTGAAGGACGACGAGGCATCGGGCGTAAACGGTTTTCCTGCATGCGGAATTTGCGCCAGTGCCATGGTTTAATATAGGAGAGGCAAGTGCAATTATCCGTTTGGCTCAAGACAGGGAGGAATTCCAATTGATGGTCGCCAACCTCCGATGAGGAGAAGGCACATGAAGAAGGTTCTCAAAATTTGAACAAAAAATCATTTTTTTTGGAAATTTTCAAAGTAAAATAACTCCGTTATTTTGGACTTATTTGAAAAACGATAAAGAGAAAATATGTTTCTTTTATCGAGATCTACCACCCTTTAAAATACTTGCACTTATTTCTGGGATACCCTGTTTATAACAATACATGTGATGCGTATACGCAAAGTTGCGAACGATGTCAAGAATAGGTACCCAGATTGGCGCTGGCTACCAGTAAGCGGCAAACCTGCTTGCACTGTGTTCGCACACTTAGATTCAGAAAGATTCAAATTCAACCAAAGTCCCTAGATTTAGGGGTTTTAGATTTTATCGACAGCATTTCCGACGGAAAGGACGGAAAGTTGAATTAATTTTAATTTAATTTACTAGCTGTTGGTATCCCTGCGTTTCCTACTTCATTCCAATCACGTTTGGAAATTTGGTTTCTGTTTTTAAAAATTTATTTAATTTTCAATGTAATAATGTGTATTCTAATTAATAAGATTGTTTCCTCCGATGTATCAGTTTTATATGAGTTGGGTTTTTATAAGAATTGGAAGTAGTAAAGTTCGGGATTTCCAAACGTCAAAGTAGTGGGTCGTGGGTCGTGGGTGGTGTTTGTGGCTGATTTCACAACAATAGCTGTATATTCTGTCTAAAAAATATCATTTGTAGTGGAAATTTATTATTTATCTTTAATTTTTCTAAAGTTTATAATGTGTGTTGCTGTGCATTTCGTACGTTATGGTTATGTGATTTAATTTACACTCCCAAATATATCAATTTAGTGTAAAATGCTCCATGTGGATCAATAGTGTAGATCAAATAAGAAAATTACTCATTTTTCTTGCTCAATAGTGATTGTGTACTTTTGCTACAAGGTTGTTGAATTGTTTGTCGTAATAATTGCATTGTTCAAGACTTTACATTGTAGATAATTAAATAATGAATTCTAATAACCACAATCAACCTCGTAAAAACTCATCTAGTTTTAATAGACATGCTAATAACCACCCAAATAGATCTAATCACCCCCATAATCAGCAGCGTTGGCCAAACAGATATCCTAAAGATTATAATAGAGAATTTGAGAATTTTAATAGAGGGTAAGTGAATCATCAAATTAACTAAATATTTTTTGTCTATAATAATAAAATAATTTTATTTTAATAGGGAATGTTCATTAACATCAACTGCAAATCAAAAGGAATCAAATTATGTACATGGTTACCCTAAAAACTCCCAATTAAGTCCAGTTCCAAGAAATAACCATATTCATTATTCCAATGAAGCTTCAGGTAAGAATTTTTTTCATTGAAATAATAAATAAATTAATGTAATTGGGTTGTACTGTACTCAGGTGTACATCAGCATCTAGACAGAAGACACAACTTAAATAGTCCTCAAGAAAGAAGACATACTATCCCTCAAAATTATCACACTCTTAATGATCGCAGACTTATGCCTGGTTTGTCTGATAGGCGACATATATCTCCACCACTTCACATAAACGTTTGTGAAAATAGTAACATTAATGAAAATATCCACCCAAGAGGAATGATGGATTTTTCTCAAAGAAGGCCTACTAGAGGTAAGTTATTGCATATTAAACCCTAATTTTCAGTAAGATACCTATATGTTATTTTATAGTTTCACCAGTGCAGTTTCAACAAACATCACCTCAATATTTCCGACAAGCCAGTGATGAAAGTATAAAAAGTGAAAGTCCTTCGCGTAAACGTAGGAGGTTATCTAGATCAGGGCATCATTTAGAGATGCAGCCCGGTGGCCCCCCATCTCCACCTAGAAGGTCACCTAGACAGCATCCTCCATCTACGCCGCATCAAGTTCAAGTAAAAAACTATACTTTTTGTTTTTGTTTATGTTTATGATGTTAATTCCTCAAAACTATTATTAGGGTAGTCCACCATTAAGAAGACCGAGATACCGAGACAGGAATGATTTTAGTCATTCACATCACCAACAGTTCCTTCCTAGTCCGCCTCCTGTTGCGCATGCTCATCCACATCAAAATGCTGTAATGGTTGATTTAAATCAAGTGAGTTTGTTGTTTATGTTATTTTAAACTCGTTTTAATGTATTTTTTTCTATAATAGGTTTCTGTAACTATACCTATGAGCCATCATCATCATCACCACCACCACGAAGGACCGCCAACTGCAGTATGGAGTTATCCGACTGGTGCTCCTCATATTTCACTTTGTGCTGCTCCGGCCGGAGCCCCACCTCACTTACATTCCTGTCATGTACATGGTCATGTTTACAGTACGTACTATTTTAATTACATTTAAAGAATTTCAGTGTGTCAATTTTCTAATGTTTCTGTTAATAAGTCTTTAGCAATTATTATTTAAATGTTAAGAAAACTTAGAGAATTGGCACATTTCTTAAGTTTTATTTTTCATTTTTGTCAAGGGCCTAGATTGTGCACCAATTCGACTATCGAAATTTTCAACTTTATACACAACTAAAAACTTCATTCACATTTATTATTTTTTTCTTCTAAAATCATAGTTTAGATCAGATTAAGGTATGGGTATATTTTTAAACTATCTTTAGAATCTTAACATATACAGGGTGGTCCGAACTGTATTCCGGAAACTTCGGCAGCATATTCTGCAGATAACAATAAGTAAAAAAGTTCGTATAAATGTATGTCCTAAAATGCTTAGTTTCAGAGATACAGGGTGTAGAAGTTTCATTTTTATTTCGATTTTCTCCACATAATTTCTGAAGTAAGTTCAATATTTGGATGAAAATTTTTGTCTAGGAGTTTTTTGACATGAGAAATTTGATGTAATAACTTTTCGTCCGTACCTGTATAAACCGTACCTGTGAAAAAATATACATCTTTATGACTTTTTACGTAAAAAATATCTCTTTATAAAAATCGCTACGAGCAACCGTTCTCAAGATATTCAGAATGGAAATAGTCAATAAATGTCATTATTGATGAAAAATAAACGCGTTGAGTAGATAGATAGTTATTTCACTGAAATAATAAATTCGGGAAATTTTTATTTTTTTAAATTAATCATAAATTTTTCTGCAAAAGAATGATGGTGAAACAGTTTCTGTTGAACTTTTGACACAAAAACATTTCAAATTTATGAGCTCAGTCTAACATGTTTAATTTATGTCATTGATGACAGGTATTGATAATTTCGATTCCAAATATCTCGGAAACCATTACTCGTAGCGATTTTTACCAAGAGGTCTTTTTTACGAAAAAAACGTCGTAAATATATATTTTTTACTCAGTAGTTTTATACAGGTGTTAGTGGTAGTTTTATACTTCTACACACTGTATCTCTGAAACTAAGCATTTTAGGACATACATTTATACGAACTTTTTTACTTATTATTATCTGTAGAATATGTTGTATCTGCTATATAAGTTTCCGGAATACAGTTCGGACCGCCCTGTATTTATTAGTAAATCTAAAAAAAGGTAATTAGTGTTTATCCATTTTATAAAATAATATAAATATTTGATACTCAGGAGTAATAAATAGAAAAAATACTATTTATACATAATATAGTGAGGAACAAACAGTATAATTTCTCTATAATTTTTATTGTATTTCTAGACTTTTGTCTATTATAGGTGTATTATTCTTAAGACTATTTAATGGGCATATAACGCCAATAAAACGTGTAGGCAAAGAAAACTACTGGGTTTTTTTTGTTTCTTGCACTAATAAAAATTAAATAAGGTACTATATTACCTGGAAAAGGTAGTTCTTTCTTTTTAAATTTGTGTATCTAAAAGACATTCAATGAAATTAGGTACCTGAGACCTATCATTTAAATAGTAGTGATAAAACTAAAATGAGCAGCTAGCTAATAGTTTTAATAAAATTTAGTACTAGTATATCTCTACTATTATAGGTGTCTATATTCATAAAGTGCCTTCAATTTAGAGTTTCTATTTTTGTAAATTCATTGTAGACATTTAGACAACTTTTCCTCTCAAAATTTCATTCGAATTACTAAAAGTACTTGGAAGAAAATTATAATAAATCGAAAGAATATTAAGACTTTAACACCCTGTAGCTACGAAACAAAGCAGAATCGGACCTATGTTGATATGAAAAATTAATATTATTTTTGCGTGAGCAAACTCCCCACGAGAGATGGCACATGTTTTTTGAAACCCCCTGTATACTGTCGAAGTTTTTCTAGTATCTAAATAATATATGAATAGACTAAAAAGTAAGCAAAAAAAATTAATAAAATTATACAGGGTGTCCCAAAAATAAGTGCAAGTATTTTAAGGGAGGTAGATCTCGATAAAAGAAACATATTTTCTCTTTATCGTTTTTCAGAGTTATTTTACTTTGAAAATTTCCAAAAAAAAATATTTTTTGCTCAAATTTTGAGAACCACTGGATCTTCTCTGGATTTTCTTTCTTGTAAGTTTAATCTACTACCTATGTTGCCATATTATCAAGAAATTATGTTTTTTAACTAAAAACTTTTCAAAAAATTCCTAATCTTAAATTTTTTTTTTGCGAAAAAACCCTCATAACGTGTTGAACTATACTACCAGTTAAAATACTTGCACTTATTTCTGGGACACCTTGTATTTTTTAAAATAAAGAAATAAGCTAAAGATTAAAAAACTGAAACGTACGTGAGAATCAGTGAATTGATTGCTTCTTTATTGCTTCATAGTTAATACCGAATATTTTCGATTGTCGAATAGATTTAGTAACGGCCTATATTTTTTGCTTTATTATACAGGGTGTAAATGAATAAGTGCAAAAAATTGAGAAGCAATTGGTTTATAAAAAGTAATAAGGGTTTTTCATATATATATTTTTTCAATTTGACGTTTGCCTTAACATAATATACAATGAGCTTAAAAAGGTATTTACTTATACAAGTTGAACCAAAAGAAGTCTTGAAATGAAAATCAGGCTAAATGCCAAAAATTTTTAAAATTACTTTTCACTTGAAATCGCTTATAAAACGGGCTGTGACCAACGCCTTGGAACTACTCTAAATACAGCGTCAAAGATCTCGCGCATGGTCTAATGAAATCAGTGCTAAGTGCCACTAAACTAAACATTGATTTTATCAAAATTTTAATTTTGGTACTTAGCTCAGTTTTCATTTCAAGTCTTCAAATATGTTCTCCATGTTTACTACGATTTTTTTATGGATTTAATGCATACTTCTGATGTTATTGATTAGAAGAAAAAAATATTTCAAAATTAGGCTGAGGATAAATACAGATAGTAGAATAGCTAACTGAATACTCTATAATGACACACAGAAATAATAGTTCTATACTCTCTGATCATGAAGCAGTTTTAACTGAATTTACGATGAAGTCCAAAATCAAAAATGCCTCTCGTAAATTATGAGGTATTTTTTCAGAAAAGAATGCTCAAAAGTTCAGCCACTTATGTAAAACAACCAACTGGGATACTAGCTCTTATGATGTCGACACCGAATTTTCTATTTTCGTAAAAACATCAACCAGTCTAGCGTTCAAATCCTTTCCTCTTAGGCCTATAAAAAATAAGCATAATAAACCTTGGACCACTAAATGTCTACGCATATCTTCTAAAAACATGCGTTCATTATCTCACTTAAAAAAATTCTCAGACAGTCTCTTCTTCCACGATTACGTAAAACTATACAGAAAAATTTATCATAAGACTATAAGAGCCGCTAAGGACCTTTATTATAATAGGAGAATAGTCAATTCTGGTAATGTTGCTAAAGAAACATGGTCTATTGTGAATGAATTGAGAAACAAAGCTTCTTCGTCTAGCAATATCTCTACCTCACCTGAGAACCTTAACGATTACTTTGTAAATGTAGCGAAAACTTAACTAATACCATATGTCCTCCTCATGATTCACTTTCTTATCTCTCTAATGATAATGTAAACTTACACAGTTTCTTTTTTTCGCCCGTAGTTTTAGAAGAGCTTCGCAGTACAATTAATACCATCAAAAATAAATCCTCTTCTGGGACCGACGGGCTAACTTTAAAAATGTTTTCGAATCTGCCAGAAAGCACTCTGAATCACCTAACAACTTTAATAAACATGTCGTTCCAAAATGGTATTTTTCCAAAATGTCTTAAGACGGCAATAATCATTCCTCTGCATAAAGGAGGAGACAAAGATGAAGCTTCTAACTATCGCCCAATTGCACTCCTTCCAACGCTATCTAAGATCATAGAAAGGTTGGTTAAAAGAAGGCTGGTATCTTTTCTGTTTAAGTACAAAATATCTACTGAATATCAATTTGGATTTCTAAGCAACAAGTCCACAAATGACGCTATGTTTTCCCTCCTTAATAAAGTTTACTCCAGCCTAAACAACCATCATTCTACAGCAACAATTTTCTGTGATTTTTCTAAGGCGTTCGATTGTGTAAATCATAAGATCCTAATTAATAAACTGCAGCACTATGTGTTCAGGGGATCATCTCTCGAATGGTTTAAGTCGTATCTGAGCAACAGAAGTCAACTTGTGAGGGTGGATACCACGTTGTCTTCTAGCAAGCCAATAGAATATGGAGTACCACAAGGCTCAATACTAGGCCCTATTTTGTTTCTTCTTTTTATTAACGACATTGCTAACATAAACATCAGTGGCAAAATATGTCTTTTTGCGGACGACACTAGCTTCACTTGGAGCAACAAGGACATCACGGCACTTCATAGGATTATATTAAATGACTTAATCACCATTAAATCTTGGTGCGATTCGAACCTCCTGAGTCTCAACATTTCTAAAACTAAAGCTTTGTCGTATAAAAACTCGTTGCAGCCTTTTGTACTTAACAACACCACCATTGACGTCGTAAAATCTGTAAAATTCTTAGGGCTTGTTGTGGACAATTCTCTGAGATGGGACATGCATATCGAAGCTTTGTCGAAAAAATTGAGCTCTGCCTGTTTTGCATTAAGGTCTGTTTCTAAGGAGCTTAACTTGTCAGTGGCTAGAACTGTTTATTATGCACTTTTTGAGTCGCACCTCAGGTATGCCCTTCCATTCTGGGGTACGTGTTGTGCGACTCAATTTGACCGCATTTTCAAGCTCCAGAAGAGAGCTGTTCGATATTCACTGGGACTAAACAGCAGAACTCATTGCCGGGACTTTTTTACAGAATTAAAAATATTGACTCTTCCTTCCTTATTTATATTTGAATCCGTTTGCCTAATACGTAAACATGTATCAGCTTCTCAAAAAAGGCCATCTCACACTTATCCACTCAGGAACGCGGAGCAAGATCTTTATCTACCTACCCCACGCTCAGAGTTTATTTAAAGTTCTATTTTTAGTTCAATTTATTATTGAAAGTTCAATATTATACAACTCGAAAAAAATGCACAATCACCTGCCATTTGAAATCAAATCCATAACATCATTTTTTTCGTTTCACAGAGCATTGAACTCTTATTTACTAGACAAGGCTTTCTACGCCGTAAATGAATTATATTTTGAAAATCAAATTTGATCTTGTAAACACTGGTCTAATGTTTGCTATTGCTATATTTACTAATGACATTGAAATTAATTTATTTAGAGGTCATTGATATTTTACTATAAACTAGCTAAATATTTTTGAATATTATTTTTATTTTTTTGTTCTTTGACATTGTAAACATTTATAAATGTTTATTTTAACAATAAGACTGACAATATTATTTGTATAATGTTTTGTATTATCTTTTGTTTGTTTGTTTGTGTACCTTGTTTTTTTACTTTGTTTGTTAGTTTACCTTTGTCTACAAATTGAAAAATTTTTTTACAATAAAGACATTTATTTATTTATTTATTTATATAAAAATATGATTTCAGAAGGGACATCCTCACACCAAATTGCATCTTTTTATTGTAAATCGTTTTTTTAATGTTGATCACATTGTTTTTTTTTTGTTTCCCCATATAAACAAAGAACTTTTTAGGTAAAAGTCAATTAACATTTTATTTGAAAAACCCATTATTTTAAAAAAGCAATAACGTTTTTAACAAACGTCATTTAGTAACGTTTTTTAACGTTATTTAGTTTTTTTTTTCGCATTTTTTATTTTATACCTTGTGTGACTAAAATATGTGTATGTTCATTATAAACTACATATATTGAGGAATAGAATATAGTATTTACTTACAGAAATAAATAAACCTAGAGGGGTTGATCCACAGTCTCATTTTTATTTATATGCTTTACATTTTACCAGAGTATCAGTACTATCAGTATACTTCAACACATTTTTGGTACTCAATTTATTTTGTCATGGTTAGGCAACGCCTTCTTGACTTCATTATATGGTCGCTGCTGTAAATTATTCTAGTAACGTTGCAATTGACTACAAATCAATGTTATTCGTAGTTAGGACACCTCTATGTTTTTTACTTATTTCCTTGAGTACTTAAAAATTATTTGATACATAATTGATATTAATTACACCATTTATACTTAAATGTTCTTTATCTTCGTATAGTTTGCAACAGCCTCAACTTTATGGACGTTAGCCATAAACACAACCATCCGAACGCAAGTGATGGATGCCGCTGGTCTCTAGCGCATCTATATCTCACCCCGCTAGTTTCCTATACCAATTCTGAATAATTGTTACTTTTAGGTGCGCCGCTCGTGCCCCAAGTGCCGCCGCCACTGGCCGGCTGTCTGGCCCCGCCGCCTTTCGCCGCCGCGCCCGCACCGGTAGCAGTGCCCCCCGGACACCATCAACATTACGGCTTGGGTACGAGGCCCGAGCATCAGCTGGCCGAATTGGAAATGTTGCAACATCGCGGGGAGACGCATCAAGCCCATTTGGCGCCGCATCCTTCGTTACACGTTCCTCCGTTGCAGGTAAAAGAATGCGTCTAATATACAGTGTGTGTCAAGAAGTTTGGAACGAATGGGATTTTTTATTGAGAAAGGTTTATGCGGAATTACAAAATATAATAATTTTAGTATATGAAGGGTCCAGGGGAAGAACGACATTGGTGTATTTTTGCGAGAAATTAAGTTTATAGTTTATTTTTATGGCATATTGTAGTTAATATTGTTACGGATTCCGTGGGTCCACTAATTTAAACTCACGATAAAATACTTAACGAATTTATTTTTCTCACTAGGGAGTTTTCGTTGCTTACAAATTGCAATTCCGGTTAACGCTAATTGACAACTTTGACATTTCAATTTCGATTATCGTATATCGTAATCGCTAACTGCCGATATTTTACGGACGTTAGCCAAAGACGTTAACATAGCGGTACACATGCGCACTAGCGCCGTAGAACACAACATTGAAGAATACAGATCTAACCTAACCTCATTCTATTTTGTTTATGTTTTGATTATTTATTTTATCTGTATTAAACTCGTTGGGAATTCTTAGTGCTTCAACTAATCGAGGAATGTCTTTTTTTCAAGGCGGAAATTAGCTTTGCACTCTTGGTCAGATAATATTTCTAGGTTGAACTCCCCATAAAGTTCTGCTCGATATTCGATGTTGTTTTCAAACCCTTCCAACAGCATAGCATCCTCCAAATCCGATTCATCACTAGAGTCCAATAAAAGTAAATTGTTCATCCTCTATAGCGATACCCAATAAAGTCATATAAAGCACTTTCAAATCAAACAACACTACAAAAACCAAAAATCAAAACACGACGCTACGGGCTGTGCTCTCAGTCAGCTGTCAGTTTTCGGTTATCGTATCGTATGTCGGCTCCGAACCGATGAACCGAAAGTCCGAAAACTGTTTTTTATCTGTCAAAATAGCGGTTATGGTTACGTATCCGTTAACCGTACCGTTGAATTTTTTTAAAGCAACGAAAACTCCCTACTCTGTACACACAAGGCGGTATAAGTTGTTATACTATTTACAACACAATTTATGCAACTACTATTACTCTAACGGTTCTGGCACCTTCGCCAATTAATTCACAATTTAAAACGCGGTATTATCAAACTTCCAACTGGTCCAACTGCCAAGCGCGGGCCTTTTGCTGTTTGTTTGCAAAATAGCTGGCTAGTTTGAAAGCTAGCCAAGTATCCATTTTAACCGTACATATACATTATAAGTTTAATGCAACCTAAAAATCAAAATTTGAAGTTTGTAACACTTTTTTCGTTTCGTTGTAACAGTTTTTTCTCGACTGGAAAGTCAGTTACCGATAACGGCTAGACAGCTAACTTTTAATCCATAAGGATATTTCGAGATTTTTCATTTTTTCCTTTGGTTGTAAGCTGAAATTCCAAATTTGAAGTTTGTGACACATCTAGAAGTACCTTAAATTTTGAAATTTGACAAGCGATAATTCATAAACTATGAGGTATAATTACGAGATATTTTGGTAATCTAATCAACATGTCTCCGAGTTTTCATGTTTAGTTAAAATTAATATTCTTGCTTTTTCCACAACGAAGTTACAGGGTGGTCAAAAGTACCGCTAATACCTTCGAGAAAAGGATGGTATTCTACGGCTGTGCTCGAGATATAATTATTTAATCAGTGTAATTATTTTTATCCTCAATTGGGGGAGAAATTCTCAGATGAATTGACTCAAAGCGAAAAGCGTTAAACAAAACATTCTCTTATAGGTCCCAGCATCGGCAGCTTCATTGTTCCTGTCCGAAGCGCGAGGCGGCCCCTTGGACCTCCTACGTCAGAGAGGCGCCCCTCATCACGGGGCTCGCCTAGCACCACCCCGAGCCCACCGTTGGCATCACAGCACTCCTCTAATGACGCCGGCCCGGTACTCTGGCTTCCTGCTGCACTTCCTCGCCATGTTCTCTAACCCGCCGATGTCGCCCTTCAGCCAGACCGATCTGAGCAGTTCGGATAGTACTGAAACGGAGGTAAGTCCATATCATGTCTTTAATTTTTAGTCATTTATTTAGTTATACCCATAGACTTACGCTTAGTACCCATAGTCTACGCTATTTACATCTAAACTCGGTCAAACAATATTTTTTATACACATGTTTACTTCTGAGTACAGCCTACCGAGCCTTCCACATCCGGCCTATGTTGTCACGTCTATAATATTATCAATATTTTTTTCTTATTATACACATATTGAAATATTAATACTGCATTTTAATAAAGTAGGTTTTAATATTCCATAGATGTATTAATTAGTCCTTATAGTACTAAATTATAAGTCGGATACTATTTAAAAACCATAAATTCTTTACAATATGGCAACACCGATTAGACGCGAGGTCGCCTATTCGCTCACTTATTATCTTGTAGTACGCGTCGCACGTGCGTAGTAAAGCATTGTTGCCGCAATATCCCTGGCTGTATTATCGCATTTCTTAGTTTGTAGTCCTTTAGTGTTTATTTTAGTTACTTTTTCTATTCAACAACTATAAAATATGGTTCGCCAGTGCCAAATTTGCAAGAAATTTTATTTAAATAGTCCATTTAAGTCTTGAAATGACTTTTGACTGGTATGCAACTCTCAATTTACCAGTTGGAGTCAGTGGCGTCGTTGTAGAAAGGCGCTTAAGATAATATGATGGTAAAATGTAAAATCTGTATTTTTTCTGTTTGTCATTAATAAATCGAGAAAGTCCATAACAATATTACAATGCTACTAAATAAATTATCTAAGTAAATCTGATTTTGCTATATCAGAATAATATATCCATCAATGTGATATTAATAGAACTTGTAATATTAATATTACTTTGTTGTTTTTTTTGTCTTTGTTGTTTATTCATTACATTACTCATATTATTTAAAAAAGCTTCATACTTATTGCATCTTGCCATTAAATAATGTATTGTCACCTTTATTATACCATGTAATCGAAAAAAAGGCGTCCAGTTGGCTTGGAAATCTACGACGATCGATGACAGTTCTCATGTAATTTTACACATATAAAATGACAGGAATCTTCATTTCATAGCTATCTCTGTTACTATTTTTTTTTCAATCATAATGTACTTACTCTATAATAAATTATTTTTTATAGATTTTTATTTAAAAACCTGTACTAAATCTTATTAAATTATAAGAAGCTCAAATACAATATATTTTAATTGAATTATAAATTATAACTTCATTAAAATAAAAAAAATATACACGCCTATGATACGGAGAAGTCAAATCAGGGCAGGTGTACTGAGAAACGAGACGCAGTGTTGCAATTGCTGTCCTCCATTCGCGAATTTCAAGTTCCAGAGCTTTACGCCCTGAGCTACTCAGAATGGTTCTGAAAGGAGCTGTGCGCGATAACCTGGTGCCTCCATATAACGCGGAACAGTTCTGAACTTTATAACTCAGTTGAATGGAGTGAGAGTATCGCGTTCTTGAACAGTTCAGAGCTGCACAACTGCCTGAATGGAGGACAGTAAATATTCGTCAGCAAACGACCGTTACGACGGAGACAACCTATCTATCGCTCGTGTCACACTCGTTAGAACCTAAAACAATAACAAGGCAAATGTCTGACCGCTTTTGCCAGCTATTTATGATTACAGTTGAGGGTTGGAACCTTTGGTATTATACAGCAAAATAAAAACACTAAATCACCACAATACACCAAAACACTTTTACTTTTACACTGGACGCGCGTTTCGCTAACCATGTTAGCATCATCAGCAGATGATTATAAACTCAATTATTTTTTTTTTGAAGTACAATCTACAAATTGAGCGTTTATATACTCGCTCAGTGGGCACCGAGTGGGCGTGGCAAAATCTAGCCAACCGAGTCAGAGCCTACTGAGCGTAAGTTAGATTTCCGCCACTAGAGTAGTAGGAACAAAGAACTTGAAGGAATTGGACCGTTGTCTCTGTTCATACTATCTTTACATTTATTAATTCTGATGCTTTCATATGCATCTAATTGCCTGTAATTTGAGACTTGTTTAATTAATTTTAAATTATTAAGATCTATACAATGTTCTTTATCAACAATATGTTCGGCAACGCAAGATTTATCCGGTCTACCATATCTTATCTGAGCTAAATGTTCTTTAAATCTAGTTAATATTGATCTTCTAGTTTGCCCAACATATTTCTGATTACAATCTTTACAAGAAATTTCATAAATACCCGACCTTTCCAGTGGAGATGTTTTATCCTTTGGATTACCTAATAATTGTTGTAATTTATTATTAGCACTATACACAAGTTTATAATTGACATTCTTAAAAATTCCTTTTAGACCACGGGATAACTCTCTATCAAACGGTATCGAAAAATATTTAGACGAATCTTTCTCCACTCGAGTTTATAATCATCTGCTGATGATGCTAACATGGTTAGCGAAACGCGCGTCCAGTGTAAAAGTAAAAGTGTTTTGGTGTATTGTGGTGATTTAGTGTTTTTATTTAGCTATTTATGAATGAGATGCTCAGTCTATATTTTATTTTAAGTCTATGATTTACTCTACGTAATAAATATTTACATATCGATAGCCTAAAATTATTTTTAAATTAAAAAATTTACATTTTGTTATTATTTCAGAATTACGAGGCTCTGCTGAATTTAGCTGAGCAGTTGGGCGAGGCTAAGCCAAGGGGATTGGCCAAGCTGGAAATCGAGCAGCTAGTGAGCTACAAATACAATGCCGACACTCATGAAGGAGATCAGACTTCTTGTGTGGTGTGCATGTGTGATTTCGAGGCTAGACAGGTGAGCAATGTCAAATTAGCAAAAGAAATATTTTTAAATTAAAAATAAAAGAACAAATATTTTATTATTTATTTAACTCCTCTAGGTTGACTTATTTTTCTGAGACTCGTTTTTTTTATTTACAGACACTGAGAGTTCTGCCATGTTCTCACGAATTTCATGCCAAATGTATCGATAAATGGCTTAGGGTAAGTTTGAAATTGTTTTTAAAAAATTGTTTATTCGCAATATTTGAATCATTAAATAAAAAGGCGAAAGTATATCAACAAAATTATGAACAACGCGAAGGGTGTTTATTTTAATGGGGCCGACTTAAATTCTGGTTTATCAGCGACGTTCTATTTTTGAGGTGAAACTTCTTTATGCGCGATGGGAGTAAAAAAGTTCAAGGCCGTGTCACACCACAGTCTTGACATGACCTTGACGCACGGGCTAGCAAGAGTGAAATAATAAAAACTGTATTTATAAAAATATATCTTGTATTTTCGTTCTTTATGATATTTAATAGTTGATATTATTAACAATATTCCGTATAATGAAAAAAAAAAAAACAGCGCAAAGTTGGCAGTATTTATAATATAGGAAATTCAGATAATTCGTTTTCTGACAGATGGAAATAAATTGTCTAGCCGTTTGACACTTAATGTCAAAGGAAGCTAGATAAAATGAAGAAGAATATACGCTCTAAAACTAAATCTTAAATAACTTAAAAACGATTTATTTTAGGTATAGAAACATGTATAGTCAAAAAGTAACGAATTGAAAAGCTTTTTCACTAGTAAAATAAAAAAAAGTGGGTTTCCATTTGAAAAAAATTATTTATGATAATTTTTTAATCGCTCAATTCTATGACAGCTGCGGCCATTATTATATGACATTCGAACAATTTAATTTTTGAAATAGATAGCCACAAGTTTTTTTGTTTATGGCACAGTGGCTGTGGTAATCACTAAATTTGAAGTTTAGGCTATACTCATATTTTTGACAGGCAGTTTTTTTCGTTCAAAAATTTTAAATATTTTTTTCTCAAAAACGGTCAATGTTAGATATAGAGTGTTAAACATCAATATCCATAAAATTTTACAGAGAATATAAGTATGTAATAAAAAATAGGGGCACCCATTTAAAATAAGAAAGTTGCTGTCAACTTCTGGTATTTCCGGAAGTGCCGCCATATTGAAAATATTTTTAATCGATAGATCCCGTTGTGAAACTATGATGTGCAAAAAATCTCCGAGCTAGTTGTTGTAGTTCTCTAGAAACTTCTAATGCACGCTCAGCCTGGCACACCCTGTATATCCTCTGGTTGTGTGCTAGGAAGTAAATTTTCATGCATGTTTTCATCGATTCTCCTGAATAACGGTCTAGGTAAAGCATTTAGCTCATTTCCTAGCTCAGAATTAGAATTATTAGAGTTAAGCAACTCGTATTTTCATTGGAGGACATGTCATATTTATGCCAAACAAAACCAATAATCAACGAGAATATTCATATAATTTAACAGAATTACTGTAAACCACTATAAATACAAATTGTTGGTTAGGTTCAAAATTTTTTCTCTTCTTAAATAAATTTAAGCGTTAACACGATTAGGCATTTGCATAAAAGAAAAAAAAATTTTTGGGTGGTATTTCACAAAATTTGCAGGCTATTACGGAAACAGAAAATGTACATGTTACATAAATAAATTGAAAATAATATTTATATTAAAACAGCATTATATGTCACTTTTCAAACATGGCCTTCAAATCCTCCAATTTTATAGCTGTTAGCACAAAATATCTAGCTACTCAACAGAAAAATACTCGAAATGAAAGAGCTAAAATTGCAAAAATAAAATACTAGATGGCGCGACAATATCATAATCAGAATATAATTGGAAATTTTCAACTTTCGGTTTTGGATCGACGTAGATCGACGGCACGTCGACGGCCTTGAAGCTTGGCAAAATATGCACAGTTGCCAGATTCAAACAGACTTTAATTGGCATCCCATTCTTTTTCTGGTGTATAATAATTTCTTTCTATTCTTCGTTTCTTGTCAGATACACTTATATTAATTATTCGTTTGGCTTTTAAAATTATAATAAATTAATAAAAATAAAAAAATAAATTAGAAAACATATGCTCTCAAAATACATTTTTAATATACACTACTTTATTATGTTAACTAAGAAAATAACTTTAATTAACTTTAAAATTAATAATATACAGGGCGATTGATAGTGATATTTATTAATGCTGAAACGTTAGTAATGAAATATACGTTTAATAATAATGGAAATGATTTATTAAAATGCAGTACAAAAAATGTTAATTGACTAAAAAAATACTATAATAACAATTTTTTTTCTGTTTGCCATGTTATTTATATATACCTAGGTAGATTTTAAAAAGTGACACAGGTACAATTAATAATATATTAGTTCGGCATAAAAGTTGCTGTCACGACATCGTACAATAAATTAAAATTCGTAAAATAAATTAAAATTATTAATTAAACAAATCTTTATAAAGAAACACAAGTATATCAAATTTGGGCCCAATCGAACGCCAGGAAATGGTATCGTAATATGGTACTACATTATGGTACCCCTTGATATGCTTCATGGTACCATAGTATTACAATGTCATCAAAAATATGCAAGTATATATCAAATATGAGCCCAATAAATAAACGTCAGGAAGTGGTATCATAATATGGTACTATAGAAGGTACCAATTTATATGCTCCATGGTGCCATCATATTACGATGTTACCGAAAATACGTAGTATATAAAGTTTAAGCTCAATCGAAAGCCAGTAAATGGTATCGTAATATGGTACTACATTATGATACCCCTTGATATGCTTCATGGTACCATAATATTGTAATGCCATCAAAAATACGCAAGTATAGTCAAATATGAGCCCAATCGAACGTCAGGAAGTGGTATCGTAATATGGTACTATATTAAGGTACCACTTTATATGCATCATAGTACCATCATATTACAATGGCACCGAAGATACTTACTATACCAAGTATAAGTCCAATCGCACGCCAGGAAATGGTATCGTATATAGTACTATTATGGTACCTCTTGATATGCTTCATGGTACCATAATATTACAATGTCACGTAATATACCAAGTTTAAGCCCAATCGAACGCCATGTATCGTAATATGGTACTCCTATATTACGGTATCACTGGATATGCTTCATGGTACCATAATATTGCAATGTCATGAAAAATACGCAAGTATATATCAAATACCGTATGATACCGAAAAAAACGGCGTCCAGTTGGCTGGGAAAAGACGATCGATGACATTTCCCATATAAATTTACACATAAAATGACAGCGATTTTCATAGCCATCGCTAACGCCGTTTTTTTTCCCGATCATACGGTATGAACACAATCGAACGTCAGGAAGTGGTGTCATAATAGTAGAACAATACTTATTATATTGTCGCCGAATTACAATCAAAATTTAGGATTCAGTTAGAATCAAACGTCAGTGATTTTAATTCAGCTCGTAAGATTTAACTCCAACTAACATGGCAAGTTAAATACTTAAACGTTTGAAAAAAGAGCTCTAATCTATTGTAATATGTTTAAACGATGTAGCAAATTTGAACGTAGGCTTTATCAGGAAGTATTACAATATAAATTACACAATGGCAACATTGCATAAAATTCTTTTAAATTTCGTTTGTAGAAAACTGTTTTCTTTTAAATTTATCACCCTCTGTTATGTAGTAGTGAAACTACCGCATCAAAATATCTGATTTGGAGACAGGCTTTAAAAGCCTGTCTCCTTTTGAGACCTACGATTTTTTACATGTAACGAGGCTTCTGTTGCGTAGCTAGATATTCTGTACTGTTAGTAAGAAGTTTCACTTCAGTGTATATTATAGAACACACACAGAGATTTTTATGTGTTAAAATATAAAGTAGCCTCTACAATTTGGTGGTTTTGTTTTACATTGAATCAATAAATATTATTGATTACAGAAGTTGATTAAAAATATATTTCTAATAAGTTAATAGACTTATTTATAGTAACAAAAATACAGATAAACTACTGCAGTAGTATGTAAAATTCATCAAATTGACGTATCCTAATTATTTTTGACAAGTAGTAAATAAATGCGAAAATACAAGAATAGCCACTGCATTTAACAAGTTATTTCAGTGAAATTTTCTAGATTTTTTTCAGTGTAAAATTCAGTTTAATTGTCAAAATATATGACTTCAAGCTCAAAAAAATATGTACAGTAATCGCAAAACAATTTCCGATGCACGTGAGTGATCAACTTTGAGTGACAAGCGATGGCGACAGCGCTGCCAGATTGTGATGGATTTATGAGATGAATCTTAATTTAAAATTGACAAACAATATATTTATTATATCACTTTTTAAAGATTTTTACGTTTTATTTTTAATTTAATAACTAATATTTTAATAATTAATTGATTTATTTGTTTTATAGTTTATTTTAATTATTACATATTTGCAAAAAATAGTCCATTATGAAGATTATTCTAAGCGTTATTATGGGGTATTTATTTATGTACATCTTACAACGGCATAAGTGGTAATAACAGTAAGAGGGTGCTATTAATGTACAAACTAATAATCACAGAATTTAATAAAAACTAACGCAGAAATAACGTTGAAAGTGGTTAGTTACTTCTCTAATCAGGTAATAAAAGACCTTTATTGTCACGTTCTCGTTCAAAATAGTTTATCAGGGAAGCTACAAGTTCTTTGCTTCGACTGTTTAAATTTTTTTGTATTGCATTTCAAGAAATGCAATACAAAAACTCAAAAATTTAGTTCTTAAAAGAACTGTTGTGTTTAAAAAAAATCTATGAAAATAGGCTAAAAACGAGAATTACTCACAAAGATTCATCAACAACACAATATTATGCAAAATAATGACTGACACTAAGATAATTATTGTCAAATAATAAAGGACTACATTGCTGAACACGGCGCAATGTGACCAACATAGAAATAATAAAATTCGGTTTAAACTTATTTTTGCAGCTTTAATCTAAGTAAAATATCCGTTACAATCATTTGCTCTATAAAGTAAAATGAAGAGCTGCACAGTGTCTTACATTATACAACAAATTTAAAAATTTGTGCCAAAATTTCATTTAGTCATGTTTATAGACTTTAGTGTCAATGTCGATGATTGATGACGTGCATCGGAAAGTGTTTTGTGATTACCGTACTTCAAAGGAACCGACGCTTATTGTCGGTTCTGTATAGCTAAAGTATTCTGTGGCTTAACTTTAAATTTATTTTTCTGTATTGTATCACTTTTAATATATATTTTTCTTTTCACAGTCGAACAGAACTTGCCCAATATGTCGTGGAAACGCTTCCGACTATTTCAACAATAACGAATAGGAAAAAGAGGAACCCAGTAAGCTAGAGGAAACGTGTAAATCTTCAGGTGCCATTTTAGCTCTCACTGTTGCCAGTAACTTAAAAATGTAATTGTAGTGATTAAAAAGAAAATAATAAATGACCTTTTTTCTTGTCTATCGGTCATACAGCACACACACACACACTGCGCTTTTTCATAAATCTATTTTTAGTAGGGCTTTACATAAGGCAGATGGAGGTAGATTTTTTAGAATACGGTCCTGGTAAATATTTATTTTAATTTTTTTTGGCGTTCTTATTTTGTTTAATAAAATATTCTTTTAATTTAGAAAATATTGTTTTTAAATACCTAGTTTTAAATTACAGAAATAACATGAAAAAAATAGCGTCACAGCAAGCAAAGAAAAACATTTTCGTTCAAATTTTATTATGTTATATTTATGAAATTTTTGAAGTGATGATCCTGTTTGTCCAAATTTTTTATATAGTCTTAGGTAGACTTCGTCTAATAAGTGCATACATACTTTTGTTAAGATTTTATTTAATTTATATGAAATTAATTTTTAATATTTTTGAGTAGGAATGTTTAAAAGGATGACATATTTTAGGGACCACATATAAGAAGAATTACATATTTATTTATATATTTATTATTTTTATAAAAACGTTAAATAAATCGCCTGCCTACATGTAAAGCCGAAACTGTATAAAATGTCATGCTTTTGACAGCCTTGCAATGTATTTTTCATACTACATATTGATTTTTATGCTTTAGAATACTTTACTATAGCTGTATCATCTACCGCTAGTGCTAGGCTATAAAGTGGTAAAACTATGCTCAAAAAAGTATATTCCTCAATCCAGAAACAATCTGTTATTCCCTTAAATTGCTATTTATTTTTCGGCAAAATATTTTTTTACGTATTTTTCTATATTATCTGAGAGGGGTTAAATATTAGTTTATATTTATTTACAATATGGAGAGAGAAAAAGATAAAAAGGTTGATTTTATGGATTTGAAAGGTAAATTAATCAACAAATTGATTGTGCGAAGATATAAAATAACAAAGTGCCAGATAATATATTTATACTAAAATAAATTTCTGTGGTAGTTCCTTGTTACATTTTTTCTGGCTTATGTTATTTACACTGCCGCAGTTCGAAGTATCTCAAAATATATAGGACGTAAATATATAGCTGTAAATTTATGATAAAGATAAAAAATACGTAAAAAAATATTTTCTTCTATTTTTGATGTTTTTTCGAAGGTCAATTTTGTTACGTTAAGTGAGTGTTATATGTTTTTCCTTTTATTACATTGGCTTCATTATTAACTACCTCTAACACGGTAAGGCTGGAATTATTGACAGTTGACCCGCAATTATGTGCTTACTACATATACAGTTTGTCCAAAAATACCACGTATAAATTTTGGTTTGCGTATTCTTAGTTTAAAATATAAAAAAATAATCTAATTCAAAAATGCGCTAAAACTCTAGATAAATATATTTATTAGAAATGTCTATTTTTTTAAATTAAAAAATGTACTTTTAGAAAAAACTTATTGTGGAGATAATTTTAACATATTTATTGAGGATTCTTATTTTTACCAGCTTTAATAGTTAAATCAATTTTTTTAAGCCAACGAAACACTATGTATTAATTAGTTCTTGCCCGTTTTATCGATTGTTTTTACCTACACTAGCAGAACGAAAAATATATTTTTATACGTATATTTTATAGGATAAATTCATCAGTTATCAAGCAAGGAATAGTTTTATCATTGATCTCATTTGTTTTACACATAAGATTTTTTTCTACTAGCAAGAAATAGGGAAAAAAGCACATTCCTTTTTTGTTAATATGCATGAACAGAAAATATAAACACTACTAATTTCAGATATATCATGAGGTTGAATAAAAACGACATCATAGTAGGAGTAGAAATAGCATTTTAATTCGTGCTTTTCTCTGTCTGTCAAATCAACTGTCACTATGAATATTACCGAGCTAGAGCTAGAGTACTGTTCAATCTGAAATGTTATTTGACATAGAAATCTGATGTCTAAAAACATACTTGCGGGTCACTGTCTAGCTTTAGGATAATAACTTAGGATTTTTTTTTCCTGATCACATTAAGATTGTATCTCCATTATGTATATGTATTATTTGTTATTAGAATATGTTTTTTTTTGTTATTAACCTAAAAAATAAACTAAGTTAGCGCGTATTTTGTATTTGTTACGTTAATAGTGTTCGTTAGAAAGTCTGCCTCTGATGTGAGTAGGTTTACACTTTAGCACAAGATATATAAGTGTAAAAAAATGATAAAATAAACGTATAAAAGTCGTCGAGACACTGAAACGCGAAGATTTTAAAATCCCTATTACGTTTCTTTTTCGTGTTTTTATTTCTTGTTTTTTAGTTGCCCATCGTTGTTAAACCAAACGCAATAAGTCAAGTGCAATTAGTAGGTTTTAAGATTTTCTGCGATTTTCATGTCTGGCGAACGTTTACACGCACCACTACCTTAGTTTAAATTGTAATATTTTTAAACACGCTGTATATTCTACAGTAACGTTGGGAGCTTAGTCTATTGCAGGAAGTCCCGATTTTTCTTCTAACTGTAGCCGATTTCTTTTTCTATGTCTTTTAGGCTTCAGTGTGCTCTAAAAATATTTTATGATTAAGATTTTATAAAAGGAATCAATTGGAATAAATAGTTCATATTTAAATTTAGAATTAAAATCTTTAAATTTTCTTATTAAAATAATGTGTCTCACTACCCCTGTTTTAATGGAATACTATAATATATTATTATGATCAAGCAGGCTTTGACTTTGACTTGATAAGAATTGTTTTTCTGTCATCAAGCAAGGCATACTTCATCATAAAACACTCTTGTTGTTTTACCAAATTAGTAGAAAATCGATTATATTACATTATTCAAAATAAACTCTAACCTATAGCCAATTTCAAGCGAATAACCATTGGTTATGGTTGACAGATAAACAATGCTTTAAACGTCAGTTGTCAACCAATCGGTAGACAACTGACGTTTAAAGCATTTAGCTGTCAACCATAACCAACGGTTGTTCGCTCGAAATTGGCTTATGGTATGTAAACATTTATTGTCTTTTGTCAAAGCTTTTGTTCCATAAAATATACAGGGTGTGGTTAAAAAATTGTAAGTTGTTCCAGGATGATTATCATAATTTCTACTGAGTATCTGTATCTCATAGGAACATGGGTTTTAAAACGCCCAATATAGTAGACATCAAGAAATTCAAATATGATTTTAAATTTTCGTTATACTTTTTTTACGATATAATTTCATTTGTTATTCACATTGTACCTTTTGGGACATGCTGTATATCAAAATCAAGGATCTCCCGTTTCTGTTCCCTCCTAAAACAAAAAGTGCACGTTGTACAGTAAGAGAAAAAAATATTAACAACTATGTAATAGGTGTGCCTTTGGATTGTACAATTTAGTTGTGTTAAATTCACATTTCCAAAAAAAAAAGTTTATATATTATATGAAAAATGTATCTTAAATAATAGCAAAGTTGCGTTTTGTTTTTTAAATATTTTTGTACTCTCAAAATTAGTTTCATTATGCAGATGTTTCATGCTATTTAATTTGAGTCAGATTCTAAATAATTATTTTTACAGTTATATATTTTTTTAATATTGAGGGTACAACATATTTTTATTTTATTTTTAATTATAATTCAGATAACTTGAATCGTCTCATTATTTTTTGATTATTGTTTGTCATTTTGCTTAATTTATTACTCTGTATAATACATATCTCATTATTTATTGTTTGTAAGTTTAAATTTTAAGCAATACTTTTTGGTCCAATTGCAAATCATCATTCATTGTTACGATTTAAAAAACCGTTTCATTTTGTACGTGGTTGTATTTTTGTGAATGTGAATAAGTGATATTTTGCTTTTAGTGGGTTTTTAACATGATATGTAATAAATAGAATGCTTATAATAGTGCTATATAATTCGAGCTCTTATTTCAATAAAACTTTAAACAGTATTGAATTTTTGTATCGTTGAAATCCTTGCCCTTTGTAAATTATCTACATTCAATCAGAAAAAAAGGATTTAAACCTTGATTAAACTGGCGGGAAGACAAGGTTAGCCAACATAAAATAAATGACATAAAAATTTACATTGTTGCATACTGTGGTTGCATAACTTCTCCGATTAAACAGAAAATTCCAGAAATTGTGAAATTTGTCTTATAGACGTGGAGTTTGTGTAAATTTTTGGTAAATTGTTCTAGTAATATACATAAAATTGCAAAATTATCATTAACAAAATCTGCAATTTAAAATCCGTCAAAATGTTCCTAATCTATCGGTGACATAACCTCAGTTTAGATAAAAGTCACGTCCAAAAACCATTTCAAAATCTCTTTTAAATTCTCAATAAAATGGCCCTAATTTGTATAAGAAATGCTTTAAAGTGCGGGCAAACTATCGGGGAATCTCTGTTATTTAATTCCAGGTAACAGTATAATTTAATATCGGTTTGGACTATGAAACTACATTTTTTTTATTTTAGAAGTATAACGTTATCAAAAATTAAATACAACACCGTCGAAGAAAGTAAAAAAGCCGAACAGGAGACTACAGCAAGTACCTCTGATTCCAAAATCAATGAAGAATTAGACAAACTCAACAAACAAATTGAGACACTTAGTGAAAAAAATTCAGAACTTTTAGTAAGAAGTATTATTGTTTGAGGTATTCACCTTGTAAAATTTCCATTGTTTTAGGATAAATATAAACGAGCACTAGCAGATGGTGAAAATCTTAGACAGAGACTGACAAAACAGATTGCCGAAGCTAAAATTTATGGTATCCACAGTTTCTGTAAAGATTTGCTCGATATAGCTGATGTTTTGGGTAAAGCAACTGAAACAGTTCCAAAAGATGAAATTAAAGATAGCAATCCACATTTAAAGAGCCTATATGAAGGTCTGGTTATGACTGATGCGCAACTAAAAAGTGTATTTAAAAGACATGGTTTAGAACCTGTTAATCCTCTAAATGAAAAGTTTAATCCCAATTTCCATGAAGCCTTATTTCAACAGGTATTATTGTAACAAATTATTTGAGATGTATTTATAATTCAAATTATTTTTTAGGAAGTGGAAGGCAAGGAACCAGGTACCGTTGTAGTAGTTTCAAAAATTGGATACAAATTGCACGATAGGGTGTTACGACCGGCTTTAGTTGGAGTGTCAAAGTAAAGTGAAGTTTTATGTACAAAAATGGCAAATTATTTAATTGTTCCAGTGTGAATTTTTATTGTATCACATAAGGAGTTAGTCATGTAATTTTATTTTGTAAAAAAAGAATACATTGTTGAAACAAAGATTTTTTGTTACTTTATGTTTTTGATTTTGATAAAATCGCCCTTTTCTATAGCAAATAACAAATTTATGTTCAAGAATGGGGGATAAATTGAATAAAGTTCAATTTTTTAATAATTTCAGTTAGTGTTGGGGATGTTTATCGATGTTTTAAAAACATCGATGTTTCGCTAGCCATTGGACAAACATGAATGTCAATCTTTGGGTAGTTTCGAAAAATATATAGAAAAGAGGTAATGGTGTGGATCCGGTGGCTGACCTTGAAACGAGTTTTTGCTGCATATAGTCACAGACACTACGCATGCGCATATCTTTGATGTTGCCCGATTGCAAGTTATTTTGGAATTATTTTCAGTAGAAAACAAATATGTGCTTTTCAGTGTTTTTTTTTGTCAATATATACCGAATAATCGAAAAAACGGCGTCCAGTGTCCTGGGAAATGACGATTGAGAACATTTCCCATAAAATGACAGCGATCTTCATTTCATAGTCATCGCTGACGCTATTTTTTTCAATCATAGTACGCGGTATATTATTTATATTATTATTTTAATATTTCGCACAACACGTGAAACGGGAACGCTTATTATGTATTTTCATAGTCAATAAAATTAAATAGAAATAAAACTCTAGATTCCTATAATTAATCTAATTGCTCTAGATTATTATGCTACGTTTAAAAAGGGCTTTATTAAAAATTCGGGAAATTAAAAGGGATGTGTCCAAGTTTTTTCTTTTTTTTTAATTTTTAAATGCTGTAGCTCCATGTAATGTTCATAATAGTTTTTTTTTAACAATCCATCAAAACTACGGAGGCCTTAATTTAAAAAGCCTTTTAGCCTCCGTAATTAAAATGGTAGAATCAGCTTCAGCAACATTAACAGTTACCTTGTTTAATCTGCTTATACATATATTGCATTAATTTCTCTGCTACCTTAAGATTCTCTATTCTTACACCTAATTTATGTGATTTTCTTAGCATATGTGATATATGATTTATAAACCATTTTTTTCCTAATGGAAGGATGGAATAGGATATGCAAAATTAAGATATTTTAACATTTATTTTCCAGACAAAGCATAATATAGTATTAAGATTAAGACATAACAAATATAAGAAAGATCTTAATATAAATCACAAACTAAGTCTTAATTTGGTCTTGTATAAACACAGGTATAAAACCACAGATAACACATAAAAAAGATTATGTGTTATCTGTGATAAAACTAATAAGATCACAAAACTCAACCTTCACCATATTGTCAAGATTTGGCATTATAGGAAACAAGAAATTACAGTAAATTAAGAAAAGAATATCAAAGTATACGCTATTAAATACTGTAAAGTATTCTACAACACAAACCATCTCCCTTCTAAAGAGAAAAAGATAAAACATAAAGCTTATTTTAGTCTTATCACCACAACTCTTCGATAAAATATATGTCTAAAATTGCTATTAATCCACTAACTTGATATTTTTAAGAAATTATGATACCAACATTATAATTATGGAGGGCTTCAAACCTTTTAGACTCCATAATTATAATCAAAGTATATTATATTAGTAACATTATAGGTAAAATGTTACCTCTATATCCCATTGACGTGTATTGTTCTATAAGACTCGTCATGGTAGTATTTCAATACATCAATATATATAATCAAAATTCAGTTAGTTATTCTATGATCAAAACTATTGTTGCCTGTAAATAACTAGAAATGAAATAACTTGAAAGAAATAAAATAATTCTAATAAGTTTAAAACCATTAAGATAAAATCAGTAAATGATAATTTTTAATTCTAATGTAAATATATGTATAAATAAATGTTTTATTATTATTACAATTTTATATATTCAATTTTATATATCATTCCTTAATTTTGGATATCAAGATAAATCTGAAATTATAAAATTAATTATAGAATTTGTATTATTATTGTTTAACACTCAAAAAAAATTTTTCAACTGCAAATAATTCGAAAATAAACTGCAATTTGGCAACCTCGACGATGTGCGCTTGCGTAGTATTGATGATCAAATGCAGCAAATATGGGCTTCAAGGTCAGCCACCGGATCCACACCTTTACCAGAAAAGATTATTCTTTAGTTTCGATGTTATTAAATTTTCATTTTAAAATAATTCTTTGGCATACCAATTCTTTATTATTTTCTCGTTTGACAAAACTCGTTTTCAGATCGCAGAGCGGTAAAATAGTTCAAATATCCAGAATATTTTTCAACACCACCCTTACCACCCTGTTGTTTTAGGTGACATAAAATGGAAACATCTTATCTATGGTCTAAGCATGTCAAAAAAATTAAAAATTTGTACAGATGGCGCTGGAGTATTTTTATGACCTTGGAATACCGAGGCAAACAGAAATCATGAATTAAAATATTTTAATATTTTTTCATTTATTTAAACAACCATGTAGTTTGTGTTTTGTGCTTATCTGCTCATTCGTTATTAGCGATAAATTTTATTATGGATCCTACCATCGAAAAGATCTCCGATTTATCAGGAACCGACGTTGAGCCCGATCAAGAAGCTAACGATCTATTGAGAAACGGAATTTTAGTAGAAACTAGTAAAGGGTAGGAATTAAGTAAATGAAAAGTGAATTTACAGATTATTTAATTATTTTTAGGCTAGTTTGTATGTCCCTAAATGACGCATTATCGTCTAATCTCAATCTTTCTGTTGATGACTTGAGAAACGTAGCTGCTCAACTAATCATACAACAAAATGTTGTCTGCAGCAAAGATAGAACTGTCCCTAACGCAATGGGACGAATTTGTGATAGTGACGGAGGCTTTTCTAGTGAATGTAGTGATAGCACATACACAACTAGTGGTTCAAATACTGTTTATCCTTCATTTACAAAGTTTTCAAACCTACCCAATGAAGTCCAGCTAACAGGCATTACAAGACCCATAGGTACAATTATAGTTGGATATTGTAATATTAGAACAATGAATTAACTTGATTGTAGGCACAGATAAATCTAGTGAAGAATCTGACTCCACCAAAAGTAGCATAATAAATGACGGCTGTGTGTTACCTCACCAGGTACCTGTAAAGAAAAAAGGCAGAGGTGGTTGGCCAAAAGGGAGAAAACGTAAACCGGAACTTCTGAATCTACCTCCTAAAGCGCCAGCTACTAGTTATAATTTGTATTTGAACGAACAAAGAGGTTTCTTCAAAGATAGCAAATTACCATTTTATGAAATTACAAAAATTATAGGTAATAGATGGTCTAGTCTGACTTTAGAACAGAAGAAACCTTACTTAGAAAAAGCAGAAGAGGATAAGAAAAGGTTTATTTGATTAAAGTAGTTAGAAAGTTGTATTAAAAATATTTTTTGTAGGTATCGTGATGAATTAAAGCAATATAGACAGTCAGGAGCTTACAGATCTTACTTGAATAAGAAACGGAAAAAAAGACTGCAGAATAATGTGCTGTCAGAGAGTGATATGGATGCTACAGATGACTTTGATGTAAGTTATATCTTTGATGATAATAAAATATCTAGAAAGCATGTAAATAAACAAACAGATATGTACATAATAAGAAAAAATCTTGAACGTTGTATATTTCAAACAAAAACATTGAAATTTTGATTTACAATAATTAGATTTTAAAATTTTCAAATGCATTTTAGGAGGAAGATAATGAAGAATTATATTGCCGTACCTGCGACCAGTGGTTCCATAACATGCATAACAAAAGAGAACATCTTCAAGCTAAGAAACATTTGACATCTTTAGCCGGAGATATCCATAGGGAATTATCCGATATAGAATCGTCTACAACAGTGCAAACTGAATATAGTACAGTAAGTTAATAAAATAACATGTATTCTGGTTTTTCATTTATTCTTTTTTAATTTTTAGGTGAGTACATCACTGGACGAGTCCAGCATGGATGGATCCAGTTTCAAGAGCAAAACTATACAGGAGACTGAAAATACCAGTTGCACACTATACGAGGCAATGTGCAATTTAGAAAAGTTAGTACAAAGTAAGTAAATTTACAGTTTTTATGCCCCTATAACAGGTCCTTTATATACCGTTTGATCGAAAAAAAAACGGCGTCCAGTTGGCTGGGAAATGACGATCGATGACATTTCCCATATAAAATGACAGCGATGTTCATTTCATAGCCATCGTTGACGCCGTTTTTTTTCGATCACGCGGTATTTATGTAGTAATAATTGTCTATCAGCTTAATTCACAGATAAATAAGGGAAACATAAAACTTGGGCCCACATTATCAAAATATTTGAGGAATGCAGGCTACAAAGTTATCATGGCTATGTCATGTTTTATTAATTTCTCTTTAAATTGTATTTTTTGTCTCTTTTTTTTGTTATTGTCCGACCAGCAAAAATTTAATTTTATTAATTTTTTTTCTTTAGAGAGAGAATACGAAGTAAGCGCTTTACAAAACAGACAACAGGAAGCAATTGATCAGCAAAGAGCATTGTGTCAGCAACTGCTCCAACTCAACGAAAGATACTCCAAACTGAAGAAAGATCTGTCGCGGCTGAAAGAAAAGGAAAAAGAGATCGAAATAAGCGTGTTTCATCTGTGGCAAGTGCCTAGCTGGTTCGTCATCACTGATCCAGCAGCGTCAGATCCGGTTGCTGACTTGTTAGAAGGGGCCAGTTGAACCAAATGGTTTTATTTACATTTTTTATTAATAATATTAGTTATTTTTTAATAGTTTTTTTTGTTATTGTGTGTTAAACTTCAGAGTAAAGAAGAATGCTTAGGATTTTTATAAGAAATAAAGGTACAGTATCGGACAAAATTAGAGTGACATTTAGTTTTATTGTTATATACAGGTTGCGACAACTGGGATTTTAGTATTGAGTTATTTAACAAAAAGTTGATGCGAAATTTCTTCAGAATACCCAATAATTTTAACGTATGTCATGTGATACCTATCATGGTAAATTCTCATTGCAAATGCGGAGAATGTGATTAGTTGAAAACATATTGGAAAAAGACAAAGAGTTGTTCACATATTGATTTTAAGTTTATACACGGACTTTTATAAATATACGGGGGGCTTTCAAAATATATCAATTTTATTGGAATTTTTTGAAAGATTTCTCAGGTATGCTTGTGAAAGGTGGTACATGGACGCGAAATAAAATTCTGAATATCTTTTTTCTTTGACTTTTTTCGATATTTTGTCACCTAACCCCACTTTTTCCATATGTAAAGAGCACATATCCCATAAATATTATACAGGGTGGTCCGAACTGTATTCCGGAAACTTCGGCAACATATTCTGCAGATAAAAATAAGTAAAAAAGTTCTTATAAATGTATGTCCTAAAATGCTTAGTTTCGGAGATACTGGGTGTAGAAGTTTCATTTTTATTTCGATTTTTTCCAAATAATTTCTGAAGTAACGTCAATATTTGGATGAAAATTGATGTCTGGGAGTTTCTTGACATGAGAAATTTGATTTTGATGTCAATATGACTCCTACTAGTAGAGGGCGCCACCTACATATTTCTTAACTGGTTTGAAGAGTAATAACTTTTCGTCTATACCTGTATAAAACTACTGAGTAAAAAAATATACATTTACGACGTTTTTTACGAGAAAAAGGTCTCTTGGTAAAAACCGCTACGAGTGGAATAGAAATTATCAATACCTGTCATCATTGACATGTTGACTAAATAGTTATTAGACTCAAATCATAAATTTGAAATGTTTTGGCACATATGTTCAACAGAAATTGTTTTATCATCATTATTTGATATTTCCCAAATTTATTAGGTATTTCAGTGAAATAACTATCTACTCAACGTGTTTATTTTTTGTCAATAATGACATGTATTTACTATTTCCATTTTAAATATCTTAAAAACGGTTGCTCATACCGATTTGTAGAAAGAGATATTTTTTACGTAAAAAGTCACAGAGATGTATATTTTTTCGCTCGGTAGTTTTATACAGGTACGGATAAAAAGTTATTACGCTTCAAAACAGTTAAAACACATGTAGGTGGCGCCCTCTACTAGTAGGAGTCATATTGACATCAAATTCAAATTTCTCATGTCAAAAAACTTTCAGATACCAATTTTCATCCAAATATTGACGTTACTTCAGAAATTATTTAGAAAAAATCGAAATAAAAATGAAACTTCAACACCCTGTATCTCTGAAACTAAGCATTTTAGGACATACATTTATACAAACTTTTTTACTTATTTTTATCTGCAGAATATACTGCCAAAGTTTCCGGAATACAGTTCGGACCACCCTGTATATACTGAAAACATTGCATGTCATATGTCAAAATGATTTTTCTTTTCTTATTAGGTATGCTAAAGCAATTCAGCATAAACTATATAACAAAACTCTATAGTAATAGAGATTCCATTTGTTGCGCACTTTAAAAGCCCTGTATATAAAAACGGCATGATAAAATAATGAAATATACAGTATGATTAAATAAATTCAACTTATGTGATCTTGAAAGTATTTTTAGTTATTAGGGATTTACAAATTTCTTAATTTATCATATACAGTGTGGGTCAAAGAATTCTCGTTCGTAAAAAAATATTAAATTATTGAAAGAAAAGTCTTGACAAATTATCCTTTCTCAGTTATTGCGAATATTTTCAAACACACTGTATATATTATTATGATGTTTAACAAATTCATGCCATCATATAAATTATTAAATCATTGGTGAACCAGTAACACTAAGCTATCAAATCAGTTAAAATTACTTGTTTATGAAAGACAAAAAAATAAAAAAAAAAGATAAAGGATTAAATATTAGGATTAAAAGTAGGTCTGATTTTAATTTTGTAGCACATTTTATCAAATATTTATAAATGCTGATAAGAGATAGTACCTTTTAAGCGATTTAAAAATAAACGTTTTTTGTGATGCGAATAATTTATTAATCTTATTTTATTAATAATATAACCGCCCCAAACAGTATAACACATTTTACCAAGTTGTTTTTTTGTCCAATATTGTATCTAAATTAATAAAATCCAAACATTTTTGATAAACTGAGATTATTATATTCTTCTTTACGCTGAATTTTAAACAGATCCATTTGTATTTATAATTTTAAAGGGTATTGTTCTAGGAGAGTTAATTTTTTATACATATATAATATATACATACACATTAGGGCGCACCAAAATAAAAGTATTTTTTTAATTTTTAGTTACCGTGAAAATATCCTTCAGGATGATGAAAAAATTATTCTGGTATAGTTTCAGCTTTTAATATTATAATTAAGAGGTGTCAGTAGAGGGAGAAGGGGGAATCTGAAAGGCGCATATTTATGACCCCACAAAACTGCAATTCTTTCCCCATTTAACCGACTCTCTATCTCCAGTAGTTTCCGAGATACCCATAGAGAACATCGTAGGAAACTCACCCTGTATATTATTATTAAGAGCTCAAACTTTACCAGAATTTTTTTGAAATCATCCTGAACAATATTTTCACGGTAACTAAAAAGAATTTTTTAGTTACGATTTTTTTTGTGCACCCTAATACATAATATACATACAGATTAATCTTTCGTGTTTTTATTTATTGTAAATAAAGTTAAAATTTAATATTGGAAAGTTCTCAGACTTTTGAATTTATCCCTATTTTTTAAAAAAGCAGTTTGTTTGATATTTAACACGCCTATTTACTTTTGCGCATGATAAACAATTAAAAAACATTTCTACAAGCTGATTAGCAATCTTATCTAATAGTCATTCATGTGCCGTGCAAGTACTAAGTTTAAGAGCAACAGCATTATGTATAGTCATTATTTTTAATAAACTTTGTGTTTTAAGGAAATTTTTATTTATGGCTGATGACAAATCGAAGGACCGTTCTAAAAAAAGTGTTTTTCGAAATTTGAAATTCAAAAATTTTACTATCAAGAGAAGGTAAGTAGTTTTTTCTACTTCTTTAATTTAAGTTTTATAAACTTTGAATGGAAAAAAGTAACGTATGATTGAAAAAAAAACTCTAGTTGGCTTGGAAATGAACATTCTCCATATAATTTTACATATAAAATGACAGCGATCTTCATTTCGTAGCCAACGCTGACGCCGTTTTTTCTTCGATAATATTGTACATTACGCCACTGAAACAGAAAATCAAAAAATAAATATACAGGGTGGTTCGAATGGTAAACCAGCTACAGTGCTTCGTTTTGGAGATACAGGGTGTAGAAGTTTCATTTTTATATAAAATTTATCCAAAGTTCTGAACAAACGTCGATATTGAGAAAATATCAATTGGGTGGAAATTGATGTCTGGGTTGTTTATAATATAAATCTTTAGGTTTATAATAATATAGTTATATAGTTTTATAATACACTCACCGACACGAAAAACGGGCACCAAAATTTTATGTATTTTAAAGTTTATATGTATATTTTGTTCTAATGGGCCGATTTTGATAATTTTTTAAGCAATTTGTAGCTAACTTATTTGAATTTTTAGTGTCTCTTTTTAAATTAAAAATCTTTGAATAAGAAGACTAAGGAAGGAGCATATCAAAAATCTTAGGTACATCGCGATGGGCCTCAAATATGGCCGACTTAAATTCCGGTTTATCAGTGTCGTTCTAATTTTATTTAAAAAATGTACAACTATGATGTTGGGTAGACTCAATAATTTGTTGTTTTGTTTTACGTTGTGAATAAATGTTGGTAGTTATTAAAATTGTTATAAAAATATATAATTCTAATAAAAATAGATAAGTAATAATAAATATTTATTAACACAAACATCCGATACGCTACTGAAGCAGGTAAGTCAAATTAACGTATCAAAATTCTTTGACAAGTAATAAATAAAAGCTAAAATGCAAGAAAAATATATAATTTAGTTAATTTAAGTGAATTTCATAAATGATCGGTTTACTACACGTATGTATATTATATAGTCACTTACTAGCGAAAAGTTTGTTCCATTATTTCACTCAATTTTTACCGAGATCTACCGCACGCTACACAACCAACTATTTTAGAGTCTTTTTCAATAAATCGCGATAGTGTCACTGTTAATTTAAGTTCTGCCACAATTTCCATCTAGATGTACTACCTTTATACAACTATCAGTAGTAGAATAAATAATAAATAACATAAAATAAGCTCCGTAAAGACTGACAAATCCACAAAATTTCAAATCAAATTCAAATGTGTCAAATGAATCGTCAAACAGAACATGAACAGAACTGTCAAGGATCCCCACCCTAGAGTGCTTTTTCCGCCCACCATGCAATGAATGCATGGATAGCATTATGCTCCTTCCTTAGTCTTCTTATTCAAAGTTAAAAATGAAAGTTTACATCTGTCAATTATACAAGGGTAAACAAAATCTTGATATTTTCATTTTAGTGAAAGTTTGAAACACCCTGTGGAATACGTTAACCAAGCAAGGAATTTAAAAATTAATTATTTAGTTAAATTTAAAAATTTAATTAAAAGTTTTATCATTTAGATACGTCTTTTCTCGATAGTTTGATCGATGATTCGTCTCAATAGCTTTATTTTTATTGGATTTATTCGCTTTTGAATAAGACAGGAACAATTTTAACGTAATTTCAGCATTGCTTATTGCAGTGTTTATTGTTTTATTTTTAAATCATTGTCATTGAAAAGTCATATTGTTATTGTTTATTGACGTTTACTCTAGTTAAAATGGTTTTAAGTACTGATCGAAGTACCGGCTATTGTTACTTTAATTGATCATGGCAGAGAACAACTTTTGGACTTAAAACCATATCTACTGGAGTAACTGCAACAGACAATAATATGATTTTTCTATTGTTTGACTAGGACCAAAATGTTAGTGTTTTTTTCAAAAGCAAAAGATAATGACATGAATCAAAAAACAAACTATCGACAAAATATACATCTAGATGTTAAAATTATTTTTAAGTTCCTTGCTTTGTTAACGTACTCCACAGGGTGTTTCAAACTTTCACCAAAATATCAATACATATTTTGTTTTCCCTTGTATAATTGACAGATGGCAATTTTCATTTTTAATTTAGAAAAATACACTAGAAAATAAAATAATTTAGCTACAAATTGCTTAAAAAATCATCAAAATCGGTCCACTAGAACACAATGTATAAAACTTTAAAATATATGAAAATTTTAAGGTGCCCTTTTTTCATGCCGGTGCCGGTGAGTGTAGTATATTATTATACCCTTGATTATGGATTATACTTAATTGTGATTTTAATAATTCTAGGTCACAAAAATCTAGAGATAAAACAAAATCTATCCCAGAGATATATTCAAAGAAAGATGAAAAGGTAAAACTCAATATTAAAAAATTACAATTTATAAGATAACCGATAATAAGTACCACGTACTATTGACATTACATTAAATTAAATAATTTTATCTACCAATATTAAAAGGAGAAGAAATGAATATATTAATTAAATTCCTATAAACTTTACAGGAAGAAAACAATTCTAGACAAACAGTTGGATATTTTGAACCAACTCAAGCAAAGAATAATTTAGAGGAAGAATATGACTTTCAAGGCACAGCTGTAATATTATTACTATATAGCTACGGCTATGATTCTATTAATGCTATTATTTTAAACATTTACACATATTTTAGATTGAAGAACTATACCAGGAGCTGTTATATGTTATTATAAATCAAATTGGATCCAAGATTAATAAAAGGAATTTGTTTTTATATATCAAGGAAGTTTTTAAAATTACTGATGATAATCATAAAGAACTTTTGAGTGCAGAGGAAGAAATGGAGAAACCTCAATTGATTATGAACGTTGAAATACTTGAAATCAATAAAGTAGACGAATTTTTCGAAAAAAAAGATATTTTAAATGATTTATCTTTGACTCTTGATATAAAATTTGAGTCTTCAGGACAAGGTCAAAAAGAATATTTTTTTTCGCTAACAAACACAAGGGAAAAGTACTCTGTGTGAGTAAGGATAATAGTAATTTCTAAAAATTAAAAAAAAAATTATTATGTATTTTTGTTTTGAAGGCCTGTTCATATAGAACCATTTAATACATTGGAATTAGTGATCAGAGATAACGATAAAAAGGAAGATTCAAATTTAATAGGAAAATCTACGCTATTACTGAATGTAAGTCTATAAATATACAGGGTTATCTATCCAGTAGCGGTCGGTTTAAATCGGTCCCGAGAGACCGGTTTCAATCGATACAGAAAAATAGATTCATGATAATATGAAGATTAAAAAACCTGTATAAAACGATTTCGGTATCGGTTTTTGTGCAAAGCTGATTGTGTTCTACTCTAGGTCCCGTATGATTGAAAAAAAAACTGCGTCGGCGATGGCTATGAAATGGTCGAAGATCGCTGTCATTTTATATGTAAAATAATATGGGGAATGTAATCGATGTTCCTTTCCAAGCCAACTGGACGTCGTTTTTTTTTTCGATCATTCTATATAATACGGCCAGGAACATGCAATGTAATTTATTTTAATGTATGTGAGGATGAATTGCTAGTTAAGTTAATGCGCAAGAGTCTTGCATACCTACTTGGTCTTGGTCTTGTTTTTTTATTTCTAATTTGTGTCTTTTTTTATTTTTTTTTAGGAAATACTTACATCTACATCAGTTACCCATTACAAAATAAGCAGGAACAAAGAAAATGTACTGGAAAATTTTATTGAAATCGAAATATCATTCGGTTATAGAAAAGCAACAGAATTAGCACTCAATCGTCACAAACTGCTCAGAAAATTATTATTAGAGCATGAACTGAAGCACTCAGAGGTCTCACAAAAAATATTTACTGTGACTCTATATTTTTTTTGTTTATTATTTTAGATTGCTCCTTACTGGTGGTGTAGAACAATCAGTTATGAAGCTGAAGAACTTTTGATACAGCATTCAGTTCAAAATATGTTAAATCACTTTGATTTGCATTTAGTGTCATTAATTGTTTATACAGAGATTCATATAAAAAGTCCGTTGAATTTTTCAGTTTTTGCAGACATAATCGAAAAAATTATGAAAACTTTACAAAACAGTGAAGTAGATGAGAGGCAACTGAAAAAAATTTGGCAAGCACTTAGAATTTTAGTCCCGACTTGTTTTGAGTTTATTGGAAATATCAGAGACAATACATTGTCTCAAAATACAATTATTTTACAGGTATTTTTTTAGAAATTTAAAAAAAATATACAGGGTGTTTCAAAACAAATGCGAAAAACTTCAGGGGGTGATTCATTGTTCAAAATAAAGGGTAGTTTGCTTTATAAACGTTGGGTCAAAAGTCAACCATTAGAGAGATATCGCGGTACAAAGATGGCGGTAAAATAATGTTTTTATTTTTTATCTTGAAAACGAAAAGAGATAGACTAATGAAATGTTATGGAAGCATTACTGTTATGAAAACACACTTTCTGGTAATTTTTTCACTTTTTTAAAATGAGTGGAAGGAGTTGAAATAAACTACCCCTATCATTCTTGTTAACAAAATTTAAAGAAAAATCCTATGAAACACATACAAAAACAAAAAAAATAAAAACAAAATACGAGTAGTGGAAAAAGGGGCCAAAAAAACCTACATACAAAAACTCTTGTGATTTTTTGATAAAACTCACCTATTTGAAATTAAAAAATTAAATGTAAAACATGTCAGGACAAACAACATTTTTAGATAAAGAATCTAGTAGGCTGCTGTAATTTTTTTAGGAAAAAATATAGTCGGCCGCTGTCACTTTTTAGGATGTTTCTAATATTATTTTATTTGACATTACTTTACTGCAATACGTTATTATCTAGATTATTATCATTATCGTTATTATCACTAGATTCTTAATCTAAAAATGTTTTTGTCCTGACATGTAATGCTTTACATTTTATTTTTTAATTTCAAATCGGTGAGTTTTATCAAAAAAATACAAGAGATAAAGAAGTTTCTAAATAAACTAAACTATCCAAATTAATTTCTTTGCGTGTGTTTCATAAGATTTTTCTTTAAATTTCGTTAACTAGAATGATAGGGGTAGTTTATTTCAACCCCTTCCACTCATTTTAAAAAGGTGAAAACATTACCAGAAAGTGTGTTTTCATAACAGTAATGCTTCCATAAAATTTCATTAGTCTATCTCTTTTCGTTTTCAAGATAAAAAATAAAAACATTATTTTTCCGCCATATTTATACCGCGACATCTCCCTAATGGTTGACTTTTGACCAAACGTTTATGACGCAAACTGCCTTTTATTTTGAACAAGGAATCACCCACTGAAGTTTTTCGCATTTGTTTTGAAACACCCTGTATATATGCTCACAAAATTTCATCTCAATACAAACTGTCGTCCTCCTTGGAGCCTCCGCGTCGTTTGAGAGGCACCACCCTGCATGATTGTTTTTTATTTGCTTATAATATTTACTTATGGTTTTGATAAATTTATGTAATGTTCATTAAAATAAAAAAAGCAGGAGTCATAACAATAACATAAATAAACATAACATAAGTATAAATTAAAAAAAATAATCATATTTTGTAACCATAATAAATAATTGTCTACCACGTTCAAAGAAAATAATGAATCTCTCTCTACCAACGACTTTAAATAATCAAAATATAAAAATAAAATCTCGTAAAGCTGAAATATTCGGGCTTCCTTCCAAAATATATTATCCTGTTTGAAATCCTCCCCCCGGCCACAACTGCCCTTTTTAGATAAATTGCCAAATACGTACACACACGCCCGCATATAGTGATGAAGTGATTATACATCGAAATATATTTAAATCGGCTTATGTAGATTGAAAATTTATCGTGATGAATCAGCAGCTCATTGCAGGGGATACGTGGGGAATGGCAAAATTCGTTCGGACATTGAGAAGCCAGTGGCGGGACTAATGCGATTAAAAAATGTATTAAAATGGGATTATTAAAGACTGACAAATCCACAAAATTTCAAATCAAATTCAAATGTGTCAAATGAATCGTCAAACAGAACTGTCAAGGATCCCCACCCTAGAGAGCTTTTATGGTGCTTTTTCCGCCCACCATGCATGAATACATGGATAGCATTATGCTCCTTCCTTAGTCTTCTTATTCAAAGATACTAACATACAAAATATCGTTTTTTTATCTGAAAAAATAAAAAGTTATAGGAGTGAGTCACTTTTGAGACGCACCCGGTATATTATAAAGATATATATTTTAATCACTTTGTATATCTATAAATAAGCTAAGTCAGTAAGAGAATTGGTACGAGGCTTTTTTGGACTACTAGCTGTTTCATCCTGTATATGTTCTTTATAGGTACGTTCGATTCGATTATGCAAAACAACTGTACATTTTCTACCAAGACAGAATATCTGCATTATTTGAGTCTAAAGTTAGAGAGCTGAGTAACAACTTCAAAAAGTTGGATTATGTAGGCTGCAATATTCATCAACTTCCTAATAGGATAGAATCTATTATAGATGACCCTCTACCCGGTGGTAGCCTGTTGCTTAGACTGTACTTCAATATACAAAAATTCTTTAATTTTGGAAAAGAATTGTTCAAGGAGAAATTTAAACCTGTCAATTTTCACGAAGTAAGTATATACAGGGTGGTCCGAATTGTATTCGGGAAACTTTGGCAGCATATTCTACAGATAAAAATACGTAAAAAAGTTCTTATTAAGTTATGTCCTAAAATGCTTTGTTTCGGAGATACAGGATGTAGAGTTTTCATTTTTATTTTGATTTTTTCCAAATAATTTCTGAACTAGCATTGATACCGTATGATCGAATAAAAACGGCGTCAGCGATGGCTATGAAATGAAGATCGCTGTCATTTTATATGTAAAATTATATGGGAAATGTCATCGATCGTCATTTCTGAGCCAACTGGACTCCATTTTTTTTCGATCATACGGTATTTGGATGAAAAGTCACCTACATGTTTTTTTTAACTGTTTTGAAGAGTAATAACTTATTGTCCGTACTTGTATAAAACTACTGAGCGAAAAAATATACATTTTCGCCGTTTTTCTCTGTATTAGAATTCTGTATAAAACCATTATTTTTGAATAACAAACAAAAAAACGTTTTTAGTGGTTCCATCAGGCTGTTATATATTGGTTAGACGCTTCCGCATATACAGCTCTTATGCAAATTGAAAAAGCGATCGAAATAGATAACTTAGAACCTTGTGGCAACTCACCAAAGTATAGCTCGTCAGCAGGTAGTACTGTCAACACATTTTACAAGGTAGTTCCTTCCCTAATCATTATATCATAAGCAAATGTTTATAGCTATAAGGCAGGGCGATTCTTAAAAGTGGAAACTTGTGCGCAGCACATATTTTTAAAATATGCGCATCTGTTGCACTCATATATGCCTCATAATTTACTTTATTCGATAGAAAATAACACTCTGAATACACTGACATATCATATGTCAACTTTTGACATTTTCGCATATGGTTTATTTGAAATTATAACTTGCGGTTCGTTACGAAAATTTGACTCGAAATACCAAGTGTGTAGTATCAAATTATTCGTGAAAAAATGCTTTTTCCAAATATGCTAATGAGCCACCCTCGTTCCATTTGAAAAAATTGAGATATGATTAAAAATACGATTTGAGCATTTTCTAACTGGCCAGGACAAGACACTAAAAGCATTAGATGATCAAATCTATTTTTCCAAGGCTCCTTGATTAAGGGTTAGTGTTTTTAACATAACCATGGCACTCTAGATTGAATTTTAAAATACGATTTTTTATTAAGCAAGAATGTCAAAAGTTGACATTCTCGCTTGATGAATGATGTGTCATTCTATTCAAAATGTCATTTTCTATCGAATAAAGCAAAAAAATACCGAGGGTGCCATTTAAAAATCAAAAGTTGTAGTCATTTCCGGTGAAACAGGAAGTGACCAAAAACAATTGAATACGTCAATCAATCCTAATTTATGTCATATACTAACATACCAAATCTCGTTTATTTATCTGAAAAAATAAAAAAGTTATAGGGGTGAGCCACTTTTGAGACGCACCCGGTTTTTTTCTATATAAATGGTAAGTTACCATGATGCTAATTTTACTTTTAGATTAGGAATGCATGGGAAGAACTGAATTGGCCCGATTATAAGGAAAAATATCATTTTATCATAAAAATAATTGATGTAAGTATCTACAGTACATCTGCTGGATCTGTGCCTATGAAAGGAATGCGGACAAAAAACATTTAAATAAACAGCAATATATTTTATACGTCGATTTGACGAGTGCGTCACCGCAAATCGCTCCGCCCACTCATTTTATTGGCTACTTGCAAATTTGTTGAATTTTTATTGATTGGACGCGTCGTCTATTTTTTTACGAAAAACATCAAGAGAATATCGTTTCCCCTCTCACGGATACCCCGTAGCTACAGAACTGACAGACGTACTGTACATGTTTTTTTTAAACTACACTGCTTTATGCAGTATTTTGTTTATATTTTATAAACAATTTGTTGAAAAATAATCGACTTTTAGGACATAGTGTGTAAGGAAATAATTTATTACATCGATGTAATTCGCAGAAGAACAGATCAACTCGAAACAGATTTTATCACTTGGAGTTTGATCATAAACAATATTGAGTATTTAAAGAAATTCTTAAGTACTTTTGTCGAAGATTTTGGTTTGGATTCCATAATCGAAGCTATGTCTATGACAGAAAATCCATCCAAAATTTTTAAATTTAGAGAAAAGAAGTCTGAAATAGTTGCAAAAACGATCAGTATTATCGAAAGTAAAATATTGCTTTTGATAGAGTCTTTCTCTGAAAAGGTAAAATTATCATTAACACGTACCAAAGTGTATGCACAAATTCAAACTTTAATAACTTTTAAAAAATACAAACCCATGAAACTTATACATTATTTTATAGGTATATTATTAAATAGGTGCCCGGTGGCGTAGAGGTACAGGCTCTCGTCTACCAATCTCAAGGTAGTGGGTTCGAATCCCACACCCGGCATTTCATCAGCCGACTATTTTTATTAAAATAAAAATAGTTTGGGTACCTAGGTCGACTCAACCTTAAATGAGTACTTGGGATTCACAATCCCGAGGTAATAATAGGCGGTTGAAGCGTAGTGCTAGCCACATTACCTTCCTTGTATACCGAACGGCTCTAGTATGGCAAGCTGTACCTTGCTACTCCCAAGGCGTTAACCGCTATATACGGGAGCTATTATTATTATATTATTAAATAATTATTAATATTATTATTAATGAAAATGCCTTAAATGCGGCTGTAAATACAGCGATAGCTATAAATTATAGCAATTATTAAGTAATCCATAAGATAAAATATTTTCACTGGAAACGTAGGGTATTTATGATATTATCATATAAGGATTGTAATCAAAAATAAGTTTGGACAGATTAGAAGACCAGTTAGAAATTCAAAGAGCATATAATGCCGGCTGTGGGATTCGAACCCACAACCTTTGAATTGGTAGACAAGAGCTGTACAGGGTGGGTCAAATTCGACGCTTTTAAATGGAAACGCCCTTTTCTATAGGAGATAGACAAAAACTAATATCGGTGTCTGGAGCTCAATTTTTGTCAAAAATATGATTGTGAAAACCGCATATCGATATCTGTTACCGTTTCGGAGTTACGGGGTGTTTTTAAAAAATATGCAATTTTAACAAATCGCTGTAACTTTTTTGCCATGGAAAATTTTGTATTTTTATGAAAACATTTCCAAAGCACCTTTTTACGTCGAATTTAATGGTTTAAGTATAATTTTTTTTAAATTAATAATTTAAGAATTATCAACAGTTGATATTTTCCTCGATTCCTCTGCGAGATATAGAGTATATAAAAATTCGCCCGCTTTAAATAAGTAGGCTCTGCACGGCACCGGCTGTAATGCAAAAAAAATTCTAGCTGTGAGCATCAATTAAAACGAAAATAATATTTCCTATGAGAGATGCAGAATTTTATAACAATTTAAAATATATTTAACCAACATCAACGCATATAAACTATATCTAATAACAATAAAAATAAATAGCAAACCAAGACATGAGATTTTGCTACAGGTGTTTTGGTTTGGTTTGACATATCGACCGTCTTCTGTTATGGACAGACGGTGCAGTTTTTGAACATTTCTCGCGGAATTCATTAACTCAGTGGGGGTGAAAGATACCCTCTCATAACTGCTAAGTATTTCTAATTCTTGTCTAGATTATACGGAAGAATAAGGAACCTTTATTCTTCCGCAAATATATCCATAGGATTAGATCCATGGGCACTAAGTCAGGCGGCCTCGACGGCCAACGGCTGGGATCTTGGTTAGCTATTCAATTATTCTTGAAATTGGCTGCAAAAATTTGCTGATATCTTCAGCGTTCAGAGGCGGTGCGTCGTCTTGCTGGAAAAATATGTTTTCGAGTTCCATTAAGGGCATATCATCAATAAGGAGTCCAAAGCCTACTAGTTAAAAGTGGCGAACTTTTAAAAACTCTGTATTTCGAAGGGGATTATAACAAAATATCAAGTGTGCTATATTTTTGGAAAGGTAATTTTAAATTCTTTTAAGTTAATTAAAAATATAGAGGGTGTCTCAAACAATAAATCAGTTTTTCTGTTGATAACTCTTAAATTATTAATTTTTAAAAAATTATACTTAAACCATTAAATTCTACGTAAGAAGGTGCTTTGGAAATGTTTTCATAGAAATACAAAATTTTCCATAGCAAAAAAGTTACAGCGATTTGTTAAAAATGCACATTTTTGAAAAACACCCCGTAACTCCGAAACGGTAACAGATATTGATGTGCGGTTTTCACCATCATGTTTTTGATGAAAATTGAGCTCCAGACACCGATATTAGTTTTTGTCTATCTCCTATAGAACAGGGTGTTTCCATTTAAAAGCGTCGAATTTGACCCACCCTGTACCTCTACGCCACCGGGCACCTGAGGAAACAGATAGAAATAGAAGTTAATAATTTAAAATTAATCAAACATGTATCAAACTACAGGCCATTGGTTATTTATGTAATTATAAAGATAAACAAATAATGTAAAGACAATATGAATAGAGATAATAGTCCCATTCTTTCTAGTTGCTCTAATTCTATTTTTGATAACCTCGTGTTATAGATATAATAAAGTTATTTTAACTTGAATTTGTGTACACAATTACAATGGCTATGCCTAACTTTTGGACATTTTTTCGTAATTATAATCTTTAATTTTTTTAGATGAAATCAGTAATGAAACAGTTATTATCTGATAATTCCAGCACACGAGAACTAGACATTTCGAACACAGATATCATTATATTGTACATAGACGATAATCTGTCATTATTAATCTGTCTTCAAAAAGAAGTGTCTTCAAATTATTTTAATGAAATTATTGAAAAAACAGGGGAATCACTCTTGAATGCTATCGAGGAAGTAATCCATGACAATAAAAACGTAAGTGTTTATCAATATAAACTAGGTAGGTATATCTTAAGTCTGATACATATTATTTATACTCTTCTTAAGTTTAAAACAAATAATGATGTTTTTAGATAAATTAAATAATATATAGTGCGTTTGAACAAATTAATTTTTTAGAAAAATAAACCGTCATCGTATTATATTAATCTAGAAAATACTCTGAACGATGTATTGTATTTTTTCAAAAAGTATAAAGATATTTCGAACAGTGATAAAACAAAGCAAACGAAGATACTTTTGAGTAATTTTGGATCAGAAACAGAAGAACTGATACATCGAGTAAGTATCATTAGACTACCATACAGGGTGGTCCGAACTGTATTCCGGAAACTTCGGCAGCATATTCTGCAGATAAAAATAAGTAAAAAAGTTCGTATAAATGTATGTCCTAAAATGCTTAGTTTCGGAGATACAGGGTGTAGAAGTTTCATTTTTATTTCGAAATTTTCCAAATAATTTATGAAGTAACGTCAATATTTGAATGAAAATTGATGTCTGGGAGTTTTTTGACATGAGAAATTTGATTTTGATGTTAATATGACTCCTACCTTTGAATAAGAAGACTAAGGAAGGAGCATATCAAAAATCTTAGGTACACCGCGATGGGCCTCAAATATGGCCGACTTAAATTCCGGTTTATCAGTGTCGTTCTAATTTTATTTAAAAAATGTAAAACTATGATGTAGGGTAGACGTGGGGTAGATTCAATAATTTGTTGTTTTATTTTACGTTGTGAATAAATGTTGGTAGTTATTAAAATTGTTATAAAAATATATAATTCTAATAAAAATAGATAAGTTATAATAAGTGTTTATTACCACAAACATCCGATACGCTACTGAAGCAAGTAAGTCAAATTAACGTATCTAAATTCTTTTGACATCTAATCTTTGACAAGTAATAAATAAAAGCTAAAATGCAAGAAAAATATATAATTTAGTTAATTTAAGTGAATTTCATAAATGATCGGTTTACTACACGTATGTATATTATATAGTCACTTACTAGCGAAAAGTTGTTCCATTATTTCACTCAATTTTTGCCGAGATCTACCGCACGCTACACAACCAACTATTTTAGAGACTTTTTTCGATAAATCGCGATAGTGTCACTGTTAATTTAAGTTCTGCCACAATTTCCATCTAGATTTACTACCTTTATACAACTATCAGTAGTAGAATAAATAATAAATAACATAAAGTAAGCTCCGTAAAGACTGACAAATCCACAAAATTTCAAATCAAATTCAAATGTGTCAAATGAATCGTCAAACAGAACTGTCAAGGATCCCCACCCTAGAGAGCTTTTATGGTGGCTTTTCCGCCCACAATACATGAATACATGGATAGCATTATGCTCCTTCCTTAGTCTTCTTATTCAAAGACTCCTACTTGTAGAGGGCGCCACCTACATATTTTTTAACTGGTTTGAAGAGTAATAACTTTTCGTCCGTACCTGTATAAAACTACCGAGGAAAAAAATATACATTTACGAACTTTTTTACGTAAAAAAAGTCTCTTTGTAAAAATCGCTACGAGTAATGGTTCTCGAGATAATTGGAATCGAAATTATCAGTCATCATTGACATAAATTAAACATCTTGACTAAATAGTTATTACACTGAAATCGTAAATGTTTTGGTGCCAAAAGTTTGATGATGAAACAGAAACTATTTTATCATCATTTTTTCGAAGAAAAATTTATGATTAAATTAAAAAAATAAAAAGTTCCCAAATTTATCATTTTAGTCAAAAAAAAAAACTATCTACTCAACATGTTTATTTTTGTCAATAATGACATGTATTAGCTCTTCCCATTCTAAATATCTTGAGAACGGTTCCTCGTAGCGATTTCTACCAAGAGATATTTTTTACGTAAAAAATCACGGAAATGTATATTTTTTTCACTCAGTAGTTTTATACAGGTACGGACGAAAAGTTATTACTCTTCAAAACAGTTAAAATACATGTAGGTGGCGCCCCCTACAAATAGGAGTCATATTAACACCAAAATCAAATTTCTTATGTCAAAAAAATCTCAGACACCAATTTTCATCCAAATATTGACGTTACTTTAGAAGTTATTTGGAAAAAATCGAAATAAAAATGAAACTTCTACACCCTGTATCTCCGAAACTAAGCATTTAGGACATACATTTATACGAAATTTTTTACTTATTTTTATCTGCAGAATATGCTGCTGAACTTTCCGGAATACAGATCTTTACTGTAATCTGGGCAACGGCCCAGCTACATCGCAACACCGGTTCCCATTTTTCAATTTCGCCCTGTATTTCAGAAACTAAACTAATGAGGCTAGGGTAAATCTGTGCGTAGCATCTTTGGTTTCATAATACAGTAGTACAGTACGCAGAAAGTAGTTTCGACTGACTAGTGAGAAAGAAGTACAGTAATGTATAAACCGAATCTTTGTATCTCTAGGCAAAGGCCCAGCTACGTCGAAACACCGGTTCCCATTAGAACATCGAAGTTAAGCGACGTAAGGCGATACTAGTGGATGGACGGGTGACCGGTTCGAAACTCTGTATCGTGCTGTTGGTGTGTAAAATCAATCAAAAAATCAAAAGTGTAAAATCTATCGACACATTCACGCCGGTTCGAGGCCGGATGCGATCGGATATCTCTTGAGTAAGAGTCGATTTAAACACTTGTCAAGACGATAGGCCATTGACCATGATATGGCCGAGGTCAGCGGTTCGGATTCCGCGTAAATAAAGTAGGCCCCGTCCAGATTAGCCCTGGCAGCAAAAAGAGATGTTAGCTTCAAATCTTTACTTTACTTTACTTTTACTACAATCTACATTCCTTGTAGCCCTGAAGTGACGTCATGCACGCAATTTATGTTGGCTTCAAGGTGCGATCATTAACATATTTCTATTTCTTTTGTTTAATTTGAGACTTTGAATAAATATACTAAGGAAGAAATATAATGCTATCATGTATTCATGCATTAAGAGACAGAATCGGCATTATGAACCCCCATATTTGACAGTTCTGTTTGACATTTAAATAAAACAATTAACTAATTTTGTGGATTTATTGTGCTTTTCCGAGCTTTTATTATTTATGTCAGTTGGAGATAGTAAATCTAGAAAGATATTGTGATAAATCGAATTGCAAAAAAAAATCCTATTTGTGGAGCGTGCCCCCATAGATGTCAGTCAAAAATATAATTTTCACTGGTAAGTTTTAACTATAAGAGCGCTTTCACACACAGCGGCAAGATCGGTGCCGGTATCAACAACTGCACTTAAACAAAAAAAGTCCAATTAAACAAATTCTGCTCCTTCCTTAACATTTTTATTCAAAGTATGTAATATACATTATAATATTGTTTTAAGTAAAAAAAAATTACAGGTTAACTTAAAAATTAACGAATATTACGAGACATTTACCGAGTCATCGCATGGAGAGTTATTTGTTAAATGTAAATTTGATGGTAACAGACTGATTATTAAAGTTCTCAGTGTCAGAATCTTAATGGCTGTCAATTCTAACGGTAGTATATAGATCATAAAACCTTAATAATAAGTGTAAGTACATAACGACATTTTTTTAGATACCATTAGACCATTTGTTACAATTAATCTACTACCTGCTCACAAATTTGCTGGTACTGATCAGAACTTGAAGACGAAAACTCGAGTGCATCAAAATTCGAAACCATCCTTTGATCAGAGTTTTACAATGTAAATAATAAAATTAACATTTCTTATACTACCCACAAACTAGCATACTTGATTGTCATACATATTTATGGTAAACGTTATATTCACCAATGACATACACATACAGGGTAGCCTGTACATATAGCATATAGGTTATACATGTATGACAAACATGCATGACGGACAAGCATGACACACAGTAATGCTGGTCTGTGGACAGCTTTATCTATAACAAGTTAATGTCTAAATATTTATATACGATTTTAATTTGCCAAGGCTTTTGATTTATGCTTTGATCTGTAAACAGGGTATTCTGAATTGCGTGGACCAACAAAAACATTTTTTTTAATTTGTTGCAGAAATTTAACTCCTGAACAGATGAACAGATGCACACGAGATGCTTTGATATTATTCACAGTAAAACACAAAGTGCTTTTATACAAGACTGAATATGTTGGAGAAGGTTTTTTAAGATTTGCTCAGATACCGAGTATGACAGAAAGAATGCGCGATACAGATCCAGTAAAAATATTGTTATTACGACCAGATAAACTAGGTGAATATCTATATTATTGAAAAAAAAAACTTTTGCACCTATAATTTTTCTTTTTATCTTTTTACTAGATGCCGACATTCTAAATACTCTACAATGTCGTACAACTGATACCATAGCAATGGAATTTCTCAAAGAACTGAATCATAGGCATTCCTAGTTCCTAGTGTTTTCGGCTGTTATATTTTTTATTGTGATATAGTAGGTATAAGAATTTTTAATAAAAGTTTTTTCTGTTGCAATCTACATGACGTTTTTCTTAGTAATTTATCTATCCTTAGTCATAATAATGGAACCCTTATACCGGGTGGTTTTGAGAAGTGGCTCACATCTTTAACTTTTTGTTTTTTCAGGTAAAAAATGAGATTTGGTATTTGGTATGTTAGTATATGACATAAATCAGAATTGATTGACGTGTTCTATTATTTTTGGTTACTTACTGTTTTTTAATCGTATCATCAGTACTTTTTTAATTTTGACATTAACGTTTCAATATGGAGTGTAATGGCTGTGGTCATAACAACAATTTCACTCGAAATATCAAGTGTGTGGTATTAAATTATTCGTTAAAAAAACGCTTTTTCCAAATATGCTGTTGAGCCACACTCGATGCATTTAAAAAAAAATGACTTATGATTAAAAATAAGATTGGGGCATCTTTTAACCTGGTAGGCAGAAGCGTGCACAGGAATTTATTTTAGGGTGGGGCGTGGGGCTAAATAAAAAGTAAAGTAGAATATGCTTTTTGGGGAGCCATATTTAACCCAAAAGTCTAATATTTAACTGTATCCGCCACTGCTGGTAGGTAACGTTAGGAAAAACATTATAGAATATCCAATGACTAAAGAATATAAGGACATGTAACGCCCCTATACGGGCTGCAGCAGAATTTGTGACTTTAGAGACCTTTCTTTTGGTGGCAAACAATGAGTCATCATTTGGTCACCAGCTACAATTTTAGCGATTTTTAATAGTTTGTATGTAGTAAACTTTGTATAAACTTTATTACAATGGTGAATAGTTGTTCAGCTTTTAAGTGTAAAAGCAGAAGCGATAAGAAAGAGCCGGAGTTACGTTTCATAGGTAAATAAACAGTCCACTGCAACTTTATAGCATTTTCTTATTGAATTCGATAATTATTCTTCAATTTCAATTAACATCTATGTGTACTTGATATGTGCTATACGTCGATACTAGTTTTGTACCTATTGTTAACATTTTAATACGTTTTTTTCGTCACTAATTAGGATGATACACCATAGGCATAGTCAAAACAATTATCAAAAAATATAAATATTGCTTCAAACAGCTAGGTTAAGAAAAATATGTGCCACGGCACTGTTTGGTGACATCGTCACAATTTGCTCTCGGGTGTTATTTGTCCTTGGATTCTTCAGTCATTGAGAATATCAAATGTATTTTTGCAAGGCTCCTTGATTAAAAATTAGTGGTTTTAACACAGCCATGGCCCTCTGACTGAAATTTAAAATACTACTTTTTTTAATTGAAAATGTCAAAAGTTGAAATGACATTTTCAATCAAATAAAATATAAAAATATCGAGGATGCCAATTAAAAGTCAAAAGTTGTAGTCATTTCCGGTAAAACAGAAAACAATCGAAACTAATTGAATACGTCAATCAATTTATCTGAAAAAATGAAAAAGTTATAGGGAAGAAGCTACTTTTGAAACACACCCGGTATATAAAAATACTAGAAACTAATTCAATGATTTCAAGGTAGAATTAGAATAAGTGGGAGGGGGGTTAATCTCTGCGACCTTAGAGATCTATTGTGTCCCCCTTTCTTGAGTTATAACTCATCATACAGTCCCAGGACTTCCTACGGAGACCCGTGTCCCTCACAGTCGAGGAGCTACGACCCAGGCCGGGTAGACGAAACGGTAGCTTGTGTCGCCTGTTGGGTTTAGAGGTAGGAGGTAGGCTTCCGACCCTTGGAGGAGGTGGTAGCTTGTATGCCACTTGCGGAGGATGGTCTCACGCAAGTGTCAGCCACCTCTCCTGTAGTTCTCTTTGGGTTTGGCCCTGAAAAGCTCCAATCACTTACCAAAGAATCTTGGAGAATAAAACGAAGGGTTTGGCCCCTTGGAACTTTCATTGTTACTGTTCTCAGTGTCGCTAGGGGGTTTCCGCACAGCTTCACCGGTGATGTTTTTATTACTATTATTACCAGATCTCATAGTGTTCCTATGAGTCGCTAGGGACAGTCGGTCCACTTCTACAGAGCGCCGCATGTAGAAGTAAGGGGTAAAATACAATGGGGTGTCCCCCGGTGCCCCAAGGTTGAGGCTGTCCGTAGCCCCGCCCGGTATCGTTATATGTCTTGGTGCAATTCCCTGGCCACGACACTACAGTTAGGGACAAGACGATGAGTGAGATGCTTCTTAGACCAAGCCAAGTGCTAGGGGGGATTCCCCCCAGCACCTGACCAGGAGCTTCCCCACCAACGACAAGGTCTTGCATCTCCTAGGGGAAGGAATTCAAGGTAAGATGTATATTTAAAAAAAACATTTGGCTTAGTAGATACTATTTTTTTTTCATTTAAATACTAATTTTTTACAAGTTTTATTTGTCAATTTTTAAAAAATGTGTATATAGGTAAGCCCGGATTCTACAGACACTATCAAAACAATTGTCCACAACAAACCTAAAGGTCACAATGACGCCTTTTTTTGAACGTATATTTATTGTTAACACATGCTGCATTTAAAGTCGATCCGACAAGTCATGGGATATTTCGATAGACGCAAGTGTGTCCAATGAGGTCAATATTTATTAAAAATTGACATAAAAGTTGTCAAAATGAACATTAATTATAGATATACCGGGTGCGTCTCAAAAGTGGCTCACCCCTTTAACTTTTTTAATTTTTCAATTAAAAAAACGAGATTTGGTATGTTAGTATATGACATAAATTTGGATTGATTGACGTGTTCAATTCTTTTCGGCCACTTCCTGTTTAACCGGAAATGACTACAACTTTTGATTTTTAAATGGCATGCTGGATATTTTTTTACTTTATTCGATAGAAAATGACACTCTGAATAGAATGACATATCATATGTCAACTTTTGACATTTTCGCATATAGTTTATTTAAAATTATAAATTCGGTTCGTAACGAAAATTTGACTCGAAATATCAAGTGCGTGGTATCAACTTATTCCTAAAAAAATGCTTTTTTCAAATATGCTAATGAGCCACCCTCGTTCCATTTGAAAAAACTGAGATATGATTAAAAATACGATTTGAGCATTTTCTAACTGGCCAGGACAAGACACTAAAAACATTAGACGACCAAAATCTATTTTCCAAGGCTCCTTGATTAAAAATTAGTGTTTTTAACAGAGTGAGAATGTCAAAAGTTGGCATATATAATGTCATTCTATTCAGAATGTCATTTTCTATCGAATAAAGTAAAAAAATACCGAGGGTGTCATTTAACAATCAAAAGATGTAGTCATTTCCGGTGAAACAGGAAGTGGCCAAAAACAATTGAATACGTCAATCAATCCTAATTTATGTCATATACTAACATACCAAATCTCGTTTTTTTATGTGAAAAAATAAAAATGTTATAGGGGTGAGCTACTTTTGAGACGCACCCGGTATTTAAAAAAGGATAAGCAGTTGTTTGCAGATACACAAATCTATTTTCAAAAAATATTTTTTCTCGAATTTTATTAAACACACCATTTAAAAATAATTTTTACTCAATATAAAAATAAATTACAACCTTCCTAAGGCCATTAAAAAATAAAGACGTATACGGGCCATGTAGTGAGGTCTAGGGCTTGACCACGCCAAAATTATCATTGATTGTCATTCCCAGACGTGTATGACGCCGTTTTTTCGATCGTATGATATTTTTTGTCCATACTACTATACTATACTATGACTAGCATATAGCCGCGACTTCGTTCGCGTCGAATTAATAATTTGTAGTGGTGATATGATAAAGCAAAGCAAGAATTTCCATTAACATACAAACTGGAGCAGAAGCGTGGTTAATCAATTACCCAACTTTTTGGAACACCCTGTATGATTTTTTAAAAAATTTAAAAATATGTAAAAAAACAAATTAAATTATACGTGTCCAAGCGTTTCCCCGAAAGACTAACCGTTTTTTAAATAACAAATATTGTAATATTTGAGGAGCGTTTTCTTCTTGGAATTTGAGATTCGAGAAACCCCTCCTTATCGAACCTCTACACCCCACAGTCAATCCGTTTGCCAAAATCAGCTTTAAACGTCAAGCAGTTTAAGCAGAATCGTGATTACTCAATGGTCATATTTTATGAAACACCCTGTATAAATTTTTAAAAAATCTTAAAATATGTAAAACAACAAAATAAAATATACGTGTTTAAGAGTTTTTCCGAAAAACTCACCGGTTTTTAAATAAAAAATATTCTAATATTTGAGGGGTGGTTTCACCCCCTTAGAATTAGAGTTTCGAAAAATCCCTTCTTATCGAACCTCTACACCCTAAAGTCAATCCGTTTTCCAAAAATCAGCTTTTTACGTCAAGCGCTTTAAGTAGGATCGTGATTAATCAATGACCAGATTTTTCGAAACACCCTGTATATATTTTTAAAAAATCTTAAAATATGTAAAAAACAAAATAAAATATACGTGTTCGAGCGTTTTTCGGACACTTGATCGTTTTTTAAATAAAAAATATGGTAATACTTGAGGGGTGGTTTCACCCCCTTGGAACTGGGATTTCGAAAAATCCCTTCTTATCGAACTACTACACCCTAGAATCAATCTGTATGCCAAAATTGGGCTTCTTACGTTTAGTGGTTTGAGCAGGATCGTGATTAATCAGTGAGTCATTTAAGAATGTTATATATTAGTATAGATTATTTGAGAGGCGTTTTCACCCTCTTGGAATTTGAGGTTCGAGAAACCCCTCCTTATCGAACCTCTACACCCCACAGTCAATCCGTTTACCAAAAATCAGCTTTGAACGTCAAGCAGTTTAAGCAGAATCGTGATTACTCAATGGCCATATTTTATGAAACACCTTGTATAAATTTTAAAAAATCTTAAAATATGTAAAACAACAAAATAAAATATACGTGTTTAAGAGTTTTCCCGAAAAACTCACCGGTTTTTAAATAAATAATATTCTAATATTTGAGGGGTGGTTTCACCCCCTTAGAATTCGAGTTTCGAAAAATCCCTTCTTATCGAACCTCTACACCCTAAAGTAAATCCGTTTTCCAAAAATCAGCTTTTTACGTCAAGCGCTTTAAGCAGGATCGTGATTAATCAATGATCAGATTTTTCGATACACCCTGTATACATTTTTAAAAAATCTCAAAATATGTAAAAAAAGAAAATAAAATATACGTGTTTAAGCGTTTTTTCGAAAACTTGACCGTTTTTTAAATAAAAAATATTGTAATATTCCACCCCCCTTTTTACCCCCTTAGGGGATGAATTTTAAAAAATCCTTTCTTATCTCACGTAAACATCATAAAAAGAACATCTGTGACCTCTGTGCAAAATTTCAGCTTTCTGGGGTTTTTGGTCTGGGCGTTGATGAGTCAGTGATCAGTCAGGAGTTAGAGATTTATATAATATAGATTAATTTTTTAGCTAAAAAAATCAGTTTACATAAAAAACATTTTAAGGTGTCGAATAACCCTTTTAAATAGCTTTTTCTTGTTCAAACTATTTTTAACTTCAAACCTGCCAAAGCTGTTTTTTCACCCAAGCGTGACCCAATTGTGTACAGAATAATGTAAAAAGCAATCTACAACGGAAGCAATGGACACTCCCCGCCTCTACACCTATTCTTTTAGGCCTTTTAGTACAACAGGTTCACAGTTACGTGATTTATTTTATCTAGTTTGCACGGAAAAAAACAGTAAAAACGATAAACTTTCTTTTTTTTTTCATAAAATAAAAATAAAAATGTATCCGTCAATGAGGAGTATAGAGTTGTTTCGTAGTGTTTCAGTGGATGATTTTGATTCTTGCGCTGCTTGTTTGTTGAAAAGGTCCAACGCTATGCGCAGGAAGGGTCGGAGAGTAGTGGCAGGACAAAGGGTGTTGCTAAGGGATGAAAAAGACAGACTATCCGCCCCTCTGAAGGGCAAGAATGGAAATACGAGTTTAATACCTTACAGGTTAGAAATTACGTTCTTATATTTAATAAATTTATTTTTTTGTGGCTTCTAATAACTAGTTTGATGAACTATAAAAAAATTAGAAAATAGTTCACTTTCATAAAACCTATATAAAATAACGAATATAGTGGTGGGCAATTTTAAGATATTTTAAATGTTTTTATTACATTTTTATTGTTATGTTTGCCATAAATACCTATAAATAAAGTTAATTTGATAGATGAAATTAAGAGTGAATAATAATTTTGTGAAGAGGCTGGGAATTGAAAAAGTGTGAACTAAAAAATACAGGTAGAGTGATCAAGATAACAAAATAACTTCATTTTTTATCTTTTCCCGATTTTTTCGCGCATTTTTATTTAAGTCCTGTCTACACGGTGGCCCAGTGTTCCGAACAAACTTTGCAATTAAAGTTTATTAATGAAAATATATTAACTTAAATATTTTTTATACATACATGGTCACAAGGTAGCTCACATTTTAACAATATTTTCATAAATACACAGGGTGGTTCAAATATACTTTTACAGTAAAATTGATTGTAGTTATTCAAACGGAATGCTGTATTTTTTCGCATGCCTAGTTGATTTACCAGGAAATTCTTATTTCAAAAATACAATAATGATGTTATATAGTCTACACCTAGTGTTTTTTTAAATAACAATTGTCTAAATTTTCCACACAATTAAAACTCTTTTAAAATTACAAAATAATGAATTATTATCATCTTTTTTAACTGGAATTATTTTATTTTATATTATTATACAGGGTGTCCCAGAAATAAGTGCAAGTATTTTAAGGGGTGGTAGATCTCGATAAAAAAAACATATTTTCTCTTTATCGTTTTCCAAATAAGTCCAAAATAACGGAGTTGTTTTACTTTGAAAATTTCCAAAAAAAACGATTTTTCGCGAAAAAAACTCATAGGCGTGTTTCTGGGGTTGAACTATACTACCAGTTAAAATACTTGCACTTATTTCTGGGACACCCTGTATATATTTTGTTTAAATCACTCTGAATATGTTTTAGTGAAAATCACAGATAGGAAGCCTAATATCGATCTTTTTCGGTACACTGCGCCACCCTGTATAAATTTACTACAATTTTTGTATGTATTTTCAGCCGTATATTCATATGATCCTGAATCATACAATATTTGTGGTACTTACGACTTTAATTCTTATTTTATCTTATCAGAAAATTAACAGCGTGTAATACCTAATCTAACAATCATATATCACAGTAAATTTAAATATCTTTTTTGAAATCCAAGCCCCAACCTTACCTATAATTAAAGAAAACTTCCATCGAACACGCGTCGGTATTTCTCAAGAATCATCAAACTGTGAATCCTCTCTCCATATAGAACTATTTTCGTAAAAATAGAAATAAAATATTATCAAGCTAGTAAAACATTTATAAACCTTGATCTCGTATAGTGTCCAAGAGTGTGTTTTGATATCGACGATTTAAAAATAAAACTTTAGAAAAAAAATCTGGAGATGGTCTCAGTGTGAAAACAAAATCCGTTTATTTCAGACGCATTTTGAAAAATCTGAGACGCCTACAGATGAAAGAGCAACAAAAGAAAATCAAGGACAGTGTGGGAGTGAAACTTTTGAAAAAGAAAAAAAGGACTTCGTGGTTCTTGAAGGTGAAGGACATTTACAGCAGATCTGACGAAAGGTACATACATATTTATTTTCTTTAATTTTCTTGAACCTACTTTCTTATTTAGTTAAATGTACAAGTACTTACAAATTTTACAGTTAAAAAACATATTATACAATATTCTGATATCTGTTTCTTTTGTTGTTAGAAAAACGGTACCAAAACAAATGCGAATCGAAATCACTTACGTGCTCCTGATTCTATTGTTTTGAAAATGTTCTTTTGTTCAAATAAATGAATGCTACTGCATGTGTTTTCGTGACCGAATTGCACTATGCAATCAAAAGTGACCAAATTAACTGTTGTTTATTTTTTAAATAGAATAATTATTGTCACTTTTTGTATTTTTGAATGAATTGAATTATTGAATGGCGTGTTTTATTTCTTGTGAAATGAGTATTTATATGTTTTTTCAATTTATAATTTTTTATATACCAATGCGTCTTTAAAGTGACTCACCCCTATAACTTTTTTATTTTATTAGATAAAAAAAACTAGATTTGGTATGAAATAGTATATAACATAAATTAGGATTAATAATTGACGTATTCAATAATTGTTTTTGGTCACTTCCTGTTTTACCGGAAATTACTACAACCTTTGATTTACCAATGATACCGAGTGTGCGATATATATAATATACCGAGGGTGCCATTTAAATATCAAAAATTGTGGTCATTTCGGTGAAACAGGAAGGTACCAAAAACAATTGAATAAGTTAATCAATTATTATTTATGTTATACACTAATACACCAAATGTCGTTTTTTCATCTAAAAAATTAAAAAAGTTATAGGGGTGGACCACTTTCGAGACGCACCCGGTGTTCGATATTTACATATTTAGATATATGAAAAAATAAAAATTTCCAAAAAATGTTTTATTAATATTAAAAATATATTATTATTTAAAATACGCATTATATCTGACTATTTAAATCATAATGAAGTATAAAAGGACAATTTCCACAAAATTATTTAGTTTGGAATTTGCATAATTTGTTTTCAGTGTTTGTTTATAAAAAACAATAATTTGACGAAATATTTGTTTAACAACACACACAATTTTGACATTCTCTAATAATAACAAAAATAAAAACAGAAATTGGTATTTAAAGGCTAAATGGTTTAAAACAATTTATTAATTTTTGTTTATTATTTTTATATTTTAATTTACATCGTTAATATAATGATTAACGATGTAAACAGAATTTGTTTTAAATGTCTCCAAGTCATGGTCTTTTGAAAAATAAAGGACCATATTTTGAAAATTTCCACATCAAAATTATCTACACAACACATTATTGTTTTTTCTAGTTAATCGCAATGTCTACAATATTTTTTTTCGCATATCCTTTTTTAAAACGTCATTTCATTGAACATAAAATTGCGAAAAACTGTTCATATCTCTTATAATAATAACTTTCGAAATCCTAATGGTCACTCTCGAATTATTTTGACACCCTGTACTTCTATACACAGAATGTATCTCAAAAGTAGCTCACCCCTGTACTTTTTTATTTTTTCAGATAAAAAAACGAGACTTTGTATGTTAGTATTGGACATAAATTAGGATTGATTGACGTACTCAATTGTTTTCGGTCACTAACCGGAAATGACTACAGCTTTTGATTTATAAATGACACCCTCGGTATTTTTTTACTTTATTCGATAGAAAATGACACTCTGAATAAAATGACATATCATATGTCAACTTTTGACATTTTTGTATATGGTTTATTTAAAATTGTAACATGCGGTTCATAACGACAATTTGACTGGAAATACCAAGTGTGTGGTACCAAATTATTCGTAAAAAAATGTTTTTTTCAAATATGCAATGAGCCACCCTCGTTCTATTTGAAAAAATTGAGATATGATTTAAAAAATACGATATGAGCATATACACACACCGGAAAAGTCTAGGGATATTACAATTTTATCCAGCCATCGTCAGTAATTTTATTATTTGCATTTCTGATATAATAAACTTAAAATAAACAAATAGTTTACAGGACGTATTGGAAATAAAAATGCGAAATTTACCGAATTTTTCAAATTTACCTTGATTTTTATTGAACTCAAAAAAATACACACATTTTTTTTTACTCTAAACTGTGAATTAAAAAAAAAGATAAAACCATTTTTACTTAATAACGGGTATGGCCTCCTCTACTGTTCATTACAGCCCTACATCGTCTCTCCATGCTCCTGATCAGGGTGTCGATCTCTTCTTGAAGTACAGCTTGCCACGCTGCATTCACGGCCCGAACCAAATCCCTACGAGTTCCACGAGGCATACCCATTCTCAAAATTCTTCTTTGGACCGCGTCCCATACGTGTTCGATGGGGTTGAGGTCAGAAGATTGTGCCGGCCAGGGTAAGATGTTTAATTGATGAGCATTGATAAACTCACTTACCACTCTGGCTGTATGAGGCCGTGCATTGTCATGCATGAGAATGAAGTTTCTCCTAAAATCATTGGCATATGGTAACATGACAGGCTCAAGAATTAAATCACGATATGTGATTCCTGTTAGAAACCTTTCAAGAAAAACGAGATCGGTTTTTCGGCCTAACTGGACTCCTCCCCAGACCATAACTGTTCCACCTTGACAAGGGTGCACTTCCTGAACATGATCCAACCGAATAAGATTTCCCGGTTCTCTCCATACCGTAAGCCTTCTCGAATCCGGATGAATTCCAAAGCGTCACTCATCCGTGAAGAGAACATTGGCCCATTGTTCATTCGAGCACTGAACATGATCTTGAGCCCACAAATATCGTACCTCTCGATTTCCTCTCGTTAGAGAGGGTTGAGCTCTCCAGGGGCGCCTGCTTCTTAAGTTGACCTCTTTTAATCTATTGCGAACAGTGTCAGGACTAACGGTTACATTATGTGTTTCCTGGAGAATAAAACTAAGCTCTGGTGCTGTAAGAGTCGGTCGGCGTCGAGCCATTAATTGTAAAAATTGATCTTGCTGAGGGGTAGTAATGCGATGTCGCCCTGTGTGCCTTTCAGCAACATCACCACTTTCACGGTAGCGTGCACTTAATCGCGATATTACACTTTGCGTTGTATTTAATGCTCTAGCTACGTCGATTTGGCGCATTCCAGCTTCGAACATACCCATGACCCTTAGCATTTCGTCTCTGTTAAGATGGCTACGCTCCATAATGTCGTTTAATACTAAACAGAGTTATTTGAATGAATTCTGGCCAGTTATCATAAAAACATAGCCAGTACAGGTTAAATTCGAACAATTGATGCTAGGTGCTTTTTATACATTTGACAAAAAATGCACAAACACTGCAAATATCCCAAATTTACAAATAACTAGTGTGACTACTTCGTTTTAATCGAAGTAGAAAGAATCGGCCTACAAATATGTGGTTGTTTATTCAAAACATTTATTTTTAACTTTAATAAAATGATATCCCTAGATTTTTCCGGTGTGTGTATTTTAACTGACCAGGACAAGCCACAAAGAACATTAAACGATCAAATCTATTTTTCCAAGGCTCCTTGATTAAAAATTTGTATTTTTACCACAACCCTTTTTAAGCGAAAATGTCGATAGTTGACATGTGATATGTCATTCTATTCAGAGTGTCATTTTCTATCGAATAAAGTATAAAAATACCGAGTGTGCCATTTAAAAATCAAAAGTTGTAGTTATTTCCGGTGAAACAGGAAGTGACAGAAAATAATTGAATACGTCAGTCAATCCTAATTTATGTCATATAGTAACATACCAAGTCTCGTTTTATTATCTGAAAAAATAAAAAAGTTATAAGGGTTTTTGAGAAACACTGGGTATATTTTGTTCACAATTATTTGATATTATTGGAATTGGACAGTTTGGACACACACAATAAGAAATAATCATTCATAAATATAGAATCTTATATATTTCGTCAAAAATTAATGAAGAAAAAAATAGGTTTTTACTGAATGACCCTACTTTACCCTAAGTTCCCCTGTGTAATTTGTTTACAAGCAGGTTAAACCTGGAATTAAAGCAATTACTCAAATGAATAACACCCGCAATAATTGCATGGGTAAATTTTAATAAGGCGTTCTATAAATAAATATGGTATTTTATCGAAAAATCCCTATAATCATTTTGGTTTTTTAAACACACATCAAACGCCAATGATTGCTATCAGCAAAAATTACGGGTGGGGTCATCCAACGTAATTATATGAGGTACTATTTTTTGTTTTTCATCCGTATCTCTTTCTAACTCAACTGGAACGACTGTGGTGACTCACGATGAATAAATTTCCAGCTCGAATTGCTTGTAGTACCGTAGTACTATAGCTCGTTTTAAAATTTTTAACAAATCTTTATAAGGTGAAGATATATTTTTTCAAGTCTATTGATATTAGTCCAGGAGGCAGTGAAATTTTTTTGTACCAGTGGGGGACACTGATTATTATCAGTTATTGACAATGATGACATGTGATACAGGGTGTTCCAGGCTGAGCGTGCATTCCATGACAGCAACCGCCATTATAATATGACATTTGAACAATTTAATTTTTGAAATAGATAGCCACATGTGTCTACCCTTTATGTCACAGTGGCTGTGGTAATCATTAAATTTGACTTTTAGGCTATATAAATTTTTTTGACAGGTAGTTTTTTTCAGCAAAATAAAAACACTAAATCACCACAATACACCAAAACACTTTTACTTTTACACTGGACGCGCGTTTCGCTAACCATGTTAGCATCATCAGCAGATGATTATAAACTGATGATGATGCTAACATTGTTAGCGAAACGCGCATCCAGTGTAAAAGTAAAAGTGTTTTGGTGTATTGTGGTGATTTAGTGTTTTTATTTTGCTGTGTAACACCAAAGGTTCCAACCCTCAACTGTAATAGTTTTTTTCGACCAAAAATTTTAAATATTTTTTTTCTCAAAAACGGTTAATGTTAGGTATAGAGTGTTTAAATCAATATTCATAGAATTTTACAGAGAATTTAAGTATGTAATAAAAAATGAGGG